GAGACAGGAGAGCATGCACAAACGTTTAGTGTTAAGTAAATCAAATATAAGAAAGTGGAAGGTACAGATGTGATGTGGGGCTGGTGCCCAAATGTTGCCGTTTTCAAAGAACAGTCGTCATCATTCTCTAGTGGTTAGGTTTGTTTTACAGACAGTAACAGGTCACTATGAATTATTTTCTACAGTACACATCTGAAAGTCTGCATTTTGAAACAAAACTTCAACATTAAACACCTTGGTCCCGACCGGCCTCAGGACTTTTTTATGAACCAAACCACAAGAAAGAATAGACAGATTTAGTGTGCAGTGGTTCTCAAGTTATAATAGTTAACTTCTATCTTATCAGAGAAGATGTTATTGTTATTGATGTTATATGTCTGTGTTATTTGGAGGTACATGGTCAAAAACATGCTTTCAGAAGCTCAAGCCTTTCTCTGAGAGGGTTACCAAACATCAAAACAACACGAACACATGGTTGGATGCTAAATTAGTAGTTGCCCAATAATTTTTTTCGCACCTTTAACACCACTAGTTGTAACATGTCAACATTTAATAATCCAGTTTTTGGCCAAAAAAACGTAATCAACGTCAAAGCATTTCAGGTAAGATTACTGCATCGCAACATTTCTCTTAATCATTTTTTCCTCACTCGTTTCATTTTGCACTTATTATTTAAGTCTATTATTTTTATTATTTAACTGTACCTTCTCCGTGCTGCCATTGAACTTCCCCAGGATGTTGAAGAGGGGAACCTGTGGGATAATGAGCTGCTCCTTCTCATCCTTGTACAGTGGAGCTGTTGGGAGGTCAAGGGTCAGAAACAGGAAGGTGGACTCTGACATCTGCTCCTGGTATTCCTCCGTCACAAGCAACGCCTCTTTCTCTTCTGGTGTCTGGCAAATCAAAGTAAAACAATCAGAAGAAAACCATGGCTTTCTAAACATAATACTATTTGCAAAAACTGCTCGGATAATTTTTGAATAAGCATGGACTATTCTTTATAAAACCATTCACATTCAAGATGTCAATTCATGTTTTGATAATGAAACTCACACAATCTGGGTGTGGAAGTTTCTTTGAAAAGATCCGCATGGAGCCTTGAAACGCTTTTGTGATGCTTGCTGAGAGGCCAGAAAGATAAATGAGGACACCGGTTTATTTTCATATATGCAACAGTCAATAACTTAAAGGTAGGGTAGGTAAGTTTGAGAAACCGGCTCGAGATCGCTAGAATTTGAAAATACACAACCGGAGAAAATCTGCCACTTCCTTATAGAGCCCCTCCTCCAACACACACGAACGCGCACATGACCAATGAGGGCACGAGATAAGTTTGTGCACAGATGGAAGGCTGACAGGCAGGTAGGCCATCCAGTTACTTTAGCCGGGCCGGCTAAAATGATTGGTCGTGCTTTTTACAGTACTACGGCTTCCACAGATGACTTTTTTTATGGATTTGTTGTCAAAGCACTTCAGATATTCATTGCTATCGGGATGTTAAGAGCATTCCATGGAATATAACAAAAAGTGTATCTCGAGCCGGTTTCTCAAACTTACCTACCCCACCTTTAAGTAACATTTGTCATGTTAAAGCTAACTCTAAAAGGTCAATTCAACCTTAGAGAAAGTGAAAAAAAAACATTCATATTTTATATTAAACTGTTATTATGGTTTTCTTTGCCTTTACATTTACCACTTACAAACATCTATCTGATTATCACATTAAAGACATGTTTTGCATTTATTAACTCCTTTTATTATTCTCTTCTGACTCACATGTTTTTTTCTTTGTGCCTCCCAGAGCACCATGCAGAGCATTCAAGAACCACGTCATGAAGTCCACAGCATCTCCTGCAGAACAGAAAACAATCAATCAGAATCACAATGTAATCTCTATAGAGCAGCACGTGTTAAAAGTCTTCTTAAGATGTGCAGTACTTCTTCTGGAAACTCAAGCCTTACCTTGTTTGGTGATTTGAAAGTTCTTCTTGCTGCACAGCACAACAGCTTGCAGCATCTCATGTGGAGAAACATGAGCCTTGAAGTTTCTCGGATTCCAAAGTTTGCGCATCAGCTCACCGAACCTCTGCACCAAGAGGAACATGATGTCCCCCGGTGGTCTCCGGATCCCCATGTAGTTGTCCTCCTCAAGGAAGTAGTTTCGCAGCGGTGGAACATTGGAAAAAGCCTGGGGGGAAAAAGGCAAACGTGACATGGTTGTGATTATTTAGAGAAGTGAATGACCATGTCCATTGAAGGTCCAGGGCGACAGTTAATCGTACCTGTAAAACCACATTGGCGTAGTCGTTGGCTTTAATGTTGTTGAGCCCTACGATGCCAGGCAGGTAGGTCGTACCATCGTAGGCTCGGTACAGTTTACCCTGCTTGTCCAGCCCTCCAATGTGCTGCTTGGTGAAAGTTGGTTTCAGCACATACTGTAAAGAAAGTGTCAACAGATTACTAACAACAAAGTGCAGTTTGTACAGTATGGAATTTGTGTCACTTATTGACACTGTGACACTTTGAGAATGACCTTTGGTGGTTAAAACAGTATCTAACTTATATTATCCTGTCATAGTATTATGACAACTCATTCAAAATCAATATGAATAGTGACTATAGTGCAACCTTTACAAACACCATCAGATCACATTTAAAATATATCCTTATGAAACACTCTTAACAATATACAGTTGTATAATAATAATAATAATAATAATAAGGATAGCCATCGGGTATGTTTTTGGCATGTAATGTTTCTGAATACTACATGAACTCTCTCAATCCTGGATGTATTTATAATATGCAAAGTCATATTTTACTCGTATTAAGATGGTGCTTAACACGAGTAAAATATTGACATGCCATCAGCCTGTTACACTTAACTTACCGTGATGTCTTCTAGTGAGGAGTCAATGATCTCGTAGTTGTCTGGCAGACAGTAAAACTTGAGAGTGTGCAGATTCAGGAACACATGATGGGTAAACTGCACACTGTGCGTGTAAGCATGAGACTTCAAACCTCTACCTGCAGGGATACAAGCAAAACATGAGTGAATCAGTCTTAGCACAACAAGGTGTTTCATTCCTTGTTTAATGTTGGATCCCTCACTTACCTTGAAAGTATTTCCCACATATAAGGCAGGCGTAGACATTGATGTGGGAGAGTGATATGGAGCACAGTTTCTCAAAGTCAAAGTCCAGCACACTCCTGATGGATAAATAGACAAGACTGGGAATCAGCTGTAGAGCAATAGAGGAGGACGGGGCTAACTAGCATGTAGCACTAACATTAGCTATGCACATTCAACTATATCTTACCTGTTTATAGTGTCGAGGTAAGGACAGTGGCGGCTTCTCCGGTCTTCTGCTGCACGTCCTCGGCCTACTTTGGCTGCCACTGCAACCGGAAGTAAAACAAAACAATGTTCAAACAGTTGAATGTAATCTCACGTTAGCCAAACATGCTAACTGACCTAGCCTCTTGGTTGTTATGAGATGATCAACTTAATGCACATGAGTTATGATGAGTAAATCCGAAGGGTGGTATCTTTCTTTAACCAGTGAAAACTATACTGCAGTGGTTCTTGTTGACCTGCCTGTGTGTGACTGAAACAACTAGTGAATACAATCAAACGCACTTTCTAGTAGCACTAGTTAGCTTCATGCTAACCACACGTACAAGTAAATAAACGTACCTATGTCTTCGTCGTCCTCATCATCGTCCACTTCAGCCTCTCTTTCTCGCTTCATAGAAACCATCATGGCAGTTTCCTTCGGAGCTTAATGTCAAAACAACAGAGAAGGCACAACTTTATTTGGAGAAGATGAATGAGCAGCACCGTGCGCGATGGTCGAAACTCGCGGTGGTTGTACGTCGCAAATGGCCAACCAAGAACTAACACGGAGAGGCCAGCATTATTGCCCCTGAGTTGCTCAATACCAATACCACACAGGTGCCAAAAGTACTTGGAGATTGTACTTAAGTAAAAAGTAGAAGTACCAGAGTGTAGGAATACTCTAGTTAAAGTCCTGCATTCAAAATGTTACTCGTAACTAGTAAAAGTACAACATAGTTGGCATCAGAATATACTTAAAAGTACTAAAAGTAAAAGTACTCATTATGCAGATTGGCCCTTTTCAGAATTATATAATATATGTTTTGTTTATAATTATTAATATGTTTATCATAGCTGGTAAAGGTGGAACTAATTTGTAATATTTTATTTACTGCGGTCTAATTTATGGATGTACTAGTTGTAATTTACTAAATTCTTATTTAAGTGTTGATTATGTTTGATATCATTTTTCAAAATGTGTAAAGTAACTGGAGGTATTAAATAAATGTAGTGGAGTAAAAGTACAATAATTATCTCTGAATTGTAGTGGAGTAGAAGTACAAAGTAGCAGAAAATGTAGATAGTTAAGTAAAGTACTGTACCTACACAGTACTTGAGTAAATCTACTTTACTTTACATCACTGCAATACAAATATATTAATTTGCTGATTTTCTGAAAGCATAACTTGATTTTTGATATATATATATATATATATATATATATATATATATATATATATATATATATATATATATATATATATATATACATACCATTTCTGATTTATTGTGTTTAAGAAAATATCTCTTTAAAACAATGTTTATTTTCGAGCTATTATTAAGTTGTAAACTCGGGGAATGTTTTAGTTGGACAACGACTTACCGTTAGCTAGCATGTAGCTTTTTGTCATGTCTGTGGATCTGAGACTTGTTGAAATCCTTAGCGTTAGTGGCGAAGTCACGCCCATCTACTTCCGGTCCATGGGACCAAGAAGTAGTACCAAGATCGGAAAAATAATGTATTGAAGTCAATGGAGAGAGAAAACATTTTTTTTTTTTGACTTGCAAAATTATCTTTTAAATTGACAATCATCATATGTGTAATTCGTGGCACAATTCAAACGGGATCGAAAGATAATCTTTCTCTCTCCATTGACTTCAATACATAATTTTTCCGAAATAAGGTCCCATGGAGGTCCACCGGAAGGGGAGAGACTTCGCTACAATATTACCTTACACATATTATCACCGCTTTGGAACATTTTGTTGAAATGGATATTTTAGGAGAAGATGAATTGAACGAGCTGAAATACAAACGGTCTGGGCGCTTGGATATGAGCCACGGCTTCCTGCACCATATCCGGAGGAACCAGATTGCTAGGTGATTTCTCCAACGCTAATGCTAGAAGCTAACAAACAAGCTTTCACTATTTAGCCACAATATCTGGAGCCACAACCGCACACGTTAAATAGAAGTTAGAGGATGTTATAGAAGTTACTGTGATTGTAAGGGGAGGTTCCTCTACACTCAACCTGAACATATAAAAAGAAGTCCTTCAGGCGCATGGCTAGAGTCATCCTCGGTATATATGTCAAAGATTCAAAGGCTTTATGTTATATGCACAGTACCTACAGTGTAGATATGGCAATGACAAAATTAAGTCCCAAGCTCCTCCAACAATGCAACATAATGCATAAAACATACAATACCAATAGTACAAGAATAAGCAGAGTAGAATAATAGTTTAGGACACTGGAGACAAAACAACATTTAGCTAGCTGTTGTAACGACAACAACACTGTTATAACTGGTAACACATTAAGTATCAACCATCCACATACACGTTCATTGTACCTGTACCTCATATCTGTTGTTTAACCCTTGCCTGAGATTTCCTTCTATACTTGTTTTCTCTATTGGTTAGTGAGTATGTCCCATTTTGAAAGTTATGTAATCAATGACCTTAAGAATGTAAAAAACACAACTTCCATTCCAATTAAATAATGTTGATTTCTTGGCTCTTCAAGAGATGACTATGATAAATCGGTGAAGCAAGCCAAAGAGGTGCTGGAGGCAAAAGAGCTCCAGCAGCGGAGGAAGACCACGACCCCTAGACGACCCCGTCGACCTGATATCCAGGTGTACGATCCTCGACGCAGACGTAAGTTAAGGCACTTTGCTGTGTTTATTTCCAACACTGAATCCAGTCAATAATATACTTGTCTGCTCATTTCCCAGATGATTCAGATCCAGGGGCCGGTGCTGAGGCAGAGGAGTCCAATGAGAGCGGGTCCAGCACAGAAACAGAGACCCATGGTACTGAACTCTTTTGGCTCGACTACCAGGCGGACTCTGGTACCATTACCTCCTTCCTTGTGCACAAGGTACATGCAGATCACTGTTTATTATTCTGGCATTGTGATTTATTTTTGTTTTGGTCCTAATTCCCTTTCTATTTCTAAAGGAGGACAAGCCTGAGAGGCTGGTGCAGCGTGTAGCAAAGAAAAACATCCTGGATACAGCCATGAGGGCAGCTCTGGAGGCTCGACTTCGAAAGGAAATTGAAAAAAGACAAGGAAAACGCTGACTGAACAGAAGATTGTGATGACATAGCGGGTCTTCAGGCAAAGACGAGCAATACTTCATTTGCAGTTCTGCACTCCTACAAAGCATGAACGCTGTTGACAGTGCATAATGAGACGTCTGGGATGACGTACTGTCCACAGAGATCCAGCTAGATGAGCATGCAGATGTCAATCCAGCTTCTGTTTTCGAGAAGGAACCGCACAGATTCAGTCCGCAACAATAGGCAGATTGGTGCAGTCGACTGTCAGGTTCGGGTTTACTACATTTCACTCACTTTGGATTGTTACCTCATGCCCTCATGCCCTCATTCATAACGTTAAGGATGGTTCGTACACCTTCAAGTTCACTTAAAAACAACGTTGATGATTTCAGAAAGTTAAAGTCAGAGAGGAGTGAGTATTCTTTGACAGAGAGCATCTCCACCTTCCTCCGCAGTTAAACATGTCCTGAGTTTCTTGTGTTTACAAATATCTAGTTTTTATAAACAAAATGTTTACTTTTTGGTAAAATGCTGTGAATGGAAAGTGAGTGAAATCAGCGATTTTGTGTTTAAGACATTTGAGAATATCTTCTTTTGGAGAGAATAGTGGAGGTGGCCATGACAATGTGTTTGTGTGTCTTCTGTCTTTTGTTGTTTTCAGTATTCTTATTTATTTTTGGATTGTTGAAATACTTTTATTTTTGATACTGTAATATTTTTGAGGACATACCTCTTTACGTATAAAATGACGTACTGTATATAAAAGCCATTTATACTGTCCAAATGTGTCTGGATTTAGACGTGTGGAATTAAACGGCCATAACGTGTGAACACATTTTCTTAGTGTCTTGATATGTTGTTAAACACTAAAATGTATGTAGAAAAATACCAGATAATAATCACTTCTGTTCTATCCTGAAACATACATTGGTTGGAATACTTACAGCAAAATATATTTTCAGTTTACTGAAACTCCTCAGCAGGTGGCAGTAGGAATCAGCGTTTCCACTCTGCAGGCCTATCGTCTTAACTTTTGATTTTATAATAAGTTAATTTAAATGTTTGTCAATTAGTAGTGCATAGCAGTGTGTCATAATTTTATAGACATATTGTCATTTTCCATACACAATATATCTACAGTAAGTGTTAATCAACCTAAAATGCTACAAACATTCTGCTATGGCACTACTTCATCTCTTTTTATATATAAAAAAAGTAAGGAACTGGAGGGTAAAACCTTGTAATTCCAGGGAAACTGGGTACTATATTCCAGGGCTGATTGTATGATAAAAAGAGCCAGTTTTTCAAGAAAAACTGACAGAAAGGCCCAGGGACAAAGTGAGAAGATCAAAAAGAAAGTAAGCACTCCCTATTCTAACTTTGATACCAGCATTAGTGCACATGTTGAACCTGTCCTTTAACAGCCAACGGATAAATAGCAAACCAATTCTTCCCATCCCCACAGTGAAAAGAGTAAACACAAACTACCATCCCTTTGCTGTGGAAAAAAACAAAGTTGAGTTGACATTTGGACAGACTAGCCGTAGATCCACCCTATAGTCAGGGATTAATTCATTGTTTTCACTAATGCATGAAAATATGCAAACTTCATCCTCTGACCACATGGCGGGCCAAGTCTCCACAGCGTTACACAAAGCCTTTTCATGAAAAGCCACCTCTGCCGTGCTATTGGTGCAACAGAGACACTCCTCTGAAGTTTGTCAACGCCCTTCCCCTGCTCACTTCTCGTCAGCATGTGACTGAGGTTATGCGAGGATAGACACATTCCTATGTCACCCACTCCTCTGATTGCCAGATTATCTCTAGTTTCACTAATTCTCAATTGGCTGAAAATGATCCAATCACAACTCATACCTGCACACCTTACCCTCTTAGAGCAGCTTCACTTCCAACATATTATAAAACACCTGCAGTCAGGTAACACTTATATGACAGATCACTGAGGTGCCTGTTGTGACAGGCAGGCAGCTCTTATGTATTCTGCACTGTTGTGTTCTCATTTCTAACCCAATGCACTATTTTCCTGAGAAAAACAACTATGTAGCCACCATGAGCCATCTGTTTCTCTTTATTAAAATCTCTAGGTTTGCATGAACTATTATTTGAAAGTAAAATAACATTGACTAATTAACCCCACCTATCTTTAAGGATTGCAAGCAACTCTGCTTCAGTGGATACTTGGAAAGCTTCAGTTTTATCATGGCCTACATCACATTGTAAGTTATGACTGAGTTATTGAACTTTAATAGTAATGTAAATATTATAAACAAAACCCTATTGATAAAGCACCGAAGTTCACATTACCTTTCTTTTGTTTAATATTATTTTTATATCAGTTTAGATCCGATTTGTTTTGATTTTGGAACGTCTCCAGGACCTTAAATAACAGTGGCGTAACGGAAGTTGATGGTGACACAGGCTGACTCCAAGATTAACCTTGTGTAATCCGATGCACTTTTCTAAGATTAATCAAAACAGAAGATTGTTATGATGATAAAGTGTTGCTGTTTAACACACCCAAATGACATGTCATTTCCAGTGTTGAGCAAATTCAAATTATTGTTTGAACACACTGGTTAGGGTTAAGGTCATGTCACACAAGTTAAAGTCAAACTGTGATTCAAGGCTTTATTAATGTTTAACAAAGTATTGCCAAAGTAAGGCCCTTTTTGAGGATTTATTTTAAACTTGAATAAAAACCGGACTATACATAACAAATTGGCATTCCACTTTGGACTTGAAAATATAGCCAAATAAATAGTCTAACCCTTTTATCGGGAGGTGTGTGGTGCAGTGGGTTGTGCGTTGGTGTTTCTGATCAGGGGTCACAGGTTCAAACCCCACTGCAGTCAGCATGTCGTTGTGTCCCTGAGACACTTCACCCCAAATTGCTCCTGTGGGGATTGCCCACAGTATTGAGTATGTAAGTCGCTTTGGATAAAAGCGTCTAACAATTGACATGTAATGTAATGTAATGTTTTAAAAAAATACAAATTGAGAAAGAAGCTGTGGAAAAAAAAGGTGCTAAATCAACATCATTTCTTAAAGTGCACCAATGTTAACAATTTGGAGTGTCATGAAGTAGATCACCTGCAAAAAAGACTGAAACTATAAAGAGTAATGTGTAGCTTTCATTTCAAATTCCTACAAACATACAATTAATCAACAAAAGTCTCCCACAGATATACAATCTGCTTTCACTCAATCCTTACAAGAAGGTCCACTGACCGCTAAATGCTGACCTGCTTGTACCTTATCTATCGACACTGTAGGGCTTGTGACTCTGAGAAAATAAAACTTTATTTATCTCTCAGTCTGCAACAATGTTTGGTCTCACTGTCATGCGCTGTGTTTGGTCTCGGATGCAAGCCGAGCACAGGTGCTGTCCTCTGAGCTCTTTGTTGTGGGAAGTATCTGCAGCCTTTGTGGTTGAGGAGAAACACAGATAACCCATGGACTTGCATCAAAACCTGTTACCTTTAAAACATTCCTTTAAAATAATTGAAGTTATGCTTTATCAGCATGCGGTGCTCTTGAGGAACAGACATGTGCTCTCAGCTGCCTCCACAGTGCAACAGTGGTGCAGTGCTCCTGCCCATTCAAGGCTGTGGATGTGTAACCTTCCACCATTCAGATCTAAAGATAGACGTTTGACTGAGCCAGTGTGGTCGTGGAAATGCACAGCTGCTGTAGTCGAACTGCCAGTCTGAATTTGATAATGTTACTTGACCATGAACACTACTCATAGGTTTATATTGTGTAACTGAACCAATGTTCCAGCTCTCAGAGAAAAATCCGGACATTTTTCATAATGCCAGTTTGCATAGATATATATCTTAAGTTTGTATGTAACCTCTGAATATCACTTCCACATTTATCCTTATGTGTGAAAATAAACATATATTACAAATAATTTAAAAAGCCTTCCAGCAACTTCCTTTCATAAGTATTATGATCAAAATATGCATGCATTTGATCCGAGTCTTGGTGTTGCCATGAAGTACCAAAGTATGTAGGTCTCCATGACAATAAACTCCTATGATAACTTCCTAAAGTGCAGAAATCACATGCAGAACAAACAATCCACTCATTAATTTGCAAAGCAGGCAGGCTTTAGGTTGCCCAGACAGTAAATAAGCTAATTAAAGTAAAAAAGCTTGTTGGATTACCGGTTCAGCTGAAAATCTCCACAGTTCCTACAACAGGATTTGATGGTGGAATTGTAGAAATGTAAAAGGTTTAACATCTTGGGCCAATACAGTAAAAGGTGTTTAATTACAATTAATGTGTTGATAACAAGAGGAAAACATGTAATTTGCTCTCCATTGGCATTACAGCTTGTCACATTTTCACATACATTCAACACAGCAATCATCCTTGCTACGGTTAAAGCGCTGACTTGAGAGGACTGCCCAAACTGGTCGATACAGTATTTCAACATTGTCACCTGGTTTAACCCGGATTTAACTGAAATAAGCATGTTGAATTCATATCATTCGATTCTTCTCACGTCTCATCTCGTATTTCTTCATGTAAAGATTTCTTATATCTGTAATTTGAGTACGTAAAAGAGAAAGATGATGGTAGGCTTGATAACCTGTTTAAACAAACCGGTTCCAAAGGAAGATTTATCTAAGACTTTAGACTCCACAAGAATGTGAGAAATGTTTCTTATGAAAGGCTGCAACATTTTCTTTGTTAAAGCTAAGCAGCAGTATCTTGAATTAGCTGTTGGGGGTAAAAGCAGTATAAACCCATTTTTCTGGTTTTGTGGATTTTAGTTTTGCCTAATAGTCTGGCATCTGAATACCTTGTTGTTCATTCTGAGCATATTTGACATGTTATCTGCATCTGTTAGTTGTACCAGCTACCAACAAGTGCCAATTTGATACAAACATATTATGGATTAACATGTTAGTACTTCTTATGCCAGGTATTACAGTACATGGCCATGCTGATATGGTGTAATCTTTGAGCCTTAGGAAATCTAGAGATGTCTTACAGTTTGTGAAAAGCTTTCTTCAACCACATTGTTAACGTGACAGCAGATCCCTGGATATCTAATGTCCTCTTTTATGAAGCTACTTTGATTGAGAGACTACTTTAACACACTTAACCATTTGATCCATTTCTTGCATCAACATTTACAACAGTAATTTTATTTGCGTGAATGTTTGCTTACACCAAAACCAAGAGCTCTTTGTCCTACAATATCAAAGTGGCTAAGGGCCAAATGTAATTGTTATTGGCCACAGAGTCACAAAGTACCCATTTATGTCCTGTTGTGTCTAATCTGTTATCAATTCAAGGTTTAATGTGTTTTGTTAATCTAGTCAACGGTCACTCAGTAATACTTAAGTAAATAGACAAAGCAACAATCAACATTGTCTGCTACATCTGAAGGTTAGCTTGGTATCTTTTGAGCATATCAAATCTTCATGAACTAGGATATTATGATTCTTTATAGACAGCAAGTCATTCTGTAAAATGGGTATCTTTTGGACTGTGAGATAACGTTTATTTTTTCAAAGTCAAAATGTGATCAGAAAAATACAATCATTAATAATAAACAAAACCATGGGTCAACCCTGTTATTTAAAGTAAGTAAAAGGGAGAAAAAAAAGATACAAATACGTTTAATCAGGTAATAAATTGGAAAGGCGTCCATTTGGTGTTACACAAAGAGCATAACGGCTGAACATTTCGGTGTAAGCAGGGTCTGGCCTTGTCTCAAAAGGTGGACATTTAATTAAAATGGTAGTGGGGATGATATTGAATCCAAACCCAAACCCAAAATGAAGAATAAATACACTCTTAAATTCTGCCCCAGGCACAGATAGTATCAGGGTGTGCACACTGACAAAACAAAACACAAAAATAAAATGGAGATGAACTGGTTCTTAACGTAGGTGGAATAAAACACGTTGGAGCCATGGAGCCATGCTTGATTGATCTCAGCTTTCACAATAGAAACATTAAAAAAAAAAACGTATTTAACAGGAAACGCCTGCTTCAAATGGTGAGGGCCCAGACTGTGCCATCAATCTCTAGGATTTAATAATATAGCTGTCACAACAAAGGTATGACTGTTTTTCGGTTCAGGCTGCTGTCAGAGACCAAGGATGTGGGTCAACATTTGGACGGGATGTAACATGTTAGATATAAGAGCTTTGCCTTCCCTACTACCATAATACCTGCTTTCAACTATTTCCCTCTGGCAAGACACTTAGTCTTCAACAGTGGTCAAGCTGAGAAATGCTGAGGAATAGCTGTCACACAAATGTTGAAGACACTTCACCTGAGTGTAGAGCATGTAGATCATATCTCCACCCTAACCCCACTGGACCGGGACTTTAACACCCCCCCCCCCCCACACACACACGCACAGAGACAACAAATCCAGCACCAGTCACTTTACGCTGCTATGGAGATGTTTGCACTCCCATTTGCACTTTTTTTATATATATCCTGCTTACATGAAGTAAACGGTTATTGTGTTTTGTTGTTATTGAGTGTTCTTGCATTTTAATGTGTTTTTTTTATACCTCGGGACTGTGGGAAACAGTATTTCGATCTTTCTGGGTGTACAAACATATTTTGAGATTGACAATAAAGTTGACTTTGATCATGGACATCAAACAGTTCGGCCAGCATTGAGAAGCGCTGTCTTTAATCTCAGAGATAACCGTATCTGCTCGGAGTATAAAGGTTATAAGGGGTGTCAAACATATGGCCTGTGTGCCAAAACGGACCGACAGAGGGCCCAATCCGGCCCCCAGGGATGACTTTGCAAAGTGTAAAGATTACAGAGAAGACATCAAGTGCAATTTTCACAACTTTCATGTTTTTTGTTTGTATACATTTACAAGGGAGGAGGAAGTCCTGAGGCCTGTACTACGAAGCTGGTTCAACCTAACCTGGATATGTTTGAGTTAGCCGGTTGGCCCAATCCAAAACATACGCGCTCTGGCTAAACTGTACTACGACGCTGGTTATCAAGTGGATCGCTCAAGCCAGCCGTGTCCTATCTAGTTAGGTGCGCGTTCACATGAAAGGGGTGGTATTTGGAGCATTCAACCAATCTCAAACACGGACAAGCGTACTGACAGCGCAGCGTCATACTTCCTGAATGAAAAGTGAACTTTAATATTAGTCAAATATGAAGAAGTTAAACTTTAAACATCCATGACTTAAACACTTTATCCAGGATAAAAGCCACATAGCTGCACCTGCAAGGTGAATACAGCTGGTAAAAGAAAAAGTGTTTGAATGCGTACATTAACAGGTTTATGAAATCACTGCCCCGTCCAAGACACGAGTGGATCTGACTTTAATTAGGAGAATTTGACTCGAGTGTTTCGTCAACTTAATGTGTTGCTTAAAATAATACTTCTGCATACAGTATGTGACACTGTGAGTGTTGCACGGCCAGATACGGCTCAAGAAGCTGACTCATAAGGAAATATATGATACATTATGATGTGATATGATATGAATGATAATGGGACACATCGACGTCTGCACTCACAGTGCCGCGGACTGTACTTAATGTTACTCTGATCCGGTTACTTATGTCGTGGCAGATATTTAAGTAAGCTTTCTTAACGCTAATATTATAATAGTCAGATTGCTCTGAAGATGGGAGGGGATATTCTATTAATTTTCACGTTCACACAGTCAGTTGATTTTGGCCGGCCGTCTTTCCTGCAACGGCAGTTTTTCTGTATTTCCTCTATCCTGTAATATGAATTGATCGCTTTAAACTCCGCACACGGAGCTCTGATTGGTCAGCAGGCGGTGCTTTCACTGAGTTGATCTCTTAGCCTGCCACCTAACCTGCTCCGGAGCAGGTTTGCCGCTCAGCATAAGTTACCATGGAAATCTAGCCTGCTAAAAAGAGAATAAAGTAAATTATAAAACACAATTGAGTTGCCGGAACCTATATACGACAAACTCTTCCTGATTTCAATCCAACCCTTTAAATATTTGATAGCATTGAAACATCGCAGATTAAACAAATAAATTAAAAAAGGGAACGTTATGGACATGTTAATACATTTTATTAAAATGTGATTATTTCAAAACAGTTGTCATAAAAGAGTAACAAGTTTGTTTAAAAGCACAACACATTAACATACATGGAGACACATGGTTATTATTTGATGGTTATAACTACATCTGGCTCTTGGGCAATGTATAACTTCATGCTGTGCATCACGAGCCTGTTGCACTTCGACCTCTGCTGTTCCCTGTAAATACAAACAAAACACTAAATTGAGTACAAATCAGGACACGCCATGTGTTTTCCTCAAAACAAAAATCAAATCCGTCTTGAAAACATAACGAGCCAGTTTACATTAGCTGTTAACAGACGGTAACAGAGGTGCTATTCACATGCATTACAAGGGGTTTAAGCCATCAAAAAAAGGCTGGTTTGCAAGAAAATGAACCAAATAGTCATGATATTGATATAGTTCATAAAATGTCCAACTACTTATTTTTAACCCCACCTCATGCTCAGAGATTTATATAAAGTGCAGGGTTCTTACACCTTTTCCAAAGTCAAATTCAAGCACTTTTCAAGCATTTTCAAGGTGCATTTTCAAGCTTTTCAAGCATCTTACAGCTGTTGTAAATGACATATTTATATACACATACTTATACTCAAATGATTATTTCCCTACCTCACATTAAATCAGATGTTCTTTATGCTATAAACAACCAAATGTGTGTTTCATAATAGCATTCTACATGAGGATGACAAATTAAAAATGTTAGAAAAGAAAACTAAGTTTAATATTTCAAAATGAGTGACCCATCTGTACGTAGACTGGGCATCCCATATAACCTGGCTGAGCCAATATAAAACGATCAGCCAAATAACTTTTCAATACATTATTGATTACTATTTTTTTAGGTACTTTTAGGTTGGCAGTAAACACAAGTCAGAGGTACATGGTGTACTTCTACTCCACTACAGTTCAGAGGTACATGGTGTACTTCTACTCCACTACAGTTCAGAGGTACATGGTGTACTTGTACTCCACTACAGTTCAGAGGTACATGGTGTACTTGTACTCCACTACAGTTCAGAGGTACATGGTGTACTTCTACTCCACTACAGTTCAGAGGTACATGGTGTACTTCTACTCCACTACAGTTCAGAGGTACATGGTGTACTTTTCCTCCCGACAGTGAAGAATAAATATATTTATAACTAGTTTAGCTTGTTCCAGAGGTAGATAAAATAGCTAAGTGTGTTAGGTCTAACTCTTAATGTGTGTTCTGCTCCGCTCACCGGTCCGTCACAGCGGGTGGAGCTGCAGGATTTCTGCTTCACACACACGTTGCATACCACTATTTTATTGTCATTTTCGGACACTTAAAATACTGCCAGACTAGTGAAGCCATTTTGGCGAGCTTGTTTTGCCGCGCACAGAGAAAAGTGTCATGTATTTTACATGCAACGATAGCCTAATCTAAAATGCTCTACTATGGCGTACCTTTCGTGTGGTGTGGCTCGTCAGCGCAGACTCTCGCATCGTTATTGTTGCACACTTTGCAGGAGGCTACTCTTGGGCTTCGCTTGACCCTCGTCTTAGCCATGGCTTGTATTTGTCTTCTGCTAGCCAACGCTCGTTGAAATGGCAACCTCCTGGCATACTGTCATCTATCACTCTCATCAGAATGCCCAGGTCACACACGTAACAAAAACACTTGCCGGTCACGCGCATTGCGCAGGAAGGCCGGAGCGGAGCTGTTTTATGTAAAAGCGAAGCAATTAAGCGCGCTCCGACATCTTTATTTTCTTTTAATCTAAAAAGCGAAGTAAAGCATTTACAATTTCAAGCACTTTATCCCAAATTCAAGCACCATTCCCAAACCTTGAAAACACCTCGTACAATTTCAAGCATTTTCAAGGATTTCCAGCACCCGTACGCACCCTGAAAGTGGCACATGGGTCCTAGAATAAAAAGAACAGACGATTATTTCAACTTTTATCTTGATAAGTGAGAGCGCAGGCCAATCTACATGAATGCAGGGCAAGGCACGTTTCTGTCCAAAGGTTTCCATGATGGAGTCGATAATGTTTTAAAATATCACTTTGAGTGGTATCCCATCTGTGATTAAAAAAATAGAAATGGGTACGTTTACCTGATGCTCATTATATTGATATGCAAACATAACACGTCTTGAATTAACCTCTGAAACAACAACTAGTCTGACACACTCAAGGGCTTACCTAATGTGAACCTGAAGTCCATAGCAGGAGGCAGAGGAGGTGTGACTGTTTTCTGGTGAGGCAAATGAAAGAACAAAATAGTTACATGATGACAATGTAACAATCATTTCAGTAGAATTCATCAAAACATATTTAATTAATTAATGGAATCAAACATTAAAACACAAGTATCGTTTAAAACGGTATTGTATTTATATACATTTATAAGGATGGCATTTATTAAGGATGGTATTGTTAGATACCAGTACAATTCCATGATTCTCTACACAGCAGATCCTAATAACTTCAATATACACTCCTTTATCTCGTTTGTATACTGTCTAATATCTACTTTATGTTGTAGTAAAACATCTCCTTAATAAAACTGTATTTATTGATATTTCTCGCTAAAGACTGCATTTTACTGTTCTACATTGAACACATCTTGCTGACGTTATACATGCCTCCTCGCCCAATACACAATTTTACTGAATTGCGCCTGAATGCACCTTAACTGAAGTCACCTCCGTCTCTTTCTACTGAGAGCTAACGTTAACTCTCCTGCAGATTCCAACATGGATTTGCATCTATAGCGTTGCATAAGCATGAAAAATATAGTTTGCACTTAATTTTGTATAATAACAACTCGATGCTGTAACTGCAGACTATGAGTTTAAATTGGGTACACTAAGATTGTAGAAAGATAATTCATTGCTCACAGTAAAACAAACGGCGAAATACATATAGAGGAATTAATATCAAATAGGCGCATTAGTAACTTACTCTTACATAACCGCTGGGTTATAAAGTCGTAGGGAATAGTTTTAACGGAGGTATTTTATCGCACAACATGCACGGCAGGAGAGCCTCTGAGCCCCGCGGCCGCATCACGGTGCCCGGGCCAACGCTTAGAGCGGCATAGGGGAACAGTTTGCGGAGTTGATTCTTAATACGTACTCTTAACTTAACCACTTTTAACAGAATTGCGTCGGTAAGCACTTGATGCAAACTTTGCCCAACAACTTTGCGTGAAGAAATAGACTACATGAGCACGACAGGGCTGAGTCTAACTTTAACAGCAGTAATGGCGCTGGCATGCATTAAAATGTCGATGTTTCGTTCAAAACAGTGAATACAAGAAAAGTAAATAACACTTTCTAGTTAAAAAGCAGTAATTAATAACTCAGGTGGCATGCTTACTTGTTTTATGATGGTTATTGGTTTGAGGAGGATCCAACGCAAACACGTGTCCAACTGCTGAAGAACCAGTGCAAAGAGGAACAGGAAGTCTCACACCGCGGTATTCTCGTTTGAGGGCGTGGCATGACCGTGGCGTTGAAAAAAGCATTTTTATTACGTTTTCCAAAACGTCTTTTTAAAGAAAGTTCAGAAAATGTGATATTAATTTACAAATTAATGAGTTCTTAAAACATGTTCTCATTGTTGCTTACGTGTTAGTGGCGAACCGTCAGGGCCTTCAAGGTATTCAGAGAATACCCTGATAACTCAGATAAAAAAAAGACATTTATCGATTTAATTATATAAATACAATTTAATAAAATGTAAATACATTTTATAAATGAGAATCGTATCTGTGTTGTTGATCTGTAATAAACAGTGTTACGTTGATTTGTTTGTCCTTCTCGGACCTTGCACTACGCATTTAAAAAAATAAATGCAACCAATCAGATCTGTTTCTGCGTCTGTGGGTATTCTGTATCCTTGATAGAAGGCCCTGGTCGTTGCACTGAATGAGAGCGAACACTCTGATTGACAGTTTGATCAACCAATCATATATTGATTTGTAGCAAATGGGCGTATTCTTTCGGAGTTTCCCACGGTGCAGGGTATGCTAGAAGGCCCGTTAGTTCTGACAGGTGCGAGACACAGGATATAGATGGTAACAATTCATTTTCCGTTTTATGCGTTTTAACGTTGACATGGCAACAGGTGAAGAAGATGTTGTTGCGGAATTATTGTCGGTTCCTTTTTCAAGACGACAATTCACTGAAAAGACGGACATTGTAAAGAAAGGGCGCCCAATGCCTGAAAATCTGGAGCTGAATCAAGTTGCTAAAGCAGGCTATGTTCGCCATTTCCAGACTAGCAACTGGGAAAGATACCCGTGGCTTACGGGCTCAGTTAGTCACAAAAGGCTCTACTGCTGGGAGTGCTTGCTTTTTGGGACCGAAAAGGGGGCATGGAATTGGAAAGGCTACGATAATCTGAGCTGTTTAACCAAGGCTGCACAAAAACACCAAAACACAGCAGGGCATCTTAAGGCAACGGTCACCATGAAGACTTTTGGAGACACAAGGATTGATCTACAGCTGGACGAACAGAGACGTAGAGAAACGATCATTCACAACGAAAAGGTGAACAAAAATCGGGAGATTTTGAAACGTCTGATCCACTGTGTGATTTTCCTTGGGAAACAGGAGTTACCTTTCAGGGGCCATGATGAGAGCAGAGAATCAGCCAATCGAGGTAATTACCTGGAGCTGCTTACATTCATAGCAGAATATGATCCAGACTTGCACTACCATTTGTCCACTTCTAAGGTGTTCATTGGAACCTCGAGTCAAATACAGAACGACTTGATAAGTGCTGTGGCCGAAGTGATGGGTGAGACCATCAAAGAAGAAATAAGTAAAGCACCCTTCGTAGCTTTAATGCTGGATGAAACAACAGATGTCAGCAATGCTGCACAGTTATCGTTTGTTCTTCGGTTTGTAACAGACAGTGGCGTAAAAGAGAGGTTCGTCAAATTTGAGGATGTGACAGGGAAGAAACGGGCAGAGGATGTAGCAGCCATGGCCCTCGGTTTCTTGGAGGAACATGGATGCATGGACAAACTTGTAGCCCAGTGCTATGACGGTGCTGCCGTTATGGCATCGGGGCTGAACGGAGTCCAAGCCAAGGTCAAGGAAAAGATCCCACAGGCACTTTTCATACACTGTTATGCACATGTCCTTAATTTGGTTTTATCTCAAGGTGTAGTTAAAATGAAAGAATGCAGAATTTTCTTCTCACACCTTTCTGGCCTGGCTGCGTTCTTTTCAAGATCGCCAAAACGAACGCAGCTGCTTGATGAAATATGCCAGAAGCGACTGCCACGAGTGGCACCAACCAGGTGGAATTTTGCATCAAGATTAGTGTGCACTGTCTTTGAAAAGAAGGATGCTCTTAAGGATCTGTTTGACTACATAGTTGAACACCACGAGGAATTTGATGATGCTGCCATTCTCTGTGCTGATGGCTACCTATCAAACCTGGGCAACTTTGAATTTGGATTTTTCCTTTCAACTTTTAACGAGATATTTGCGCATGCAGATGTGCTCTTCGCCATCTTACAGAACAAGTCATTTGACATGCAGTTTTGTCTGAGAAGGGTGGAAGAGTTTTGCATTTGCATTGAAGGGCATAGGGATCGTTTTGATCAAATATATGATGAGACTGTGCAGGACACCGGCCTGCCAACTGGACGGAGAGCCCACGGAGATTCTCGCTCGCACTACAAGAAGCTGCACAATGGCATTCTTGAGAACATTTTAAATCAGGTGCAAAATCGGTTTAAAGATCACGAAAAACTGTCATTCCTTTCTCTTCTGGACCCTCAACAGTTCACCAGCTTTAACAGCAACTTCCCTGAAACTGCATTCGCAAGCCTCACAGAGAGCTACGGGCCGCACTTTGACTTGCCTCGGCTGAAAACAGAACTGTCTGTGATGTATTGCAGGGTTGCCAACTCTCACGCATCTGGCGTGTGACACACGCTTTCACTCTCAATCTCACGCTCTCACGCTGCCCAAACTATTCTCACGCCAAAAGCAAGAATACCGAAGACTAGAAACGGTTTTGAAAACTTTTGTCACGTAGTGATCGTCTTCTCAATAGAACATCTTTGATAATGTCTTCTGGCCAATCAGAATCACGATAACGGCGTGGTGTTGTTGCAGGAAGTCCCGACGGAGAATACTTTTGCGGTAGTACATCTCTTTATACATCGATACAACATTACGTGTTGATAGAAATCAACACGTAATGAAATAAGACCCCACGGTTTGATGATTGATAGGTGTGTCTTTCATTTTGACACACAGAACAATGGGGGCTATCCACCCTTATCCACAATGTAAAGTAATTCACACAGCCTCTTCCCTCTTCTCTCTGTGAGGAGCAGCAGGTTCAGCTTTCAGAACAAAGTAACAAAAAACTAAAATGGCATTCATTTTTTAAATGTGTCGTGTAGTAATAGATATATTTATTATTCTTCTCAAGAGAGTACCAGAATGTGTATTTTATGTTAGTATTTTTTAAAAAATCTCCTGGGGGAGAATCCCCCCAGACTCCCCTGCAGGGGTTGGGTTTTCAGCATGTCAACTCTTTCACCTGTGGGGAAATTGCAGGATTGGCTCCAGGTCGCCCTTTTTATTTACTACAAGACAAATGTGCCTTTTTATTTCATACCGTTCAATTTGGATTGAGACAGGGAAATAATCTAAACCTCACGCGTGGCGTTTCACTGTCGGGGGGAGCGTGTATGTAATTACATTGCAAATACTGATTTGAGCCCCACCACTGTATGGGTTAGCCCTAACATAGATTACCCAACAAAAATACTCTGGAGCCGCAACTGCCGACCCGTATTGCGCATGCGCAGATCTAAGATCCAGTGGAAATGATAAAAAAGTAAAAGTCTGCTGCTTATTGTTCTACTAGGCCAAAATAGAGTCAAAGAGTATATGAGAGTGAGAGTGTGTTAATTAATATATTTGGCAGTTTGGAGTAAGTCTATAGATTTGTTTGTGTGTGTGTGTTTCATGTATAGGCCTCTCACGATAATTAATTTTGTTGGATACATTTTCCCGGAAATTATTGCGATAAACGATAATATTGTCGGCACCGTTGTATGACCATTTTAGACCACTGACATAATGATAATATATAATAATAATTCAAGTACATCCTTTCAAACTGCTAGTCACATCCTCATGTAAATGGCAATTTATCGAGGTCAGAAAAGTTATCGAGTTCATTTTTATTTATCATACGATAAGTCAATTAATTGCTTATCGCGACAGGCACACAATAAAACAGTGGAAACAAACATGTTTGACTTTAATTAGTGAATGAAACTGTGTGCCCTTTATAGTCTGTGTCCATTATTGTGTATTTGTATATATTGTATATATATCCTATATGCTAAGGGCTCGCTGCTGACACGATAGCAGTCATTTCGTGCGCATATGTGTAATTAAACCGAATTAAACCCATGATATCAAAATCGGCGTTTGTATCTACAGAAGGTCCAGTTGTGATAGACACGCTTCGCCACTGCGTGTTACTTATTTAAACGCACATTGAAAAAAAACTAATTTAGGGCAAGTAAATTACATAAAAAAATTGAGTTTTGTTGACTTCACCATCGGAACTGTTTTTACAGTGTATAAAGAATAGACACTGAACATGTATTGCATGTGCCAGGTGTGATTGGGCACATAATGGTTACTAATTCCTTTTCTTTATGGCGGTCATTTTTGACCGGGAACACCAAGGGTGTTACAAAGTTGACTTAATCATCCAAAATTCAATGAAAGTGGTGATCAGCTATTTTATATGTTCAAATGTCTACTGTGAAGGATATCATAAAGCCTTAATGCAATTGAATGTAAAACAAAAAAGTTATGATTGATGAAAGTAGCAAAGCGGTCAGATTTGACCCGAAGACAACAGGAGGGTTAATCAGTTCCAGATACCTGTGAATAAATGTGTCTGCCTTTGTACACTGATCTGGAAGTTGTAATGCACATGTGTAAATGATAAACTGAAGCATATTGTTGCACTTATTTCTCTTAAGAAATGTCAGGTTGTTCATAATAGTGTAAAAAGTAGTTTATTAAATGGGAACATTTTCAGAAATGTACTTTTTTGCACTTTAACAAAGGGAACTATTTAGAGTTGTCTTTATTCAATTGTGCAATGATTTTTCCGGTCCAGCCCAGTTGAAATCAGATGTGGCTTAAAGTGGCCCCTACTACTAAAATAGATCTTAGTTACATTTTAAAGACTACGAAAGTACACCAACAATTTTAAAGAATTGAATGTTTTAAAGATTCTTAGCAATAAATAAAATCCATTCTGATAAATAGCTTACTGAACTTTACATACATAAAATGCATCAAAATATATGGTAACATACACTGTAAAATGAGGGATATTTGGCCTAAACCCTGGTATGCTATTCTGGACCACTTTTGAAATTATTGACTTTAATTCCAATTATTGAAAACTAAAAAAAAACAAAAACCATCAGCAGTAATATATGTATTGGTATGACTAACATTCACTTGTGTACCCAACAAGGACGGGGGATTTCTAAACAACAAAACATTTTGGAATATAAATCACAATAAATAGTTGGCTAGTATTACAGCCTTAATTGTTCGCATACCTCAGTAAAAGCCCCATTACTGATAAAGGGGAACTTTATAAAATTCTTATGTTATGTGCAAAAATGTTTATAATTATTGATCGTATATGGATAAAGTAGTAACATTTTTGTGCACTTTAAAATCAAAATATAAAAGAAACCATGATGACACAGATGTTTGAAAGGAGTAGTTTATTACAGAGCATAAGGAAACTACTCAGTCTAGACATGAAGCACAATACAGTATGAGCTACTTGTTCCTCTGGAAGTTGAGCGCATGTTGGTAGGAGAGAAAAAGCAAAGAAGAGGAGTAGAGGAAATAGAAAAGGCACTCTTACACTTACTGTAGCCAACGGGATGGCTTCTGAGTGGTAAAAAGGGGACAACCTAAACTTGAACCTATCCTTCACATGGGACGACTGTAAACAAGGCTGGTTTCTCTGTACTACACCAACCAAATGTTGCCATTCCTTGCGGATAGGTAAAAGCTAAAGGATTGCACCAGACATTTTAAATGGGATTTCAAAACCAATTCACTTAAAAATATAATCTACAGTCCAAAAATAAAAAAGATAGTCATTGACAACAGCCAGTGGCACTTTCATCTTGAGGCGGACCAGAGCTTTTCTGTACAACACTCTGGAGCATCAAGCAAAAACACTGAAAAATGGTCAAGTCAAAAGGAATTCAAGATTCAATAGCCATATGCGTTTAAAGCTGCCTTCTGAAACATCGGCTTCTCTGTATCCACGCCGAGTTTCAGAGAACAAATAAATAGTGTTAAGGGTTGACTTTAAGCCAATAAGACTCTGTGGCAAAGAACACACTCCTTGAAGAACAAAGATGGGACCAGGTTTCTCTGTAGCTACACCTGCCATCAATATACTCGAGGAGCAAGAGGACCTTTCGTCACTTCAAACCATAACAATTCAAGTGAAACTACATTTTAAAAAAAGGACTCATTTAAAATTGAATTTCAATGCATAATCAATCCAATCTTTGCTATTACTATCAAGTATAACAAATACCTCTGCAGACCAGAGCAGTGACATAGCAGCTTCCGACTTTTCTGTATTACGTCAGAAATCAGCAAAGGTCTGGAGGGGCATCTGAGGCTTTATGCTCAGTCGAGAGCTTGATTATTTAGGATTGGCTCACCTATTAGCCTGCAATGCATAGCATTTTTTGTGAAAACAGCAACAACCCTTAACATTTTAATTGTGCCATTCTAGCATACTCCACATAGACAGGGGAATAAAAACAAAAGAGGAAGAGAACACTGGGTCGGGGGAATAATTGTACAGGACTAAACAAAAAGGAGGAATGTTTAGAGAGACGCTAAACTTATTTAGATGGTGCCAGATGAGAAGGACCTCCAACTATCAAATTAGGCCTTTACATTGACCTAAACAATGTAAATATCGCACAGACACCTTACATTAGAAGCACCATTGAATTCAGTGGTGGTGTCGCTTAAAGCCTAAGATGCATTGCATACAGTCTAAGATCGCTGACACTAAATAGAAGACAGACGCTTTTTGAGTGTGGAATGCCAAAAGGAGAACAACTGAGCACAGCTACTCAGCGTTTACTACAAAAAGCAGGGGAACCGCAGGACATGGAAAACATTGAGTACGATGGTGCATGAGTTCATGGAACTCATGCAATTGTTTAAACATCAAGTTTCTGAGGCATGCCTCCTATGACAAAGTATGAAACAGTAAGAAGACAAAAGGAGGGAGTAGGAGTGAGGAAGGATTCATGAGTTAAAGATGCCATTACTATGAGAGACAAGGGCATTTCACCCCCGGAACCTAGGAGGCTTCTCTGTAGTATACACCAACAGGCCTGGGGGGAAAAGCTTAACATGTTTAGTATTTGAGCTTTTTGGGCACCTCCCATGGGAAGGAGTCTCGGCCAAAGTGGCCATAGGCTGCGGTCCTCTGATACAAGGGCTTCTTCAGATCCAGCTCCCTGGAATACATAATCAACACATTTAGCAGCAGTCGCACCTAGTGACTTCAAATGCACATAAGCATTCTCACAATAGCTAATAAGAATGTCGAGAGCCACCAAAAAGCATAAAAAAAATATAAAAAATCATGTTCGTTAGACCAGCTGGAATAGAGGGAAACACGTGAAGCGTCGACACTTACCATGACGACCACACTCAGCCCTGAGCAGTGTGGTGACTGCAGCGGCAAACCACTCTACGGCTTACAAAAAGGATGCTTATCAAACTATAAGCTACAGGGCTTCTATACAAAATATGCCATGCATAACGGATTAACGAGACCTTTTGCCACTAATGCCCACATGTGTGACCTTCAACACTAAGCCATATCATTTCAGTAGAATTAGATAGGGTAAAGTAGTTGATCAAAAAAAATTAAATAATTGCTAACGTTAGCAAAAGAAGAATTATAATGGCTCTGCAGAGTTTCTAAATACTTTAAATTAAATAAACGAAATCCTGGGCAGGGCAATTTAATAAAACACAAGGCACAGCAAACCGGAAGGATCTGCTGTTCCACTAAGTAACAGGTGGCTTCAGGGGATGGATATACATTACCTGACAATAACTCCAGGACGAAGGTCAAAGTTCCTCTTCACAATATCAAGCAGCTCCCTCTCACTCTTTTTGGAGGTCCCGTAGTGGAAGATAGAAATGGAAAGGGGATGGGCAACTCCAATGGCATAGGCAACCTAATACAACACACGCACATGTATTATATCAAGCAGAAACACTTCAGATAGGAACCTCTTTGTTGACCCTCTCTAAAACGAAGTGCGTTGAGTTTACCGCTTACCTGGACCAACACTCTCCTGCAGAGCTCAGCCTTCACCAGAGACTTGGCCACCCAGCGTGCGGCATAAGCAGCCGAGCGGTCCACCTTGGTGTAATCCTTCCCAGAGAAGGCCCCACCGCCATGGGCTCCCCAGCCTCCATAAGTGTCAACAATGATTTTACGCCCCGTCAGGCCGGCATCCCCCTGTAATAAAGAAATAGTTGTTACACAGGTATGTACCCCCCAGGCTAAATATGATTTCAAAGCCACACCCTACCGACACCTCACCTGCGGGCCTCCAATAACAAATCGTCCGCTGGGCTGCAGATGGTAGATTGTGTCATCATCCAAATAGATGCATGGAACCACAGCTTTGACCACCTTTTCCTTCAGGGTGTCTCGCATCTCCTCTAGGCAAATATCTTCATCATGCTGAACAGAGACCACAACGGTGTGCACACGCACTGGAAGCATGGCGCCATGGTCCTGGCGGTACTGGACGGTAACCTGTGTAGGGATAAAGAATTAGCTAAATCACACTAACAAAAGTAAAAGTATAGTGGCTTATAAGAGCAAGTACATCAGCTTTACCTGTGTCTTTGAGTCTGGCCGGAGCCATGGAAGGGTGCCATTGCGACGCAGCTCGGCCATCTTAGAATTCAGTTTGTGGGCAAGGACAATTGTGAGAGGCATACACTCCTCAGTCTCATCCGTGGCATATCCAAACATCAAGCCCTGCAGAGCAAGAGACATTTAGTCTGTTAAAAAAAATAATACATCTATTCTAAAAAAATATGTTTTTTTAAAAAGACCAGTAAACTAACTTTAGTAGAGATATGTCTGACAAAAATAATGTGGGCCCCTACTGACCTGGTCCCCTGCTCCAATGTCCTCCTCATTGCGGTCAATGTGAACACCCTGAGCGATGTCAGGAGACTGCTGCTCCAAGGCCACAAGAACATTGCAGGTCTTGTAGTCAAAACCTGTGCAGGAGACAGAGAGCAGCAGATTAAGAAACTACTATTTAAACACCAGCTAACAGATTAGGCAATCAAATAAACAAACAACAATGTGCCACACCTTTGGAGGAGTCGTCATATCCAATTTGGCGGATTGTGTCACGAACAACTTTCTGGTAGTCCACGTTGGCACGTGATGTCACCTCACCGGCCAATAGGATCATCCCAGTTTTGGCAACAGTCTCTGCAACAGACAAGAAGGATGCAAAAACAAGGTAATGTCAACAAGTGTACTGAGCAAACAGAAAGGGGGACAAAATTATAATCGGAAGGTTGGGGGTTCGATCCAAGCCCTATGCAGTCAACACGTTGATGTATCCTTTGGCAAGATACGTTGCTCGTGTGTATGAATGCAAGATTACTTGAGCAATAGGCACATTGCTCTGTATGAAAGAAGTGTGAATGATTACTTTTAGCATGTCAAAGCACTTTTAGGGTTCGTAAAGACTGGATAAAGCGTTATACAAGTACAGTCCATTTCACATCTTACTTACCACATGCAACTTTGGCATCAGGGTCCTGCTTGAGATGAGCATCAAGAACTGCATCACTGATCTGATCACAGATCTTGTCTGAAAAACAACAACAACAATGCAACTTAACACCGGAAACAACAAAAGACTGCAGCAAACCCATGTGCATGTAAACTGAGGCACATTAGCGCCAGTCTCGCGCAGGGGGAGTGGCTCGGAGCCCTTCGAGAGTCGCCATTTCGGCATGAGAACACATGTGATGGGGAAAGGAGGGCGCGCAACTACCGGGGGACCAAAAGGCAAGCGTGATACACACTTCTAAACAATGAAGTAATTCCATATGCCGACACTAAATGCCAGTTAATAAACATACACCATGGTTCCGTGCTGTTTGGGCCAATCATTGTGCCTCGCGTGCTTCAGGAATAGCCCTGGAAGATTTGGCACGTTCAGGAAAACGTTAAACAAAAATGATATTGTAATGGTATCGGTCAATCACCCATTCAGTGATTGACCGATACAAACAGTTGTGTGTTTCCAGTCGGCGCACAGACGGGATCAGTAAAGATTAGCGTGCTAACATTAAAGCTAGCTAGTAGCGCATGCTCTCTTGACACCGGCCCAGCTAACGGAAAAGGCCGTAACGTCCAAATATATTAATGTATACTCCAGTATGTCATGTTGCAGTTAACTGTTAACATGGACTATATGTTAGGCAGAAAGCGTCGTTAAAATACAGTTATTAATGTGGCTAATATCCCCAGACGCATAAACCTGTGTATGTGTGTGTGCGCTTACCGGGATGTCCTTCCCCGACAGACTCTGAGGTGAACAAGAAACAGTCCTCATCAATGAGGGCGTTATGAAAACCATTCAACTGTCCGTTCATTGTCGATAACGGCTGCTGCTGCTATGTAAAACTTGAATATGAAGATATCTCTTCAGCTAGCAGAGCCTCTTCTATAGGACTGTCTTCGTTTCTCGGTGTATTGATCCTCAAGCGTGAGCCTCATGGCGCAGAGCTCCACTATTTAAGGATAAAGTCTGACGCGTTGACGTCATCAGGAGGCGGGTCATACCATCGAGCCAATCACAGGGCTTGCAGCATACAGTGTACGGTTGCATGCTGAAACAGGGAGATGCATTGCAGAATGGTAGTCATACAGCAACCATGTGCTATCAAAATATCAGAAGTAGAGTGTGTAGTGAAGTAAAAGTAGAGGTACCAGAGAGCAAGAATACTCTGTTACAACCAAAAGTCCTGCATTCTAAATCCTACTTAGTAATAGCATCAAAATATACTTGAAAGTACCAAAAGTAAAAGTACTCATTATGCCGATTGGCCCATTTCAGAATTATATATATTATGTGTTTTGATTATAATTATTGATGCAATAATGTGTTTATCAAAGCCGGTAAAGCTGCTAATTGTAATACTTTTGTATGCTGGAAGGTAGCTTGTGGATTTACTCCAGGTGTGACTTTTAGGTTTTATCAATTGTTGATTACATTTAATATCATTGATCCAAATTTGCAAAACTTAAGGTATGAAATAAATGTTGTGGATTAAAACTACATTTGTTTACCTCTGAATTGTAGTGTGGTAGAAGTACAAAGAAGCAACACATTTAATACTCAAATACAGGTCCCTCAAACTCACACTTAAGTATAGTACTTGAGGAAATGTTCTTAGTGACTTAATATCACTGCAAATATACTTAAGTGATTTGAGCGCCTTGCTTTATCAACGTCTTTGAGGGGAAAAAATATCGCACCTTAAGTGTGTATGTCATTGTTAGACTGAAATGTGTTGATAGGAAAAGTAGGTGATGTAATAATAGTCACAAGTTGTGTTGTCATTTTACATTAGATTCACAAGCTAGAAACCCTACCAATCTTCAATGATAATATGTTTAGATCTGACTAAAACTAAAACAGCAGCACTTGCATTTTAAACTTCTCCACCACCAACACCCAAACAATCCTTTGTGTGTTTTGTCACAGCCATAATACCATCAATGTATAAATACAATGGCATACTTTCACGATAACCAAAACATAAACCTAATCCTAACAATAAAACAATGTGTTCACTCATAAAAATAAAATACTGGCAAAGATGTCATTTATTTGCAAAACAAACCTATATTGTTCAAATGCCTGACACTTGATGTTTCTCAGGCTGACCACTCTTCCCATTTCATCTCATGTTCTGTTTTGAGCAGGTGGAAGAAGAGAGGACTGGCTGTCATTCTGCAAACAGGAAAATTCAGCTTAAAAGCTCTCATTTAATAAACAACTGAGACAAAATATATGAACTTAAAAGGCTTCTTTAAAGGTTAGGGGTTCAATGTTAAATGGACATCCAAAGTTAAGGACTTCTATTATTCCGGATGTGTCATTTAATGAGTCAACCAATATAAATATTTCCCAGAAACCTGAGTAAGCGGTGATATAAACCAACACTGGCATGGTAAATCTAATAAACTGCATTCATTTGAGCTATCACAGGAAAATCAGAACATGCACTTTCCTGGTATAACAACCATATTAACTTGTAAATACATTTGCAACAAAGGTAAAACTGGTAAGTGGAGAGAAGAGCAGCGCATACAATCCTAATTTAACTTGATTATGCTTTACTCAAAAAGCTCCCATCTCACTTTGACCCTTCAGGCCCTGTTGTGTAATATAATCAAAACCTCTGATTGTGAACATGTTGTACCTTTGTATGAAACAGATGGGTTTAATTAATGTTGGTACAAGGATTAGTTTGCTATGGTTTGTGCTCCAAAGCAGTTCCGGTCCCTGTGCTTTAGCTTGAAAAGATAGATTCATCCAGAATTCAATGTTGACATTAGGATAATATGGTTTCAACGTTTTTGACTCATGTGCACATTTTCCGCTTGTCATTGTGAGTATCTAAAATGCTGCACAAAATAATAATCTCTTGTAATAACATATAACGTATTGCTGGTCATGATGACAAAGCATTCATGAAGGTGTGGACTAGATAAACAAAGTTTATACCTTTTAATGGAGATTATTAGATAACTCACATCAGCTGTTATTTTATTACACCAATAATATATATTGGTTTGTTATCATAAAAAGTCATAAATCAAGGGGTTTCATTCAGCACGCACACACATACTGTCATCATGTTATAAGTCAGAATTTGACATTTTAATTGTGCAATTTTGATGGAAAATCCAACCCATAATAAACTATCCATGCTTATAACACTACAGAGTCATTAGTATGGTCCGCAAGTGCCCTTTTTTATCCATTTAATAATGTTATTATTGTGTTAATCGTCACTAAACAGAGGAATTCAATCCCTGAGCAGTGTTGCATCAGAGCGGTACTGTCATTTGTCACCATGAATTTGCAGGGTGGACGCTTTCTTTTCAGAGGACAAACGCATGATGCAAGATGCACCTGCTGTTGCCTTTTACAGGATGTAATGTGTCGGTTACTGACATTCATTCAGAGAGTCAACAGCATGTAACAATCACATGGATTAATGATAAATCAAGGGGATTGAATGGATGAAAGCTGAATAAAAAAAGACGGGAGGTCCACTCTAATACTGATATTCATTGACTGAAGTAAAATTATTTTACATAAAATTAAAGATACTACTTTTGCTGCATTAATGACCTTCATTGTCATTATGTAAATATTACTTGCAGTTATCTGTGCAAATGGTTTTGACTGCATTGAGTATTGCCCTTATTTACTTTGTAACCCAACATCGTAAACACCGTTTCTGTTTCTTTATCGCTATCTTTTTAGTCTCCAGGAATATTAAGCTCTTTATTGTATCATGTTGTTCACTTGTTCGGATATGTAAATTCCTCATTAGACACATTACACTGTTAGCCCTTTTGAATCAATGAAAACACAGACATCACAATTTGAAGAGGGTTGTATTATTTCTTTGGACAGTTTGATAACTAAGGAACCAACCCCTAAAAACATTTTTGCCTCGCTGATCAGGTAATTTCACAGAGATAAACAATTCTCATAACAAATATTATCTCACAGACTTGCTCATTTTTTGTCAATTTCACAATTATACAAAGTCCTGTAGACTAAACAATCTACATTTACAATAAAAGCAACATTTAAACTGGATTTTCTAAAATGTAAATGGCAGAATCAGACACTCTCTTCATAGTTCCTGACAGAGCAATAATCAATATTCTATAATATCCATTGAAATAATGCTCCCTCACTGGCCAGCAGAATTCAGGCTCATTTACAGTTAAATAAGAAAATAAATACATAATTTAAGTAAAATAATCTTTGTGGCATAGATTGTCATCCATTTTATGTATTATATCATATTTCATATTTGTAGTTTAGATACATACTGCCACATAATTACAAAACAATAACATTCTGTTATTCTGACAGAGCATTATTTCATTAACATTTCACAATAAATAGACACTGGTCATTACTGCATAGCTGACCATATTTATCTAAATCACCTAAAGTAGGACAAAGTCATACAATCTTAATCTTTTTCAAACATCTTACTCTAAACAAAGGTCCATTATATTTTTCATTTTGAAAACAAGAAAATACATGAATGCACTATGAAATGATCTGAACTTTTTTAGATTTCTGCAGGCATTGCTATCCTGCGTTTTCTTCACCTAACACGTACACTGAAGTAGCATTTGTATACTGTCCTTACATAATTTTCCTAACAAGTTTCACAGCCACAATTATAACAAAGAGGAGTCCAAAACAGCACTTTACGGCACAAAAATCACAGTACCGGAATGTACAGTATGTCCAGCTGCAAACCATGCAAACGCACTCACACACCATTCACTGCTAACTCTAGCACACACACACACACATTCCCCCCCCCCCATCCAAAACACACTCACGTCGATAAAAACACATACACACAACAACCGATTACAGACGTACACACTGAGGTTACAGCTACTACAGCATACACTGTCCTATGCTAACAGCCCAAAAGTACAAAGTGTCTAATATGATGCATCATAGGTCACACGGTAACAATGCAACACGACTACTGTGACTATTGTCACTGTCAGCTAACCACCAGGATCAGTAAGGGAGTATCTAAGCAAGATGAAAACACAAGAAACATACACAGTGAACTGAATGAAAGTAAAGTCATTAGCGGAACACGTTAGCTTTGCATCATACCACTAACGCTATATGCAAAGGCCTGTAGTAGCTCTAAATAGTAGAGATCCTGCTCACAGTTGTCAGAGATGTCAGGATTGATTATCAGTTGTATAGCTTTTTTATTTTACTTTAAATAAATATGGCTCATTCACTCACATAAAAGGTATGTGTCCAAGCAATATACTGTAAATGTTTCCTGGGTCAGATATTGCTGAAGTAAACACTGAAGTTAGTAAAGCAGATTAAGTAGCCAACAACTAGTTCTTACAGCTAGCCTCCCACGGCGATCACATCCCACTGATATGGTGGTCTATTTAAAGGCCTTCACGCTCATATTCACTTTCTAAGCTGACATGTGGTCTGCTGCTGCCAGGGCCGGTGGCCGAGCCCCCTAAACTCCAGTGTCCATGCTCTCTTTTCTCATGCGCACTGAAGGGACTTTATTCCCAGTGGTGGATCTTGGGAAAGGTTCCCCGTGTTACGTAAGATGTTGCTGTGTAATGCATGCTGAATTTACAAAGCAAAGAATATCCACAAGAGCCTAGGCGGTGGGTGAGGCTCTGAAGGGAAGACTAGTTTCAAACTTGTTTTGGGCACCACAGAATAAGTTATTATAGCACATAAGTCTGGCATTGTTAAATCTCTTGTTAAATCTCGTTCTTCCAGGGATCGGCAACCCGCGGCTCTTTAAGCCCTCTACTCTGGCTCCCTTGAGCTTAGACAAAAATAAGAAGGAAATCAAATGAAAATATTTGTAGGACTATTTCTATTTTGTTGTACGGTTGAAAATGTTTCGTATCTTGTATTTTGAGGTGATACTGTGACACATACAAAAATAAGATAAAATATGCTCTGAGAGAGAATTAAGATCCTATATAAAATATGCGTCATATCCTGCATAGGCCTGTGCATTTTTTTTAATTCTCCTTATAAGAGTTCTTTGTTTATTATTAGAGGTAAACAGTTTTCTATAATGTAATAAATAATAAATGCAAAAAAACGGTAGTTTTTGTCTATGATGTAACAATATATACAACTTTATAAGCTATCAAGCTATCAAATATGTTTTGCGGCTCCAGACAAAAGAAATTGGTGGAAAAGGGGGCAAAATGGCTCTTTTGGTCAAAAAGGTTGCAGACCCGTTCTATACTGTCTAATGTACATTGACTGTATGCATGTTGGCAATGTTTGCACAGCAACGGTTGGTGTCTCAGCATTATCATTGTTAAAGGTCACAGTAATTAGTAACATGCATTTCATAACCGTAGCAGTAGCATATTAGCCTGAAATGGTCACATCTCGTTTTTCCGTAGCCTAGTAATCTATTATTATTATCATTGTTTTAATCATAAACAAATATGTTGTGGTGCTTAAAACATGTATGACAGTTGTTCAAATATTAGCCTTCCCTATCTTCAGAGCCTCAACCCCTCAAGTATGCCGTTGTGGGAGGTTTTAGGGCCTTGGTGTGTTAAAGTGTTAAAACAAAATCTGTTTTTTACTATTTTTCTATGGTCCGTTTTGTCAGAGCTGATTTGTTCCATATGCTACATGTTCCACAACTAAGCAGACTAGTTGATATGGGAGAAATGTCTCTGTCAAGTATGTCCTACTCCTTGTCTTAAAAGCGTGACTGCTATTTAGGTCAGTGCAGAGTTTCAAATCATTGTTGGAATATGGGGAATTATTTCCTAATGCAAGGTGTCAGCTCCCTGTACTGTCCACACCTGAGAAAAGGACAAAGGTTGAAGGAACACGGGACAGAATTAAAGGTTTAAAAATAAAAAATCTACAATGTGCACGGCTAAATAGAACAACTCAAGGCAAAGTTAGCCTTCTAGACAAACCAGATGGCTGTTCCTGAAAAGGATGGCATCAGAAAACTGTAGATGTTCATGACAGAAAACATACAATGTCGTGAAGGTATTTAATAAAAGACACTGTAGTTGGATATGTCACCTGTCTCACACTCCTGAACCCTCACTGTCTTTCTCTTTCTCCCCAGAAGCAGACACCTGGCTGCTGCTGCCCTCTGCTGGAGGTCTAGTGGACTCACTCATTCTCCGCTGTAGTGTTGGATGGAGAGGCATCAGTGACATTGAGCATTTTCATTTTGGCCTGTTCAGGGCTGCCTCGGCTGTGGCTGCGGTGGTGGTGGTGATGGCGGTGCTTGGCCTTGCGTGGACTGGGACTGCGGGACCTCGTCTTCATGATGACGGTGCTTTCGTCCTCTGAGCTGATGTCCGAGCTGTCAGAAGAACTGGCTTCAGGACCTGAAGTGGGAAGCTGGATCTAAAGGAAGATGGAAATGAGGGTTTGAGTGAGATATAATACAGAGAAAGAGCAGCACACATGATGTAATGTCCTCTTCTAATGCATTGTTTTAATCTCAAGAAAGCAGTACCATGATTACCTGAAATGGCTCTGTGACACCCACAATGGTGCTCATATTGTTGCTATAGTAACCCAAGATAAAGTCGCCTGAGCCTTTGGGCAATTCCTCCTCAGTAAAGGTTACCTGGAAAAACAGTCAGTCAGACATTTATTAAATGTGAAAGAGAATTATGTCTGAAGCTAAATCAGGACGAAACAAGGTTACCTGATGTTCTGGTCGAGTGAAATCAGCTTCCTCTTGCTTCGCCCACACATATCCCACATAGTCCTTATGGTGCTTGAAACCCACCTAGTGTTATAATAATAAAAGTCACTTAGCGGCCTTGCATATTATTTAAAAAAAATAACTGACAAAGCAGTAAATAAATACAACAATAGTACACAATGTTTTATCAGTTAGATACCAGAGGTGGAAGAAGTACTCAGATATTTTACTTAAGTAACAGCAGCAATACTACAGTGTTAAAATACTCAGTTACAAGACAAGTCCTGCATTCAAAATTGTAATTAAAGTAAGGATTAAAAAGTATTGGCATCACAATTGTACTTTAAGTACCAAAAGTAAAAGTACTTGTTATGCAGAATGGCCCATTTAAGCACCATATGTTTTAATTATTTTATTATCATTATTATTCCATTATTGTGTTCATGACTTCATTGTTGCTCTTGGTAAAAGTTTGGTTTATTTTAATTACTTTATATACTACTGGGTAGCTTAAACTGTAATAATACATGATAATATATTAGTTGATTAAGATGTTGTATACATAATCTAAATCTGCAAACTAACTAGTAATTGATCAAATAAATGTAGTGGGGTAAAAAACAACAACATTTGCCTACTAAATGTAGCGAAGTAAAAGTACTATTACGTGAAAATGCTCAAGTAAAGTACAAGTACCTCCATTTTTTACTTAAGTACAGTACTTGAGCAAATGTACTTTGTACGTTATAATAGATCAAGGTACTACTAGTAAAATATAAACATAAGGTTCTATATACATTTCAATTGTGCAAATTGGTTAATTGCAGGGTTTTGAAAGAGCTTGAGCATGGTTTTCTGTTGGAAGAAGTGAGAGTACTTTACCTTGTAGAGTCCCATCCAGTCCCAGGAGCTGCGGGGGAAGTTTGGCACCAGTTTGAACCTCGCTACGGCATCAGCAATACAGTTCCACTCGTCCTCCACCATGATAGTGACCAGGGGAATATCCACCTTGTACGGGAACTACAAAGAACATTTCCAATGAACATTTATACATTGCTAACTATTTCAAAGTTTCAATTGGGTTTATAAAAAAAAGGCTGAAATATCGAACCTAATGTGTCCATATAAACTGTCTCAAAAGTTGGGACCCAATGCATGGTCAAATGCTAAGCCTTGAGAAGGTATTATTGGACCATTTTAAATCACAAGTTTAAACTGCAATATTCTTGAGTTTAAACATTAAACATGAGTATTTTCAAAATAAAGGGCTAAAAGTAGTTCTGGAAATGTGTATGTTGTCATTGTTTCTGCACCTTACCACTAGTATTGAGATTTAAAAGATTGCAAGGGTAAATCAAGGTTCAAGGTTCTTTATTGTCAAACTGACATAGTTACAGAGTAATTATGTTGTTGAAACTCTTATGTCACAGGCTTCTCCAACAATGCAACATAATAACAATACAGATAGCAAGAGCAATACAAAAAGAAAAATAGTTATAAAATAAAGTGAGCATGTGGAATAGTGCAGTACGAGTCTATATACAAGTTATTGGAATGATATATATTAGATATTAGATACATATTACTGAGTAGCAGATGAATGTTTTGAAGTTGTTTCAGCAGTTCAATTGTTTAACAGTCAAATCATCTTCACAAAGTACCCTTATAAGTCTCACCTGCAGGGTGAAGATGGAGGACACCGGTTTGTGGTCACTGACTGTGTACTCCATGTAGCTTCGGTAGTAGTGCTGGGTCACTTTGGTCCCGCTGGTCAGACCCAACATGGACCCACGCTTCCCTGCGTTCAGAGCAGACCCGGCCGTGGCTCTCAGGCGCCACAGAATCCGGTCGGTCCAAGCTGGTTTACGCTTCTTCCCGCTGGGTGGAAAACAGAAAGAGATATGGAACTCAAATAAACGTGTTTAATAACATAACCTGGAGAAACAAGAGGTGCTAATATGCTCCCCTTTGGTAGAGCTGTGATAATTGATCAGTTGCCTGGAATTAAGAAAAAGCACAGAGGCGTCACCAACCTTGTGTCGTATGTATCGGTTCCAACGTCAAACTTGTAGGTGGGAGGAAATTTCAGCGCCCCCTCTTGGAAACCCTCCAACACCGTCTCACTGTCTTTGGCCATATTGAGCTGTAACATTAAAGAATGTCCCTCACTGAGGATTTGTGTTTAACTGACAGCTTCTTTATGGAGATAGTTTGTTTTTATACTGCCCTCCGGTGGCATCACCAACACACTGCATAGTCCAGCAGACGAGAGAAAATGTATTTTAGCATGGACTTCCTGTTTTATGTGTGCCTCTGCAGCTTGGGAAAAGTCTTCACACGAATTGTGATCCAAAGATCAGACTTAAAAGATAACTTTTCAGGGGGTAAACCGCTATGAATACAGATGTGAGGGGGAAGTTGCATTTCAAGAAGACCCCACGCAGGAGTTAGATTTGAAAGTATTCTATGATTATACAGAAAATCAGCCCTTTTTACCTGATCCTTTTCCAACAACATTTGATACTTGTTGTTATCGATGGCTGATTTCACAACCTGCATATCCAACTCATCAATGCGGAAATTGAGATCTCCGAACCAGAACACCACACTGTGAAAAAAAAAGGGAGTAATTTCATGAATTCAAACCATGGAAACTACATAAGAACTTTTGCAATGCTGACTGGTACACGATTTTCACCATAAAACATGACTTTGGAGAAATCAAGAATGCGATTGTTTGTCACATATAAATGAGCAGGTAACGGTTGTGCTGACGTACTCATGGTCGAGGACCCCGGTGGCAGCCTGGCCCTCGAACTGCTGCTGCTGCAGGATGCTCTCAAAGTCCTCCATGCGCTGCTCTGAGTTCTCCATGTGAGCCGGCAGGTGGCAGTTGAGGAAGCAGATGGTGTGGCCGAACACTGACATGCGGGCGCTCACACCACCTTTATTCCCCTGAAACACCAGCAAGAAAAAAAGTTGTTTAATCATTTTGAATAGAGAAAGGCACACAGACAACCCTTTTTATTTATCTGGAAGCAAAATGAAATGAATGAATGACCTAAATGACTACGGTCAGTGATGTAAAAGTGATGTAAGAGAGTGACGGTCTCTCACTTTATTGAGCGATGCGTGTCTGTGGCAAAGACAAACAGGAAGTTTACTCATTAGGGACCACCAAGAGTGGGATCAATATTTAATGGTAACAGATAAGTGCGCAGTGGGGTGACAGGATGAGTCTGAATATCTATTCCCGCTGTTCTACCAACAGCGCTGACCCACTAAAAACATGTTTCAGTGTAAAGGCTGTAGAATGTGCTGATCCCTGAGTTAATACAGAGAGCATTTTACCCTGAGCTACAAAACATTTCAGGGAACAGGATCTTAATTCTCTCTCGGAGCATGCCATTGTCCTTTAGTAACATATTGCAGAAAGCATATTTTTTTAACGGTTTAAAAGAACAGTTTTTTATTCTTATTAAACCTGACAGAACAGCGTTTGAATATGAGGTGACAATATGGCCTCAATGAAAGATATATAATAAAAAATATAATATATAGTTATTATGGATTGAATCAACACATCCTTAAAATGTTCTCTTTCCAAAGAGAATCATACAACGCACCACTTTAAATCCTGTATTTATCTGAGATATGCTTATATGTTTCTTTAACATTAAAGCATGAGAAAGGCATAAAGAAATTGAATAATCGGTCAAAGTCATCCAAGACCAAAACAACCGATTAGCCGACTGATTGAATAAGAGGGAGCAGCCGTCGTAGAAGTGTGTAACGCTGTAGTGGAAAGTGTCTCTGATCTCTATCAGGGCAGTGATGCAGGTTTACACCAAGTCACAGAGTTATCTACAGCTAGGCTCTCATGTGTAACATTTCCACCACACAGTGATCACAGCGTGGTGTCAGCAGCCGTCTCACCCAGTATCCCCCCAGGCCGGTGCGGGTGGTCTCAGTCTGGACTCCGCGCAGGAAGGGCAGATGGAAGTACTTGGCAAAGACCAATAGCAAACACCCCTGCATCCGCTGAGAGGTGACCTGAGGGACAGACAAGCAGAGATGGGAGGTAACTAAGTACAATTACTCAAGTACTGTCCAAGTTTGAGTATTTCCATTTGATGTTACGTTATACTTCTACTCCGCTACATTAAAAAAAAGTATGTAATTTTACTCCATTACATTTATTTAACAGCTTTAGCTACTTTTAACAAAACGCATCTCTAAAAATTAAACTAGTGGACTAAATCTTTAAGTCACAAATGAGTCAAATCATTTAAATATTTTAGAAAAAGCCATTTAGAAATGAGTTTGTCTACAACAGTAAAATGCTACGTGATGCAACAATATTATCTAGAAATGTCCCATATATATATAAATAAAATGATATACACACATCAAGGCCATTTTTCTACACAATGATTACTTTACTTTTTATACTTTAAGTACATTTAGCTGAGAGTTATTTTGTACTCAAGTATGATTTTGAATACAGGACTTTTACTTGTAATACAGTATTTTGACAATAATGTATTGGTACTACTACTCAAGTAACGCATCTGAATACTTCCACCGCTGCAGACAAGTGAGAAAGAGAAATGAAGAACAAAATAACATGAAAAGGTACACGGTTATAAGCCGGCACTTTGCATAATTCTGATAAGAGAGCAGCTGTCAAGTTTAACATAACTGTGGATATACTGTACAGTATGTATCTTCAACACTAGAATTTGAATAAACAAATTATCTGAGCTGAGTCCGGCTTTTCTCGCTGTCCATTTATTCTGCTCTGCTTCACTTTCTCTCCTCCCTCCTTTTCATTTCGCCCTGCAGGAGCCACTACTTCACATGAAGCGCTGCACATTCAGAGAGCCGTAGCTGGTGGTCTGCCCTCACTGTGGCAACAGACCACTTTGTAGAGGAAATATGATGAACAGGCTACAAGCACTCAATGGTCAGACTGCTCCTTTCTCCAAGCCTTAACCATCATCTCAAAAGCACTTGCTTCTTGTCCTGCTACGTTATGTGCAGATTTTTGACATTTCCGAATCAGACGCGGCTTAGTTGCAAAGTAGGTTAACACATAGGAGGAATTTTCCTTGGTGTTTATGGCGCATACATAAACAGAGTTAAAGAAGATACATGGTAAGAAAAGGACCAATTTGGGAAATGTTTTCGTTGCAGCAGCATAAAAAGACAAGGCATTGTACATAGAGAAATTACAAGACTGGAAATAAACATTCCAAAAAAATAAAGCAATATACATTAGATGAGATATAGATATACCAGTAAAAATGTAATAGAATAAAAATAAAATATATGCAGTATTGGTATGACAAGTAGAAAGCCATGCAGATATAAGATGTAGCTTTGTGTACAATGTGCAAAGTTCACCTTATAGGGTATAGTACTGTAGGGGCTGGAATATGACACGTGCTTTGTGAGAAGAGGTATTTGCACGCTACTGTATGTCGAGCCACTCACTAGACATTTATGTTCATGTCTCCCAACCCCTTCCTCCAGTGGTACAAACATCCCAACCCCCCACTGCAGGCCACAGAGGCATGATCACACCCCGCCTGAAACGCCCTGTGGCCGTGATGGAGGCACACATCTTTGCACGTGACACAAGACCCACTCGCTTGTATACTAACCGGCTATCTCAACAACTTTGTTGCGTAACAGGGTTCCACTGAACCGTAAAGTGGACTGACGTTATTTGTGGTATGTGTGTGGACACAGACAATGAGTGAGTGAGAGTGTGAGTGTGAGTGTGAGTGTGAGTGTGAGTGTGAGTGTGAGTGTGAGTGTGTGTGTGTGTACGTGCGTGTGTGTGCGTGAGAATACACCTTTGTCAGCAGGGATTGTGGTTGAAAAGACAAGTTTTGTGTGTGTGTTTGTGTGTGTGTGTGTGAGTGAAGGAGCAAGAGGAAGATAAAAGGTGCATGTGTGCAGCGGTGCATGTTTGCTCTTGTACAGCACACACATGACTAAAGAACTGAGTAACAAGTGTGAGGCCTGCGACTTTGAAAGAAGTTAATTGCTGAACAACGGCTTACTCATTCCGGTCTATACTAATAGAATGACAACCCGGAAACATCAACATCATCCTCAGCTGTTCTTTACACAATATGTACATTAGACATCATTTGCTGGATTATTAAAAATAGCCCTTCTGTTAGATTGATGCATTGAGCTATATGCTTAAGATGCAAGTCTTTGAAATGAAATAGGAATTCCTGACTTTGCATTTATCAAAAAGAAAGTTCTCTGTTATTTGTTAATGTCTACAAATATGATCCAACCTAAACATTCTTACCCGTTATTAAAATGCATATACAGCTTATTAGTTGTGTAATTAATAGCATGTTTAGTGAACACATTGTGAGAAAAAGTCAGGCCAATTAATCACAAGGCATACAGAGAGTTTTGCTGCAATTAGAGATTAGGGCTAGAAATAGACTGTCTTTGCTAATTTGAGCATTTACATTTTAGCTTATACAAACATAAATTGTTGTCACGATCAGCAGCTGTTTGGGGAACGGCCTGAAAAAATGTCTTGATGGTGCTGTGTTTCAGCAGTGGAGGGCAAAAAGCTTTCTCTCAGCGGTTACAGTTTGAACCTGACGACGAGTCCTGAGAAGCTGACTATCTAAGAGCAGAACATAAGACGACTAGACAGATTTTTACACATTACATTACATTTAACTTGTTAGACGCTTTTATCCAAAGCGACTTAAATACTCAATACTGTGGACAATCCCCACAGGAGCAATTTGGGGTGAAGTGTCTTGCCCAGGGACACAACGACATGCTGACTGCAGTGGGACTCGAACTTGCTATCCTCTGATTCAAAGATCAGCGCACTAATCCACTGCGCCACACGCCTACACCAAATATCTCCTCTACTCAAGACAAACTCCGACTAACACATCTCCCAGCATTAATGTCCACATGAAGAACATGAGAAGGTCACACCGACATGATCATAGAGAGCTAAGCTAATGTAGTCGACCATGATATAGCTCGGGGGAGGCATCAGTCTCACTGTCAAAGGCCCATCAACACTGACAACAACGTGATCCAAAAATAAAACTGCATCCTGGGAGACATTTGTTTAGCTCTCTCAGCTCCACAGCTGATTCACGCTCTCCTGCCCACAGAGCCCAACAGCACTTCAGACAAACACCAACCACAGCTGCGGTATGTGCACTCAAAAACATGAAACCTGGAACATAACTAGACAACAAACAGTAATTGATCAAAAATAAACGTTTGTGAGGGTTTACATATAGCTTTTTAACTTCCCTGTTGTTAATTATAAGAAATATGGCCATAACTGAAATGTTGTGTGTCAGTCAAAATTCAATATGAGCATTACATTAAACCTATTGCATTTTTTTGTATTCTATCGTCCCACAGTGGGTATATGTAAGCAGTTTAAGATAGTAAAATAAAGACAAAAGGGGAAAGTAAGCAGGTATAAAAGCACACAGAGGGAAAACCAAGAGACAGCTTGACTTTGCATTATGAGCTATGAAGAGAGAGGAAGATGGCAGACACGTTGATATTACACGCCTGTTATAAATAATCACCCCATCCGATGCTCAGGGGACAGAAGGAGCTGAATCCACAGCAGGGAAGCAGAGATCTCATCAACCCGTGTAATTCGTATGAATCCGATCTGTTTGCTATGAGAGTGTGTGCATATGTGTTGATAATAAAAGCCATTACTGACCAGCACATAACCAAAGGGGCTGAGTCTCTCCATGCAGACCTCGCTCCACTGGTCTGTGAAGAGGACATCTTTCAGCCTTTTGTTAATCATGGAGTTCACTTCCTGCAGCCTTGTAGAAAAATGAAACACAACAACACACAAGGGTCAAGAGCCAGCAGAGATGAAAGGAGAGCTGATGTGGGGGAGCTATGTTAATGTAATGTTGGATTAACCATTACATTATCGTTGGAAATCGTAGCACTGAGCCCGGCTGCCATAGGATAGGAAGGGCTAATATTAGACCAACTTTCATACTTGTTTTAAGCACCACAGAAGAGGTTTTATTATGTTTATATTAATACTACTACTATTATTAATACAACTACTACTACTGCTACTACTACTACTACTCCTAGTGATAATAATCAGCTCAATAGGCTACAGAGATTCGCCAATGGCAGGCTAATATGCTACCTCTACCGTTTATGAAATGCATTTGACTAATTGCTGTGAGCTTTAACAATGGTAATACATCAACAGCTAATGTATAAACATAGCAAACAAATATACTGTCTATGTACATGTATAAATCCTGCTAGCTGCAGCCCAAGTGAAGGAACTTCAGAAATATATGTTGAGCTTGCGGCAGTAACTGACAGAATAGATGCAGCGCGTGAGACAAAGACAAGTCTCTAAAGCAGCGCTGTTTGTTGCGAGTAACATTAGTGAGTAACACTTCACACAACAAGCTGCTTCTACCAGCCGCCCTCTGCTCATTCTTACAGAATTAAAAACAAAGCGCTCCGATGGTGATAAGTTCTTAATAGTTTTTTGGATAATTAGATGTATTTGTTGACTATAAAAAAACGTAGCCTTATACTATCTGCTGATATTTGGAGTTGCTGAACATTATATATTGTAGCGGAAGCCTGTATAAGATACTTTTAGGGAACATCAGTGTGCAAAATAGTAAAGGAACCGATAAATTAGGGAAGACTTCTCTAGGCTTTATTTCCCTGCCGGCTGTTCATTAGTGACTTTCTTTAAAGTGTCGATGTGGGACATAGCATGGCATATTGAAACACTTCAGCTTTTATGTTAAGGAACTTGATGCAACACAGAACACTCACCCGATAATGTACATGTCTGTGTTTCCATCTCCCACGTTCAGCCCCAGCAGGGAAGTGATGTCATCAGGGGGCGTGGCCGAACCCACGTTCCAAGTGATGATGTGCAGCCTGTTGTAATAATAACACATCTTAATAACTCTCATCTCCTACAAACCCCCATAACCTACAGCCAGCAGAACCCTTGTATCAATACAAACTATTGTAATGTAATTTATCCAGCTCCTTCAGTCCCGTCCACTATACACAAACCTGGGCTTTGGCTATCATCCCATACGTCTGGGTATACCCTTGTATGAGTAAAACAAGGCTTGACTTCTACATTGTTATCCTAACTTTGGAGAACAAAATGTAACAAACAAACACATTGAGATGCACGATACTAAAGGGCCATTAAGTGCCTATATCAGTTGTTCAGGGCACTTGAGGCCCAGTTCCCGAGCAAATTCCATACAGGTTCTATTCAAAGCAGAGCACTCACTATGTGTGCTGTGTTATCATTAGACGTTCCCTTCCAGCAGACAATTCTCTCAGCGGCAGCTTGCAGAGCAGATATAAATACCCATTAACCACCCAATAAAAGTTATTCAGGTTTGCGACTATTAACACTACATGACATCAATCCAGACTTTGTATGAGCTGCAGCTTTCTTATCTGTGTGAAGAAAGGTTACCATTAATTTAGCAACGCAATCTGTTCCAGGAATCCAGTTGACTAAACAGTGAGTCATTACTTACTAAACAAGGGAGTCATAACACCCTTAAAACAAAGTAAGATCCATTATGAAAAAAAGATATGAACCTAACAGAGGCCATTTAAGTAAAGATATGTCACCCTTTTGAGACTTAACATGGAAATTGAATATTCCCTATAATTGAGCAACTTATGTAATTTAAAGCTACTGCATATATATTAACAATATTTGGGATATTGATATAAAGACTAAGGAGAGAATCTTTACTAGATTTAGACCCATTTAGTTGTTGAATTGAGAGGAAGTTTTCCGCAGTGTTTCCTGACACAGAAACAAATACCAGTGCTTAATAATTATGACCATAATAATCATGTATCCTCGCAGTGTTGTCAGTGTATACAAATAAATGCTATGTGTGCCAGGCTTACTTTTCTGTGCTGTGACAGAATTGAAGGCGATGTTAAGACATGCTGAGACATGAATGTTGGGACACATACGAATGAAGGAACTTGCCTGAAGTCTTCCACAGTCTGGGCCTGTGGAGTGTCAGCGGTACCGGCCACAGAGAGGGCCCTCTGAGCATGGAGGTTCTGGTGAGAGGCCACTGGGTGGGGAACGGAGGCGGCCCTCACTGGGTGGTGGCCGGGCCCTTTAGGACCCACTTTAGGCCCGATGTGCTCTCCTGAGGGTTTGACCGCTCCAGGGCGAGAGGGTTTAGGGCGACTTGCCACAGAGCCATCAGGAGTGGACTCGTCCTGGTCAGCCACTGGAGTGGGTTCAGCTTTGGGCTCAGCTTTGGGTTCAGCTTGAGGCTCAGCTTGGGGCTCAGCTTGAGGCTCAGCTTTGGACTCAGTTTGGGGCTCAGCTTTGGACTCAGTTTGGGGCTCAGCTTTGGGCTCAGCTTGTGGCTCAGCTTGAGGCTCAGCTTGAGGCTCAGCTTTGGGCTCAGTTTGGGGCTTAGCTCTGGGCTCTGAGATGTCCACAGAGCCCTCGACTCTGGCGCTTCTCTGGGGCCGCCGAGGCCTGCCGGGCTGGCCGGCGGGGGATGCTGTGGCTGGAGCCGAAGTTTGAGATTTTGTTAAAGCTTCAGCTGCTTCATTTGGGTCGTCTTCTTGCTTCTGGGATTTTTGGCTTGGATTATCTTGGTCCATTTCTTAAGATTTCTGTGACAAAGAAAACAAGCAGGAATGTTTATACTCGCAAGATGCACATTATGATTGAACTTTAGGAATTTTAATTCATTCAAAAAACATTATTGTTTCTGTATGTAGCTCTTAAGAAGGTTTAGTATATTTAAATGTACTTGCAGGATGATCTAACTGTTCTGAGTTTGTATCTACATGGTTGATTGAACTTACTGTAAATTGCTTTGGATAAAAGCATCAGCTAAATGTAATATAATCTGTCCAATCCATCATTGTTACACATCTCAGCCTTAATATAACATTCTTGTTTAGCATCATAACTATATTGAGGGAATCATTTAGGGAACAGGACCCTATTCTCTGAATCTCTGAAAAGAAAATTGATTTAAAAAGGAGACGGGGTACAGAGAAGCTTTTCCTACTGGAACAGCAGAAAGCACAACATGCAGCATCTTTTACAAATAACAAGTCGATTCAGCTGATGAGTGCAGAGCTGTCATGAGATCCTATCGACCCAGCAGAACAACTGAGTGAATCATTGAGGCTCCAACCGTCGTGACTGTGACCAATTACCTGCCTTGTCGTGGGCAGATGAAGCAGCACATATTGATACAGGAAGACATTTGAAAGACCAAAATACATAGAAACCCCAACTAGAGAGACAAGGTGAGACGTATTTTCCTGCTGTCCTAACCTCTTAGAGCTTTTGGTTTTGAGATTTAGCGGGGGGGAAAAAGCGTGGTCACAGTTTATCCTCCTCTCTACTTGTGCCTAAGCTGCATGCCAGTCCTCCAGTAACCAGGGAGATGCTCAGTCAGTTCATATCAGCTCAGAGCACCTGCCACACACTAACATGAGGACCAGAACAAAGTCAACAGCATGGAATAAACAACAACAGAGAGAGGGAGATCAGACTGACACAGTGAGCAGAGGAGGACAGAAATAAAGGAGGAATTTAAACCCTTTCATTTAAATAACAATCCATTCAGTTATTGTGTGAAAAAATGAATGCTTGTCTTTTCTCTACTGCTGATTGATAGGACACAATAGTGATTTAGGCTTACTGCACACCCAGTTTTATAAAATATATTGGTTTAAATGAAAAAAAACATGTGAAGCAAAGATTGCCACGTATAGTTATTCATTGCAAAAACATGGCCATACCATTTATGGATTATCTGAGGAATAAGCAGCGACACTAGTTCATCACCAAAGATGACCCAAAAATGAAAAACCAGCGAGGTTTGCACAGATGCCAAATCCCTAAACAAAAAAACAGCCCCATACAGTAGATTGGGAACATTGCTGTTTGCTTGCAGACATGTCTGACCCGGAAAAGAGCTTATTTGAGCACAAAAACGCAGCAGCTCGCCCCAGATCCATCAGTTTGTGATGCTAGAAGTGAAACACGTGAGAAAAGACCAAAAAATGTCTTAATCTTTAATGAGAGGACACCTAATCCTGCAGGTGCACGGTCAAAACATGGCATGTTTTAACCCATTTTGATTCGCTGTGTGCTTTAAATGATGTCCTGTACATTGGGGACATATTTTTCGTCAGCAGGGAGAGAGGGTTTATTTGCTTGGGGACGGAAAAACAACAGAGCATTCTCACAATTATTCACATGACCTTGACGAGACGGAGGCCATGACTTTCACTGAGCTGCCTCTGTACTCCACATGTGCCCAGAAACACGCCCGTCTCTCAGTCCACCAATAACCTGGAGCCTGGCTGGGCATAATGTATTCCTATGGTCCATGTATGGCATTTAGTGCTGGGAGTGTGGAGGAGGGTTTCAGGGCACATGTGGGAGTGGGTGGGTGCAAAACGAGCAGAGGGACTGGAGAGGGAGAGCGGAGCGAGACAGCCCATTCGGTGACAACACTGTCTCTCACACTTCCCTCTGGCACTGTCTATTTTTCCAAGCTTTAATCCCATTCTCTCTCCTTCTCTTATCGTCCCATTTCTTTAATCCTTTCTCTCCCCTCATCTTCTTGCGGACTCTGTTGTTTCCATCTAACCAACCTTCACTGCATGCACATCGAATCGCACACCCCACCAATTTAGTTTTTCCCACCCTATATTTTTCCTTTCACATCGAGCTGTGAGACTACACTATTCCTGCCCTCAAATATGTGTGTTCCTCTCTCCTCTGCACTCTGAGGTGACACTTGTGTTCTTACAGCGACATGCTCTGCATTGTTTCCTTCAGCCAACCGCCTCACAGTCACTATCAATGACGTCAACATGCCACAGTCCCAGCGGCCACTGCCATAACAACCGGACTTTGATCATAATCTTTGGTAATGTGTTTGGGAACATATGAAGAAACCGGAAGAAACTGCAGAATGAGGACATATTTAAACCACGCTTGAGAATAGAAAGCTGGGAATGGATGATACAGTATGTAGGACTTTGTGGAGGTGATCATTTAAAAAAAAGAAATACAAAAACTAAAATTGAAGCACATGCAGAGACACTTCTTCTCTTGATACAGTGCAGTATTTCTTTCACCAAAAAAAAGATAATTTATTTCAAATCAGAGCCAAATACTTCCTTTTTGGGAGCAGTGACGACAGACCACCACTTCCTATTCCATTCACGTTCACTGAGGAGAGAGTGGAAGGATTTGATAATAACAAATGTGTCATGGTGTTTACATGCAGCCTCCTGAGGGTGTGAGAGCTGAGAGAGACAGGAAGGATGCAGTGTAACCCAAACACCATGCAGCAGCCAGCTGTGTTGGCTCCTCTGATGGGATCATTAGACAACACAGACATCTCTCGATGACCGAGTCTGTGTAATGGTCAGAGGCCAAGTCTTCTATATTCTCACAGTGACATCTTTTATCTTAACTGCTTCACTCTGCATGGCTGCATTATGTTGACCCAGTGACTCCATAATGATGATTTTTTTTTGTTCCCACCTCTTGGATGTTTAATGTTAAAATGACAGCCAAACGGCGTGTTTGTGTGCAGGACCTCCAGGGCCATATGCCCCTGTGACAGGGATACTAATGGTGACCCGGACAAAGATGACACGGGCAGCTGCTGCCACAGCTGTAAATGGCTGCTCCAGGTCCTAGTGCCACTGAGTATCACTCCCCTGTTTCCAGGGGGCCTCATCTTTCTGATCAGGTCACAGCCAAGGCTGTAGGATGTCAAAATGATTCTGCATCAAGTCCAACACTGAAGACATGTCCTGACAACATAGAATATAATGTTTGCACTGCAAAATCATGATGGGGGTTGTAAGTTCAGATTCAGTCTATTAGCAATTATAAAAACCTGATAATGAACATGCAGGCATTGCATTGCATTGCATTGTCAAGTAATTGGAATAAAGATTTTCATTCAGTACAACATAATCCGCCTGTGAAAGAATCTGGCCATGTAATCAAATGCAACGCCAACAAATCATTAGGGACAAAATTCCATTGCATGTGTAAAAATACAATCTTAAAGGTCCCATGTCATGGCCATTTCTACTGATCATAATTCCATTGTTGAGGTATACTAGAATAGATTTATATTGTGCAATTTTCCAAACTCACATTGGTTTCTCATACAGCATCTCTGTAAAGTATGTGTATTCACTAGGGGTGTAACGGTATACGTATTCGTACCGAAATGATTCGGTATGGGCCCTTCGGTTCGGTACACGTGTACCGAACGAATATAACGTTAAACGTAAAAAATTGAGAACGTGAACAACTTTTTGGAAGTAATCGCAGGTGCTGCGTCGCAGCATTCAGTGTAATTTGCTCACATTGGGTTCAACGCGTCATAAAGCAACCAAGTCATTTCATTGGACGAGAGGCATACTATGAGAGCTGGTCACAGGGATGCGTTCAAATGTAGTCAGTAATTTGAGGAACTGTCGAAATGGCGAACGCAGATAAAGTTGAGCTCCAGCATCATTGAAGTCTCCGGTTTGGGAACATTTTGGTTTCGCAGTTACGTACAAGGATGACGGACAAAGACAGGTGGACCGAACCAAAGCTGTTTGTCGGTATTGTTCAACTAACATTGGTTACGCGGCTGGCAATACATCAAACTTGCACACTCATTTGAAAAGGCATCACCCGAACGTGAATATCACCGGTACCAAAAGAAAAATGACTGAAGTGCAAACCCAACTCCCACTAGCATTTAAGCCTCCACCACTCGCAACAAGTTCAGACCGAGCCAAAGCTATTACAAACGCCAAATATCCTTATGTTGTCATGTTAGCAAAGCGCTACCTGGCTGTATCTGCTACCTCTGTCCCTAGCGAGAGGGTGTTCTCCACAGCAGGAGACATTGTTAGTGCCAGCAGATCTGCCCTTTCGGCAAGCAATGTGGACAAGTTCATCTTTCTTTAAAAAAACATGAAAATACAATGACAAGCCTAATGTCAAGCTGGCTGCTTAGGGGAGTATTAGTACAGCAGTTCAAGTACAGATTATTTCAGATCATCGAAATGCTGCACCTTAATGTTTATTTTATTATATTTTTTATTTATTTGAGTGAATACATTATTCACAGTTTAATAATAATTTAAAAAAATAAAAAATAAATGTTATGTTTTGTGATCATTTTTTCTGCTGTACCGAAAACGTACCGAACCGTGACCTAAAAACCAAGGTACGTACCGAACCGAAATGTTTGTGAACCGTTACACCCCTAGTATTCACCGGTATTCACTCTCTGTCCTAAACGGCTTGTTGGAGCTCCTGCCCTCCCTCCCTGTGAGCCCAGTGTGCTCTGATCGGTCGGGACGTTGCGAGGCTCGCTGCTCTGTGAGCTAGCTTACTGGTGTGGTTTCCAGGTCGGCGATACAGCGGGACACAGCGAAACTCATCCTGAGCACACACAAACACTCACAGCCGAAGTAAAAACAATAAGTGTGGCTTGATATTGAGTAAGAAAAAGGTTTATAAACGCTGTGAGAATGGGTCTGCGGAGAGCATTTCTCCGCGATCCCAACTCGTCTATTACCAACCAGGGGACTCCCTGTTAGTTGAAAATGTACGCTAAAGGTCCCCACCCCTCCTGGTGTGTGAGGAGCTCCGCGGATTGGTCCATTTTGGTTCCGCATGACGTCATGCGGTTCCCGGAAGAAACAAATGGAAAAAGAGAAATCTCCAACGAGGCGTTCTGGGACAGCATAGACAGGTCTTTTCTGTGTTAGAGTTTTACTCGCTACAGGGTGTACTTTGAGGGTTTGTGACTCTACAGACCGTTTACATGCATAAAAACCTTCATAACACACAAGGGGACGGGTAATAACCAGAAAAGCATGACATGGGACCTTTAAGAGAAGTTGAAGTCATCGCCCAGATGTTCATTCCTACCCAATTTTTTTAAAGTCCAATTAAGAAACACGTGCAATAAGTTGCAGCAGCAGCTTCATAGTACATTAGCTGCTGCTCCAGGAACTACTGACAAAAACCTGTTAGGTGTGTGATAATCAGTGCATTTAAGCATGTCTTTTTTGTCTTTTTGCCTTTGTTGGATGCTGGTACAGTTAGATAGACAGGAAATGGGAAAAGATAAGGGTCAACATGCAGCATAGGGGGACGGGTCAGATTTGTACCCAGGTCGCTGTAGTAAGTCTTAGGACATGGGCGCCCGCTTTCCAGTTAGAATACCTTCATCGTAGCATTTGGAATAAAATATAATGCAGTGTTTTGGAATCCAATGTAGCTCCAAAGTATTATGCTTGGATCCTCCCTCAGTGCATCTATCACATCACATTATTGCATGTAACTGCATTCTGAATACCCAGCACTGAAATGTGCGGCACTGTAATGGAAACATGAGTTAGTTATCTGACCTAACGTAAATATGTAAATAAACTTGAAATTGAAGACGTGGCTTTCTAACATTCGAGTACACTCAATTATGTAAACAAGAGAACACAGGTTCTACATTGCACACTTATGACAGTGGACACTATAATCTGTGGTAGATGGAAATATGTAGAAACTGAAACAGAAATAACTGATGAATGGCTGAAAGAGGACAGCAGATACAGTAACTGGCCTAATTACATTGCTGCTGCAAGGACCATTTTTGTCTGACTAAAACAAGAGGATGAAGGTCATTTCATTGTGTTGTGTAATAGGGTTATGCCATCACATATCAAACTCAGACACATGTGTGCACGCGTGTGCATGCATTCTTACATATATGTGTAAGAGGAGAAAGGAAAACAAATAACAGTGCCAGAGTGTACACTTACATTTGACTGCCTGAAGTGATTCACCAGCATTATATATAGCATTGAAAAGGGTGATCATTATTATATCTTTCTATTGATTATCATGGATTGAGGTTACAGAAAAATGCTGTAACGTATCAATGAACACAGTTTCTCTTGTTGACACGTTCACAGTATGATTGATTCTTTATTTTTAACAGGTGAGGTCAGCATTGGGGAAAAAACGTAAACAATAATATTCCCTATATTGTTGATTGGTGTTGATATTGTTCTGCTGTCCCCTCCACTGGTGATTCATGTTATATTCTAGGAGGTGCTTCAGGTATAGGTTTCAAGACTAAACACAAAGCATGCTTGCAGTTGATTAATCATCACCTTTACCTGTTTGCTTCTTCTGGGTTGAGGAACAGCAGGTGGATCTGGAGTAAACCGTTTCTGCAGGTGTAGCGGTCGGTTAGCCTCGGTATAGCCTCGGTGAAGGGTGTTGAAGAAACCACAAGAGGAAGAAGTGAACCGTTAACCTAAAAATCACACTGAACTTCCCTTTCCAGTTGCCTGCTGCCAGATGAAACCATCGGCATCCCAGCAGCCCTTCCTTCCTTCCTCAGCGGGGGGGGGCAGAAGCAATGCTGGCGACAGATCTGCCAGGCAGGCTACATCTCAGAAACACAAATGTCTCCTCCTGCGTTTTAAAGACACAGCTGCAGGAACACTAGCACGCGTGAGTGTCCTGTGCCTTCCCCGTGCCCTTCAAATCAAACAAGACGTCCGAGGCGGCACGAGAGAAGGAGCGCGCGCTTCCGTAAACGAACAGCGAGGTTCGGCTGATGATTACAGGAGGTCCGCTCAGAAGCTCACAGAACTACAGCGGATAGACATATCAAGCGGATAGACATATCAAGCAATTACACAAACATGGCTTCCGTTTACGAGCTTTGGCGGACAAAATCCTTTTGCAACACACTCGTGCACCACTAGTTTTGAAAACAACAACCGACTATTAGCCCATGTTATTGTACAAATTGCCTTTAAGTATTTAAGTGTGGATTTGAATTGACGTTCTATGTAGTTCATTCTATGATAAAGCGAGACTGCCCTCTAGTGGTGGGTATCAAGAAGCGTTCTGTAGCTTTAATTAGATTTAAGCTCCTATATCTCTTAATTGGCATTTGTGGTCAGAAGAGAAAACAACTGAGTATATGTTTGTTTGGTGGGTATAATATTTGATTAAGGCGCCATTAGATTTGATCAGTTTGAAAAAATAGCAAGAGCACCATGTTGGGTCAAGGAGGGTCAAGGTTTAACCTGATATAAGCAGAAATTACTTACTTGTCAGGGGAGAACTAAACAAACTGATGTTGGATCTTTACTAAGCCCCCTAAGCATTAAATTAGGACTAAACTTGATTTGAACCACTTATTTACTTTATGTTTCCACTTCCTGCCTCAGATGTCCGGTCTATTTAGGCTTCTTGTTTGAGCTATAGCAAGTTTTACCTTTATCCTCCTACAACTGAAACAAAGTTTCCGCTCCTATAAGCCAAAGTTTGTTGGGAAAAGCTATGCATTAGAAAATGTGGTAAAGATGACATGCACTTCTTCAAGACAACATGTTAGTTAACATAAATACTGTATTGTATTTGTGCTTGGGACCATATAATAAAGATTTATATAACTTATCAGGCTTTCTCATTTCACTTCTCCATTATGTCTCATATTCGTATTTCATTTTTCTGTAAATAAACTAAAAGTAACATTAGCTGTAATATGTTTACGTTTTTTTTTTTATAATACTGGTGATATAATATGGCATTTCTACTGAACTCAGCAATACTTTAACAAAAAGTAATTTATGTGCATCCAGGAGGTTGTTGGAAATGTTCATAAATTAATAATATAATACATAACATGCTGTAGTCTTTTGTCAAATTACTTTAAAAGTAAGTAAAATACTTTATACGTTTGCAACTAATCACATCCGTTCGCATCTAATGGTTTTAAAAAAAAGAGTATTTCACTTCAAGACGGCTAAAATACAGCACTGATTAACATTTGGACAATCTCAATAATACTGAATATGATCATAAACCTTAACTTAGCAACCTGGACAATAATTGCCTCATGTCTAACATATCATAATTATTTCACAAATGTACTCTGTTCAGGACTCAAATGTGTGAAATAGATCTGCTTCCACATACAAGTGGTAAATAACTAAAATGGCAAATATCACATTTATTGACATGTATTTGAATAATTAAATATTACTAAATGTAGGAACTCATCCACTTTGTAGGCCTGGCCTATAGAATTTCTCATTAGTTTCTCAATCCTCAATCACCTCCAGATTATTTACCATGTTCATGGTCACCTGGGAGTGTAATTATGCAGTGATGTTTGTAAAGGCTAATATCGTACAATTATATGCAATAAAACAGACCACCTGCCATCTTCTGCGTAACATATACATAGGCGGTTCTACGGGGGGCAACACTGAGTTTGACCCACCCTGTGGCCTACTTCAAAAAAGTATATATATAAAAAAAAAAGATTAGCTGGTAAAGGTGCGTCTATTTTAATCACTTTGTATACTTGGGTAGCTTGTGAATTTACTCCAGGTGTGACTAAAGTATTATTTAGGTGTTGATTATATTTCACATCGATAATCCAAATTTGCAAAGTAACTTAAACTATAAAATAAATGTAGTGGAGTAAAAGTATACGAGTCACCTCTGAATTGTAATGGAGTAGAAGTACAAAATAACAAAAAATTGAAATACTCAAGTAAAGTAAAGGTATCTCAAAATTGTACATAAGTACAGGACTTGAGTAAATCTTCTTAGTTACTTTACACCACTGGTTTTACAGTGTTTTGTTTCCCATTAACATGTGGAGGATTCATTAGACATGGGCTGCTACAATTTAAGGTTTTGCATAGTTTACATCTATCTGCAAGTAAACTGGCCAAATGTTACCCAGGTTTAGACCCAACCTGCATCAGGTGCAGTCGGGACCCGGCCAGCCTAAGTCACATGTTTTGGCTCTGTCCAAAATTGGCCCCTTTTTGGACTGGTAGGCCTATATTGAAAATCTTTTCGTACATGTGTAACACGGCTGTGGATGCAAACCCATTGACTGCATTATTTGGCGTGGTCCCAAAGGACAGGAGACACGAATAACAACTGATTAGGCTGAGGCTGTGGCATTCTCTAACCTACTTGCTAGACGTCTAATAATACTCTTTAGTTGGAAGAAGGCTGCACCGCCGTCTCATAAGCGCTGGGTATGGAAGTAATGTCCCATCTTAAACTTGAGCAGCTAAGCACACTACCCGGGGCTCTATCGCAAAGTAGCTACTATAAGGTCTGGCAACCGTTTCTGTCCTACTTTGAGAACGAATTCTCTGACATTAAAACAACGTAGCCAAACTCTTGGTTATTTAACCATGTAGTTTTTCATTTAATAATTTATGTTTATTTTGTATATACCTATTTTGTATCTCTTCTGGATGTCAATTGATATTTTGTTTACTTTCTGTGTGTGCTGTATTTTTGAGTGTTGAGCGCTGCTGTTTGTTATATGTGGAAAATCAATAAAAATATTTGAATAATCAAAAAAAAAAAAAAGAAACATGAGGATTAACCATACTTACTTTATATAAACTTTTATAGGGATTAACTTTATCTTGATGACACAATGCACACAATATGTTTTCTTTTTTACTAGTGCCGAATTGTATTCCATATTTGATTCCATTCCATTCAATTTCTATGTAAATACTGTTATATTTCACTATATTTTTTATTATTTTTTATATTTTGTTATGTTATTATAGTTTTCTTAAAATAGTTCTCTATCTGTGTTTTTTAATTTTAGTTTTACTTTTAAGTATGCACCATGACATCAAGTCAAATTCCTCGTAGGCCCTACGTGTCAACCTACCTGGTAATAAACCAGTTTCTGATTCTGATTCGTATAAAACAGATGCGCACACCTCCTCCCTCCTCCCCCTCCCTCCCTTCCTGGGAGGGGGGAGTTATTTGACGTGGCAGGAGGACGTGACAATAGCTGCACATCTCTCCTCTCAGCGGGGTTCAGGTTGCTCACCTTCGGTCCTCTGCAGGTGCTGGTCCCGGTGCTCGCTGGTCAGAACCGGAACCATGTGGCTGGTGGTGGTGCTGGCTGGGCTGCTCCACTGCGCCTCGGCCCATGATGTGGACCTGAAGAAGCTGGAAGGGCTGGCGAAAGCGAGGGTGGAGGTAACGGAAGCGTTTCTGTTGCATACGTCACTGCAGGCTGGTTGTGTTTACGATGACGGTGTACTTTCCTTGTACGGTGGTCTTTTTCTAAAGAGTCCAGTTTGGTTAAATGTATGAATTTATTCCTTGAATTTCGGTGCTAGGCGCATGCGTGAGAGATCCTTCCAGCAGATAAGATGAGCTGTAGTAAACTGGATGGATCTTCTCTCCAGTGGTGTTAAGTAACTAAGTACATTTACTCAAATACAGTACTTAATTACAATTTTGAGTTACTTGTACTCTACCTGGGTATTCTCAGTTTATGCTACTTTGTACTTGTTCTACCCCACTACAATTCAGAGGTAAATCGTGTACTTTAACTCCACTACATTTCTTTATTACCTTTAGTTACTATACAGATTTGGTTTAATGTTGTGAAATTGAATCAACACTTAAATCAGACTTTAGTCACACCTGGAGTAAATTCACAAGCTACCCTGCAGCATACAAAGGAATTAAAATCAGCTGCACCTTTACCAGCCTTGATAAACACATGAATGCGACAATAATTATAATCAAAACATGTTATATGATTCTGAAATGGGCCAATCTGCAGTATCTGGCCAACAGAGTATTCCTACACGCTGGTACTTGTACTTTTACTCAAGTACTTAACATTTGAGTACTACTTCCTCCACTGGTTTACAGTATGGTACCAGCTTTTCAGACAATTGTGTAATAACGGTACCGTTGGTAAAGGTGACTTAGTTGTAATTTAGCTGAAAAGGGACTGGGTGTGTTACTAAAAGTCTGATTCTGAACAAAAGTGTCTGTAACTCAACCTTTCTTTTTCATGAGAAACCAGGCATTTCTCCCTCAGGGTGTCACCAAATCACCAGCCTGCCAGCACCACAGAACAAAAGCGAGTTATCTTGCTATTGTTGTGTTAGGCACACTCGGTTCTTAACCTGCGGCTCGTATTTCTGCTCAAATGGGTTAGGATCCTTTCCCAGAAGCCTCTCTCTCTTAAGGTGCAACGCTACAGTGGTACCAGAACATCAGAGAGACTTAAAGGGGACCTATCATGCAAAATGCACTTTTGTACGTCTTTTATATGAATATGTGTCCCCGGAACTCACCAAGTGTCAGAAAACACAACCCTCTCTCTTTTCCTCCATACCCAAATCTCTAAAAATGGGGCTGCAACGGATCTGATACAGACTGATCCAGATTTGAACACTGTCCTGACGTCAGGACGGAGGAGCTCTGCCTATATGGCCAACTCTCCACCTATCAGGGGAATGAGAGGTTGCCGTGGCATGGTAACAGCATGGTAACATGATGCTCGTAACTCGGCCCCCTCCTTTGCAGGGGGGCGTGGTCAGCTGCAGCGCATGCAAAGACAGGGTGGAGGAGAGCAAAATAGAGCAAAATGAGGCATGGCTAAAATGCATGATCTGTTTGGTATTTTGAAAAAGAAAACTTATAAATATACCTTATATAGGTATGGCCCTACAATATATTATTCAAATATAGCATGATAGGTCCACTTTAACTGAAGTTGTTTTGGACAGAGGTTATTAAAAGTATGCTTCAAGACACATACATATAATAGTTATCTAATTCCTTATTCTGATGTCCCATTTCCTGTTTCAGATGCGTTTAGTTTTGAAGCATCATTTTAAAGAACATGGTGTTGCCCTGCTGCTTTTCCTTAACAAAACAAAATGTCCAAAAGACACTCTTTAATTTAATTCAGTTAAATAGATATGTACTTGATTGATCACAAATTGAACACATTCTTGAATTCAATAATGATAATACTATTTCCTATTTAATAAAAACAAAGTTATAGTAATAATAAAAATAAGAAGATGTCAAAGAAGAAAACAAGAATATTACTACTTTTAAAACTGAACCTACAAAATGTCAATAGAAAAGCCCCTCTAACCCAGGTGATGTCTCAATTCCTGAGTCTGAGAGCTGCTAATAACCATAGTGATCTTTTGTTGTGTCTCTTGGCAGTCGTGTGGTGGATGACAGCTGAACAGGCTCAGAGAGGTAAGTTGCCCTTTTCCCTCTAATCCACAGAAACAAAGTGGACAACACACAGAGTCAGACGCAGACTGAAGCCTAATCCCTGCCTCAAAGTGTTGGCTCACTGAGAAACATTTTACATTTCACGTTTAGAGTTTCCCATAATCCTCCACAGATCTGCTACTGAAACCATCCCTGAGTGAAAAACATGAATCCCCTCCTCTGTCCGCAGGTCAAAGCCTTCGTGGTCCAGGACATTCCTCTTTAGTATCCTTTCACTCAAGCACACTGCTGTTTCTTGTTTTTTTAAACATGTCCTTTTACAGGTTGTAAAAAGTACCGTTTTTTCTCTTTGTACCAATCCTTGACCGTCACTACCTCAGCCATAATCTGGTGATGAAGCACATTCCTGGGGCCGACCCTGAGCTCGTTCTCCTGAACCACTACTTTGAAGAGCTGGATGCAAGTGTTTGTTTTGAAGCCATTTACATTGTACTTGTTTTAAAATAGATCAAAACCCCTACAGCAGGGGTGTCAAACTCAAATACACAGTGGGCCAAAATAAAAAAATCGGTACTAGTCGAGGGCCGGACTGGTTCAATGTTTATTGCAAAACTTATTGAAATGACTTATTGCACATATTAAACCTGGAACTAACAAAGCTTAAATAATTGTCTATTAAAACATTAAACATTAAATAATCAGTTGCATTCATTTCTTATGATTACATTTTTCCACAGGCCAACAACAGCTTAAAAAAAACAATTTCCCTCAAAGAACAAACAAACATGCCCTGTTGTCGTAAGAAAAAAAGTGCAGAAGGAAACATCCATTAAACTCAGTTAGCTGCTCTGTGATGCTAGTTCAAGCCAGATACTTGGCATCTCATCTTGGGTGAAAGTTCATCAATGTTTGGGGTCAGGCTCTGAGCTGAGGAAATCCTCAGGATTGAGTGAAGGTGTGCGTGCAATATACCGGCGGGCCAGATCTAATAGGAATTGGAAATTATCCTGCGGGCCGAAATTAAATCCACCAAGGGCCTGATTTGGCCCCCGGGCCTTGAGTTTGACACATGTGCCCTACAGTATATCTAGACCTTGACAATGCTTACATCATCTGTTATACAAAAGAATGTGACAATTTTGGTAGAAAATTTGAGTTGATTTCAATCCATTCATTCTCAGAGTCCAGAGGTTAGGTCAGTAAAAGTGAGGGGAATGGCGTCTTTCTAAACCTGTGACTAGGCCTATCAATTTGAAAATCCTATCCAACGTGTTGCGATATTAACCAGAATGGACAATAACCACGTCATATATATATTTTTTTTAAGTATTTGATGTCAATAATATATACATATATAATAATGTGCAAAAACCTCTTAAATCTCACTTTTCTGTCGTTGTTCTTTTTGTAAGCTTTTGTATACTCATGGTTACAGACTCACTCGTGTCCCCCTCCCTACACTTGGATTTTGAGTGTAATTAAGACAAACAGTACACAAAGTTAAAGATTAATTCAACTATTTATTATTATTGTATTCTTTAGAATTGTTATAGATATCATTTTGTTTTTGGGATTTATGGGCCCCTCTAATCATGTATACATCTGATATTGTGACAGCCCTATCCTACACACAAGGACTTCAAGCATAATTATAAAACTGCCTTTTAAAATATAAAATTGCCTTATTCCATTTTCCAAGTGAAATAAAGGCATAGTGTTGAAATGTATAGCTGCATTAAAACATTTGGCCAGATCTGATTACACTTTTTAGAGGTGTTATGGTACACTTCCTAGCAAACAGTTCCATCAACACTTGGACACAGAGCAACATTAGCATGAATGTGAAGTTGTGTTTTGTCCAATAACAGTTTTTCACATCTAACACTGATGGAAAAGTACATTTAAACTTGAATTATAACCCTGTGTGTCCTGCACAGCGGATCGCCCTGTCTGACATGAGCCGCTCAGAGATCAACCAGCTGCTGGAGGAGCTGGGTTTCTACAAGAAAACTGCAGCTGAGGACGAGGTGCCAGAGGAGTTCCGCTTCTCCCCCGCCAAGGACAGCCCGTTAAAAGACGAGCCGCCGTACGAATCCTCCTCCTCACCCCCACCCTCCTCCCCCTCTTCTCCTGCCACAGAGAACGCCTCCTCAGAGCCCAACGTAGAAGACAAGCATACTGACCTATAACTGAAGTAGCAATCTCACATTACCACCAAACCCCAAAGCTGCTCCACGACCAGCTGGTTGATGCAGTTGATGACTGAAATGCACGTCAAAATAAGACCAGAAGATCATGGAACAGCTTTTGGGCTTGGAAACAATCTTAGCATCAGCAACAGGCCTTTAAAAAGTCTGAATTTTGCACATATTGATGTTTGTTATTTTTACAGCGATAACATCCAACCAGGCTGCTTTGTGAATGCTTTTCTACTCTCCACACCAAGACTGGAAATGTGTATGTTTTACATTTGTTTTTGGTCCATTATGTGAGATTTCTTCAGGATATTTGCCTCTCTTGAGTTCCCCTTGTGTGTCTGACAGCTTCCTACCTACTGTGAAACTGAATGAAGCCTCAGGCTGAAACCTGTCGTCTGGCCTGAGGCTGATGCTGCATGTTCTGGTGGTCGGACTGAAGCACACAAGAGGATCAAGTGAAAGCACTGTAAAAGAAAATAATAAAATATTTGAAAAAATAATCTCATGTTTTTGCTATGTTGTAGTATTATGTTTTCTTGTCTGCTTCAAAGATTAGATTTGACGGAGGGCAGGCTGTTAATTGCCAATAGGTAGATTGTGGTGTAGAAAAGGCTAACGAGCAATAATAGCAAACAAATACATTCATTTCAAATTGGTTTAATTTCAATTCACATTTGACCGTGGTGCACAGAAACATGAAATTATAATGTGTTTAAGCTCTTATTTACAGCACTCACTGCTCCGTGGAAGGTATTCTGTTTTCATTCGGCAGCGGTGGAATCATCTCAAATAATTTCTCCAAACAACAAAAGAAAACCTTTAAGAAATACGTTTCATCGAGCTCGTTAAGCTCTGAGACAATCAGAATTTCTTATTAAAGGAATCTTAATTTTTACAAGCATAATACAAATCTTTCACCCTTAAAAAATTCCTTAGCTTTATGTTGTAAAATATACAGTTGGCAGTTATGTTCAGTCATGATAACTCTCGTTGAAACAGAAAGCCGGCTTTCATCAGGCCCTTTAACTCGTCCAAAAAGTGACCCCAATTAGTTCAACAAAACATCCTAATAGCTTGAGCTTATTGACGCTTTGAACAAAGCATGATGTACACACTAACAAAATAAAAATAATATATTTCAACAAAATCTACTCAAGCATAAATAAGAAGCCCTCTAAAAGAGCTGTGTGAGTGTGTGTGGCAGTAAGTCAGTGATGCTGGGGTGAGGCAGCACTGCTGTACACATTTTGTTTTTCTAAATATGCTGTCAGTCCAGCAGTAAAAAAAAGTCATTATACAAGTCAGCCGAATGACCTCAGCCCACTCCTCTTTTTTCTTTATACCTGAATAAAAAAAACGTGTTAGACCACAAATATACTCGCTGTTAGAATAATACAGGAGGCTTTCAAAAAGTTCAAATAGTGTTAAACATGTTCTCAGTAGCACTTTAAAATTCAGAAAGGTGAGATTTACTCACTGCATACTCGCTGCATCCATTTGAACAATGAAGGACTTCCCTCTGTATTAAATAGTAATATGCTAACTGTTACATCAACATCAGAATCGTAATAACTTAAATTCAAATACTTCAAGCAGCCAGTGTGTCTTAACAATTCAAAAGTACCGAGATAAAAACCAAATAAGGCAACGGTATATTTTTCTTCTTGTGGAATGACCTACAGCAATGCCAACAAGGTTTATAATTACAAAAGTATGGCAGAGATATAGTAAAAAATAACTTAAAGGGGAAATACTATACAAAGATTTCTCTGTTGTAGTACACTAGCGTGGTAACACGGCTTCTGCATGTTAAAATGTTCCTGGTACAACGCAGAGTAAAAAAAGATTACATTTTTAAAGCTTTGAAAAGGTAGTCTTATAAAAACTTTGGCGCCCTCTTGCTGTAAAAAGACGGACTTTGTGTTAATGAAATAATGAAAACACATCACCACTGCCAACAAAGATAATACGCAAACGAACACAAACACACACACACACACACGCTCACACGCACACAATCCCCAACTTGTCCATGATGCCACGTCCAGGCTTCACCCTCAGGTCAGAGGTCAGAGGGGACAGGGCCGACCCATGGACATCTCGTATCTGCGCAGGTGGTTGACCAGAGACTGGACGTAGGTGAAGACACACTTGGAGTCGGGTTTATTACCCATGATCATCATGTCCTCCACCTCCAGCAGAGGCATGCAGTTGGCATACGTCCTGAGGAACAGCATACAAGAGACAGTGAGAAAGAGGAGGGGACAGACAGGATGGTGGAGGATCGGATGATCGCTCATTATTATTCATATTTAAATCATATGTCAGGTGCTTTAAATTGATCATAAACCAAATAGATTAACAGCTACATTTGAAAAGAAATCACTGATGAACTCCTTGGCCTTTCCTTGTCGTGGTTATGTTTGACTTCTTCTTTTTAAATCCTTTTGTGTCTCTGTTTCTCTAAAGCAATGTGTGGAAAACCCTTTAAAAGCTCTCTAAAAATAAACTTCAGTAATGTTTCGATAAACAGTTTTAGAAACAAAGGCTCCTCGTGTGCGAGTGACCACAGGGTGGCGTTATATCTCCACGTTCTGTAAACCCTCCAGACATCCTGAGTAACAGGAGCGGCACGCATGAGAAAATAAATGTCAATAACATAAAATTGGTTTTGTTATTTAAGGACCTGCAGACATGGGGTCATTCTGCACTTTACCATTTTAAAAAGGCTTAACAAGCATAAACACCTGTACATTCACACATGATCAAAAGTCAGCAGACAACACAGCCTGCTTTGTTTCTTAACCTCTTTGTTTGAAGCTTTGAGATACAGCAGTTCCTTTTAAAGTGTTGCAGATGGTCCTGGCTCTCCGCCTGGGCCATAGTCTGACTATTCAGAAATGCACGGACACACACACACACACACACACACACACACACACACACACACACACACACACACACACACACACACACACACACACACACACACACACCACACACACACACACACACACACACACACACACACACACACACACACACACACACACACACACACACACACACACACACACACACACACACACACACACACACACACACACACACACACACACACACACACACACACACACACACACACACACACACACACACACACACACACACACACACACACACACACACACACACACACACACACACACACACACACACACACACACACACACACACACACACACACACACACACACACACACACACCACACACACACACACACACACACACACACACACACACACACACACACACACACACACACACACATACCATGTTTGGTACTTCGTACTTCAGTAGCTTCAGATTAACATGAGGGATCATATTTCCAAAAGCGGCCAATAAAGGAGTTTTCTGAAGCACGTTTGATTTAAATCCTAACAGCTGCTCAAACACGCAGACACAGACTCGCACACACACTCGCACACACACTCCCACACACACTCCCTCACACACTCCCTCCAGCCCATCTCTCAGAACCAGAGTGTGGTTCCTCTGTAGGTTCGCCCCCTCTCTCACCATGGGTTCAGTTTTAGTTGTGGTGCGACTCTAGGAGGAGTTTTTGGTTTTAACCAGGCCCTTGGTCACCAGCCCCCTGTAGAACTCCTGCAGGTACGTATACACACACTTCCAATCCGGCTCGCGCATCTTCACCATGTCGTCCACATCCAACAGCTGGGGGCAGTCCACCATTTTCCTGTGCCCACACCCAGCAGGGGGGAGGGGGGGGGGGGGGGAGAGAGAGACAGGGGAGGACAGGAAGGAAAGGAAGAACCAAAGAGATAGAAACAAGGAGAAGGTACAGATAAGAAGAAGAAACAGGACAGAGATAGTGGACAAAGTGTGGGAAAGAGAGGAAGGAGGAAAACAGATGAAGCGGTGAGCAGCCAAACGAAGAAGATCCAGGGTGAGGAGACAGAGGGAGAGAGAAATGACACAAAAAGAAACAATACCATTACATTCTCTGTGTTCACAAATATATCCATGAGTTGACATGCTTCATGAACATCTCGATACGTACAGTATGTGGCAAACAAACACACTTGCAAACAAAGCAAAAAGGCTAAATGAGCGTCAGGTGATGCTCATTTAGCCTTTTTGCTTCTTGTTGTTTTTTTCGGTGCAACTTTTGACCATTTGAATATGGCTGCGATCTCTCAGAAAACACAAGACACGGTGAAAAAAACAACAAGGATTCTGCAGATGAGAAACACACAGACAAAACCATATGGTGACTCTAAAAAAAAACAAAAAACATACTGGTGCACAGGAGTGTGTGAGTGTGTGTGTGTGTTGGGATTTCAGATAACAGCAAACTACTGGAGGGTCAGCAGTGCCTGGGGAAGTGGGTGGGGGTGCAACACAAAAGGTGGAAAGACGGGGGGCTGTGGTTGGGTGACAGTCCGGTGTCGTGATCGTGAATAACATCAACATCAGCATGGACATTAAACTGCTGAGAGCATGTGAGCAAACACACACACACACAGGTGGGTGAGGGGCATTGAAAGAGAGAGGATACAGAGAGGCATTAGGAATACAAAAGGAGGGGAGATGTGGAGGTAATAGGCGGGAGCTGGTCCGTATTTGTTAACCTGGTGGTGGTTTGGGGTGGGTTTGCTCATGGGTCTCTGGTTTAGAGCAGACGGAGGGGTCGCAGCAGTTATCATAGTAGAGGACAGGTGGGGAGTGATGGTTTAAAGGTGGAGTTATTAGAGCCTTGAGGTAGTTTGATACACCTGGGAGAGACGGGGGGGGAGTTAACAGCGGGACATCAGTCGAGGAGTTTCACGCGTTTTGGGTCCGTCTCTGAACTTCAGGGTCAAGTAGAAGTTGGTATATAGCAATACTGAATAAAAGTGGATGTTACAGAGGAATGAGAGAAGGATGTGTGTATGATACAAAGAAAGGGAAATGTGTTGTTTTGAAATGTTTTGAAATGTGCCTTGGATTGAAGATCAAAGTGTATGTGTTTATGCTTTAGAGGAAAGATTCTTCTTCTGGTTTCTCCTCATTTTCTTCACATTTTCTCCACCATGATTAACAAAAAGCTTCACTGCCGTGTTGTGGTTTCTCCAACATAGTCGGTGGACCGTCACACTTTCAGTCAGAGCTTAACAACAACAACAGAACTGATGTGGTTAGCGGACATGTTACTGGGACAAATCATAGACCGTATGTGTATCTTTATATACAGCCTATGGGAAACAGTTTTGTGTGTACTCACTCTGCTGTGTTGAAGGCCATCTCAAAGTTTTGCCTGCGGTTGCTCGGGCTCAGGGACTCGTATTCAAAGGATTCAGGGAAAAAATTGTGCACCAGGGCACAAAATGCCATGCCGTTACTCCAGCTGGATGAAAAGTTCTGAATATCCACATGCTGAGGGAGGAGACGGACAGATTAGGATGTGCATGTTGTCAATTGTGTAATTTGTTCTACTAATTTATCTTTCATATTTTTCTTTATGCATGCTTCTTAGTTAACATTAGGCTGTCTTTGGCTCTTTTTCGCTGTCACAAATGTACATTTCCCCTCTGTTGGACGAATAAAGGTATTCTGATTAGATTTGGAGGCAGTCCCAGGTAAGTGATGGAAACATTCCTATAGAAGGAAAATATTATCTTAGCCCATCTTGTCTTAATCTTCAGGTTTAGCTCCACTGGCTGACGTTAAAGATGAGCCACTGTGTTGTCGGGCTGGAGCTCACCTCATACGAGCGGGTCTTGGCACGGCACCAGTCGAGCAGCATCTGCTTGATGGAGTTTGCGTTGGGAACGCCAAAGCTGGTGGAGCGCTGGACCTTGTTTACCTTGGCGACCGCCTGATTTCCAGGGCTAAAAGAAAAGTCAGGTTTGTGTTAATATTTACATGCTTTGATCTGCTACCTTTCTTGGGTAGTAATTCCTCTCTGTTTGTTCTTACCCGCCTCCCTCCTTCTCCAGCTTCTCTATCATGGCTTTGCGGGCCGTCATGGCCGAGGTCTTGGGCAGAGACTGAGCCCTCATCAGCTCCTTGCGCCGCTCCGCCTGCAGTCGCTCAACCGCGGCCAATCCACTGCTGCCGCTGCGAGACGAAGTATCATCCTCGCGGTCAAACACACTGAGGCAGGGACACGTACAGTAAGTTAACTGGTGAAACTGTAGGCGTTTAAAATGTTGATTAGATACTGTGGTGATGTTTCTTAACTTACCTGCCAACTTTTTTGCTTGTGTTGGAGGAGGATGATGATGTGGAAGAGCTGAAGCTGTATGACTTTGACTGGAGTGTCCCTCCTGAGATAAATGAACACAGGCATGTGAATAATCTTGGCAATATGACTGTAATGACTATAAAATATGATAATAAAGAAATGACTTACTGTCTGTTTTCTGCAGATAACTGGACTCAACAACAGTGCTGCGTGATGATCTGCTTCCATCATCTAAAAAAGGACAATTTTTTATTATAAACACATAAGATGATCCTTATCATTTGTTGTCCATCTATTTCACTGCTTACTTCTTCCTCCCAAGATTCCCTTTGTTGATCTCAATGGTTGAATTTATGTTCAAAAGGGTTTGAAGAAGGTTCAGAAATGAACAGGTAAATAAAAGAGAGACCTACCAGACGAAGCGAAGCGGTCTGTCTTGGTGACTTGGCTGAGGCTGGAGCCGTCGGCGGACTTCTCCACCTTCCTCATCCCCACCTCTCCTGCTCCCACGCCTGGACGGCCTTTCTGTCCTCGCTCTTCCCTCTGCTGCCGGATCTCCTGCAGACGGTTGTCGCGCTCCTTTTCTCTCTGGTCTGGGGTGGAGAAGGGGAAGGGGAGAGAAGAAGAGAAAAGGGATATAGAGGTGGAGGGATGATGTCAGTGGAAAAAGAGGAGGGGGAGGACAAAAAGGTCCTAAACAAACTGACAGCACCTCATCTCACTGCTGCAGAGATGGATTCAAACAAAACCTCTTCTAAATGTGAGGTTTGCAGATTCTTTCCACAGTACTGTCAAATTCCCTTAAACAAACACAAACACACACGCACACCACAGGTGGGAGGTTCGAGCCCAGCCAAAGCTGTCAAGTTATATGTACAGCAAAAACATCACACATCAAAAAGAAAAAGCACACTGCGATCGACCTCGATGACTGGCAAAGTCTAGAATACTGATACCTTAACCCCTGCAGTGCAAACTAAAGCTTTTACCTGAGAGGGTACCTGCATTTAAACGTATTATGTGGTATTATGCATTTATTCTAACTATGTATAGATGGGTCTGTTTCTGCCCTTTGGATGCTCCATGCCAGTGATTCTCAAATGGCGGTACGCGGACCCCTGGGGGTACGTTGGGGTACTGCAGGGGGTACATGAGATTTAAAAAAATTAATTAAAAAAAGGTTAATTAAAAAAATACCATGTATGATTACAAAAATAATCTTAGTACAATAAGTTAAATAGAAAACACAATTTTATATAAAATATTCCTAGAACCACCAAGGGGGTCCTCATATAAACATGTCAAATGTGTGTATTGTATTTTATAGTTTTTCACAATATATCATTTTGTTCATTGGTTTGTTAAACATATTACTTCAATTGAAAAACCCCTTGGAAAAATCTATTTTATAAAAATGTCGTTATGTTATTTTTTTTCATGCATGAAGATGAAAATATCCTTAGTTTGTTGTAATTCATGCACGAAGGAGTTAATAAATCACACACTGAGGGAACATCACTATATTGTAATTATTTATATAGGCTTTTTTGATCAAAAATGCTCGGTCAAGGGGTACTTGGCTGAGAAAATGTTTCAAAGGGGTTACATTACTGAACAAAGTTTGAGAAGCACTGCTCCATGCCACCGAGTGCACTGAGCTTTTACAAATCTGGGAATCCAATTAGGGTTCAACGGCAACGAAACCAGGCGGCTTGTGAAACTGTATGCTGGATGCTCTCGACAACACAGATATACACTAAAGGTGGTAGTTACAAAGTTGTGTGAGTATGACAACAGGATTCATGCATGTTAACAAAACTGTCAACATTTTGTCTTCATCATCCACCACAGAGCTCTTGGAGATAAACTGTTGTGGTCTTATAATGACAGGATGGAGCACACAAAAAACCAAACGCAGGCATTATTAATTGTAAAATCACACTGCACAGCAACCTGCCATACCTATTTCCTCTTGAGTACATCCCAGCATGGCCTCTGAGGGCAGAATGGATAGAAATGATGTGGAACATTTCAAGACAAAAAGGGATTGAAAAATAAATAAGAGGCTTGATTTTAATGAGGCAGTGTGACTACCTTATAGTACCGTCATTTGAAACAAAGCAGTGGTCGGGATAAAATAATTAAGCACGTTTTAATTTGATGAGAGTAACAGACAGGAGATTCATTTTGTTCTCTTACCTCTCTTTCTCTTGCGAAGGTCTCTCATGGCTGCACGGATCATCTTCCTCTCCTCAAAGTCTTTTGACTCATCGAGCTGTGAGAGAAAAGAAACAATGAAGTCATTCTTCACAAAAAGTCGTAGTGGCATGGCTCTATTCGTTCATGCACTTCTAACATAGCATTTTGCATACAGACAACAATAAGCTTTTACTTTTCCAAATATACCTTCACATATCTGGGGAGATTTACTACACAAACTATCTGCATGACTAACGCTACATCATTAGTTCTAAAGTGGTGCTCAAATCAAAATCATCCAGAATTATAACTTGAGTGTGAAGTACCATTTTGTCAAGGAGCTCTTCGTCCTCGATAGCAGCCAGCTGGTCGGCTGTCAGTTTTCCGGAGCGCTCGTGTTGTTTGCCCTGAGTGCTGGAGCCGTTTGGGATGGTGGGGACGTGACTCCCCACCTTGGCAGACGATGCAGCTGCAGACACCGGCTCCGAGGCCACGGGCTCTGTCTCCATCTGCACACACAACACAAACACACACAGCATGAGCTACAGCACAGACACCAAGACATGCAAAACAATGTTTCATGTCTATATATTCAGTTAAAGAGGCCCTATTGTGCTTTTTGGAGTTTTCCTTTTCCTGTAGTCTCGATTATTTGGGTCAATAATTGATATCACGATTATTAAAAAACGATTATCCATTTACTTTGAAAACATCCATTTATTGAAAAATAAAATGTGAACAGTATGTTTTTAACAGTTGATTACCCTGAACTCTAAGTATAATTCAACTGAAAAACCAAAAAAAAAAAAAAAAAATCAATAATCATTTTATTTCGATGATGTTGTTTTCATAATCGTTGCAAGCCAAAATCGTAATTGCAATTAAAATACGATTAATTGAGCAGCCCTAGTGCAAAGGCTGTAATCCCACAGTTCCCTCCAAAGGGAGTTTCTCTCTCACACCCCTCAACCTGAAACGCCTCGGATGTACTCCTTTGTTTACTTCTGTAACATAGTGACATCACTATGTAACAGAGCCAGCCAGCTAACCAATCAGAGCAGACTGGGCTCTGGTTTCAGACAGAGGGTGAAAAGAGGTGCAGTTTGAGAAAAATAAAGACCTTTTGAACATTAAAGCATGTCAAAAAGGCCCAGTAGAGGCACAAGTACAATATGAACATTTTGCATACTAGGGCCCCTCTAAAAAAAAAAGGTGACCTTAGTTGGATACGTGCATTGCCATAACACCTGCAGAAAGAATCTCTAAACCCGGAGCTCAGGCTTTTAAGTTGTACACTCACCCCAAGATAGATGAGGGTTAAAAAACATAACTTAAAGGTGGGGTAGGTCATTTTGGAGAAACCAGCTGGAGTGCGCTAAAATTTGAAAATACACAGCCGGAAAAAATCTGCCACTTCCTTACAGAGCCCCTCCTCCAACACACACAAACGCGCACATGACCAATGGGGGCACGAGATAAGTTTGTGCACAGATGGAAGGCTGACAGGCAGGTAGGCCATCCAGTTATTTTAGCCGGGCCGGCTAAAATGATTGGTCGTGCTTTTTACAGCGCTACGGCTTCCACAGATGACATTTCTTTATGGATTTTTTGTCAAAGCACTTAAGATATTCATTGCTATCAGGATGTTAAGAGCATTCCATGGAATATAACAAAAAGTGTATCTCGAGCCGGTTTCTCAAACTTACCTACCCCACCTTTAAGCTTGCTGACATTTAGAACGTAATAAGCACAGGAGGATTTTTGGTCAAACACACTGCAGCCATAATAGGCTTTGAGTGTTAGAAGCAGGCTCCCTCTGATAATCTCTTTGTGCATTAAGACTGCCAGCGCACCACATCTCATCATTTCTTCCATCCCTCTGCCTTCCAGCCATGCCAGAGAGGGTGACAGTAAGCACATGAGTGGGGGAGCGACTCTGCCAAGTTACTGTTAACGTAGTTCATGGAGTGTGACTGACACAGTGAGTGTCCAAATGATACTGAGCTGCAGTGAAGCAAGAGTTTATGTGACAGGTACGGTACACCATTATGACTGGAAGATGGGAACAATGCATTAGCAGATATAAACTCTGAGAAAATGGTATGTACACCACAGAAGGAGTGCTGAGCGTAAGAGCAAAAAGGTAAGAGTGAGGGAGCATGCTGAAGAGGAAGTAGAGCACCAAGAGAATAAACATTATAGGTCTTTAATGTAAACCTGGCTTTCAACCAGCTCTTTTAAAGTGACCACAAACCCTATAGAAAACAACTCTTATAATTATACATCGTGCTGAATGCCTGTGGCAGACTAGGAGCTGTAGATGTGCCTTTGTTGTAGCTGCGTCCAGATATAGCTCAGACAGCTGGCCTCGTCCCTATCCACAGCCTCACTGTGGGCCCCAGGTTTCACCAGGGAGGGACAATGCCCAGAGCAGCCTCAGTGCTGTGGGATTAGGGGTGGCCACTGCTTTTAAAACTTTTCTGGACATGGGACAGACTGGAGTGAGAGGCACTTGACCGACAAGGAATGCTTTGGGACACAACAAAGCCAAACAAGGGCCCTGATTCAGGCAATGTGGGAATGTGAGTGGGGTGAGAAAATCCCAGATAACCTGCGCTCACGTCGTGTTTAATTCAGATACTCAGATGCTTAATTCTGCCGTTACACGAGAAGGGCTACAATCTCTCTGAACATGTATTGCTTCATGACTTAAACCTGAAATGCAGTCCCTGGAAGCAGAATTATGAAAAACTGACATATTTCATAGTTGACATTGCATAAAGGCATTGGGAGGTATCACAAGTAAGATTTAAGAGAAGACCACCACCTTTATAGGAACAGCTGATTGGCAGATGCAGCTGCAACATTGGCCGGTTATATAACTGAAGATTATGCAGCAAATATTCAATATCCCTTGAAATGTCACCAGTGCATACAAACAAACAGTGTTTGTTATGGGATCTCAAGGGTACATTGAGCAAACAAAGCTTGAGAGCAGAGAGATTATCAAGTCAGTCAAGAGGACTGTGCAATGATTTTTACAACGGGATGTAAGACCTTAATCCAATCTTTGTTATTAAACCGGACAAGTAAAACCGCTCCATTTATGACTCCTTTTTTGAAAAATGTTGTATGCTAAATCAATACGATTCCTGCCAAAGTGAGCATGATGGATGATCTATGATGAGACAAACTATAGGCCAGGGCAACTGTTACTGTTAAAACATGAAGTGTATCCACTACATATGAGCCCTTTCATGAAACATGAGTACTAGCCAGGATCAGAAACACATGGTGTTGAAGGATTGGAATACCTCCAGGACAGACTGTAGTGATGTCCTTCAAATAAACACAATTTGAAAAAAACTGACTGACAGTGAGGATGGTCAGGCTATTTCTAAAAAATGAATCAAGGAAATATTGTAAGATTAAAACCAATGAAAAGGTCAGAAAGTACAGGTCAAAAACAACATGGGCAAGAACAAGCATGGCACTCAAAAGTACTCAAGGCCAGCTGATCCACATGTATTGCGAACACAGGAACAAAAATACATTCCCATTCTTCACGCAGCTTATCTGAATACAAAAAAGGGCGTTTTTTTTCTTTTCTAAACCTGTATCAGAGAGCAGTACCGTGCTTTTGCTGCAAGAAATGCTTTCCAACCCAGAGGGAGCAGAGAGGGAGCGGCAGGTTGCAAAGGTGGGTGGGTGTTGGAGAGACAACGTTTCTGGCGTCGGAGGTGTGCTTGTCTCAGCGGATACAGAGTCTGATTCCTTGGGGCAGGATGAAGCTTCCTGGGAAATGCTTGATGGACTATCCAGAAGAGTGCTAGCCTGAGAGTCCTGGGGAGCACTGGATAGAGAATCTTCCAACGTGTGGGATGAAGTTTCGTGAGGTGCTTCAAGTGCTTCGTCCTGGGATGTGCTGGCTGGAGGATCGTTGGAAGACGACAGAGAATCAATGGACGGTATTTCGCTTTCACATTGAATTGTAGGTGAGCTTTCTTTGCTGGCCAGTTCATGCAGTAAGCTATCAGGTAGCCCCATAACCTTGCACAGGGCCTCCACCTGCCTCAGCAGCTTCTCCTGCTGAATGCTCATCCTCAGGTTCTCCTCCTGCAGCCGGGCGAGGGCCTCAGCCAGAGGAGCCACCTGAGCTGCTGCCTCCTTAAGGCAAACATCCACTCGCTTCCCAAAGGCCTGCAGGTCACTGTGGATCTCCCCCACTGCACACTGTAGTGTTACTTCAAATTCCCTCTTGCAAAACAGCTCTTCTTCATGCTCGGCTTCCTCCTGAGCTAGCAGATCACCGATCGCCTCCTCCAGGCCAGACTCTGCACAAGCGCTATCTGGACTGCCCATAGCCTCGGGAGCCTCTGAGGCTGGTAGTAAGTCCAGGTTCACTCCAGGCATGGCCAGACCGGCTGCACTCAATGTTACACTGCTCAAAGTCGCCTAAATCTACGTGTGTCCAAAAAGTTGTGGCGTAAGATCATAAAAATCTAAATGTTGTGGCCACAGATGTGAAGGTAAAGGGTGTCAGATCTGGTCTGTCTACAGAGACCTTTTCAAAACAATGCACATCCTTTATACCCCCAACAAATCTGCCCTCTTCACGGGCCAACACCCTCACAGCCAATGAGCATGAAACGAATCCCCTTTCCCAGACAGCAGAAGTCCCACCCCCGTTTTCCAGGTGCCGTGGACATGTCTATCTCCTGCCCTGCCATTATTTCACAGAGCCAGTCTGTCCTGGTGGGGGCCCGGGGGGGAATGGTTGAGGCAACAATTCAGACAACTCACCCCTCCCTCTTTCAACTTTCCTTTTATCTCGAGCCGTTGTCCTTCACACCCCGATTAGCATGCAGCGAAGGTTTAGATGTGGCCTTAAGTCCGGGCTAAGCGGAGTTATACGTTAGTCTTTGACTCCTCGTAAGAATGCTTTCTGACTAAATGTGATCGTGTTGTGACTAATTAGGTCAGTTGCGTTGCATGACTTTGACTTAGAGCAGACGTCCAAAGGGAGGATCAGTCCGTGAAGGACAAAGTGTGTCGGGGCTATGACACAGCAGGCTGGGTGAGAAGTGAACGTCAGACGAGACCCAGCTCTCCTCGGCTCTGGGCAAGGATGTAGGGAAAGACATCGCAGCGCTTCAAGATTTAGTTTTAGGCTCACTGACAAAGCTGCCCAGCTGCTGCTCATGTGAATGCTTCAAGTGCTTCTGTGATGAATGAAGAGTTTTCTAAGAGCGCTGACAGAAGTCTGTGTGCACATTGGTTATTGTGTAAGAGGCCCAAGAACATTTTTTAAATGCCTCCTGACGCTTTAAAAGCATGCAAGACCATGCAAAAAAACAAAGAGTACTGTGCTATCTGCATCTATGACTAGGGGAAGGCAAATGTGATACATCTGTAGCTCTTGATAACATGCCAACACATCACACGCATTAAACTGATATTAAAACATATTAGGGATAACAATGTGACAAAGGGCAACAATGGTCTCTCCTGGTAATTACAGGTGAGCAAAATAGTTCCCGGGAAGAATCTGGCCCTCAGAGAAAGTGAAGAGAAATGTGACTGGCAGCAGGGAAGTGGGTCAAAACCCAGGAGGACCATGTCTCTAGTCTTATCACGCATCAAAGCACTAACCCACTTTGCCCACGGCAAACAGTGAGGTTAAAAAACAAGGAGCCTGAACAATCAAAAAGTGCATACACTATTTATGTGACAGCGTATGTGGCTATTGTGAACCCTGCTGCTATACAGACTGTTACCAGAAATAATGTAGTCTAGCTTCCAACGGAGGTAAAAATAAAGCAATGCAGTCATTTTAGTTTGAAGAAAAGTCAACATAGCAATGACAGAAAAAGTGTCTATAAAACAGCATCTAGACGTCTTTTTCTCCGCAGTTTGCAGGGAGGCTTAAGTCTATGACACATGTAAACTGGTTAGGTAATCAGCATGTGTGATGGTTCAGCAGTATGTTAACAATCCCCCTGTGACAGTGAGACAATGTGTGGGCCTGTGTGTCCATGTTCACGCAGCAGCACTGTGGGCATTGTTTATATTTGTGTTCAAGGCCGTGCACAGTGGACAGCTGAGATGAGCAGGAGCAGCTGCGACCCCTCTGAGAACGAGGCATCAATACCCAGCTGCAGGCCTCACCTGTCTGAACGCAGCTCTCATCACTGAACTGGAAACCTACAAGCATCTTGACCATTCACTTCCTCTTAATCTTTTTATAATAAAGAAAGAGCAGCTAGGCCTCTAACACTATCATTTGTTTTTAAGTCTGTTCATGGCTTCTTAGAACATTTATCTCTGTTGACACTTAAATAGATTGCAATAACAGCGTGTTTTATTAGAATCTTAAAAGAATACCACTTAAGAAATAAGGGAGGGAATGAGTGCTGAATTTGGACCACCGAGAAGAAGCCCAGACCACCCAAACAGATCAGAGCCTCAGCGGGAACCACTGAGGTAAATAAAAAACAATGATCAACACCAAACAGGAAAAACAGATTAAAACTCTTGTTACAACACTAAATATCTACTCACTCTCTTTCTTATAATGAACACAACTGTATACATTGTGCCTCCTATTTAAGAGGTTTCACAATAAATCCCTGACATCTCACACAACCTTGAACTTCCACTAAACCAGGTAAAGTGAGAGAGCAGGTGGTCTCTGGATCAGTCTGTAGGTAACCAAGCTGCCTCGCCTTTAGTTGATGCTAACTTACAGTGTCTGCTGCTGTTTTAAAATCTCATTAGCCAAGTCACTCAGGCTCGGTGTACTTTAGGGGAAACTTGAGCAGATCTGGTGGAAGCTGGTGAAATATCAGCTAAGTGACGAAAAGAGACCTACTTGTCATAGTCTTGTGGTTTCATCAATGGAGGCATTCATGTTGAGCCTATACAATGATGATGCCGTTTGGATAACCATGTATGTGGAACCCAGCCTATTGGTGCTAGCATGCAGTCAGCAGGATAGAAACAAATGGGTTTTTCAGTGAGAGGTCCACAGAGGTAAATTAACTATTTTAAATGAAAAATTATGTATTTATTTTAGCACTATCTAAAATACATCATACTAAAAAAAAAATCCTTCACATGTTAGCACAAGGCGTTACCTGCATGCCGTTATGATATGGTTTGTAGTAATGTGTTTTTATTACATGTACAGCACTTTGGCTCGACCAAAAATCGCTTTTAAATGTGCTATATAAATAAAACCTGATTTGATTTGATTTGATGGTCGTAATATCACTCAGACGAGTATAAACGCAATCTCCTGCAGAATCTTTTGCCGCTAGATCCCTTTTCAAGAAAGACTGCTGTGTTATTACTGAACATGTCACTTAGACGCTTTTATCCAAAGCGACTTACATACTCAATACTGTGGCCAATCCCCACAGGAGCAATTTGAGGTGAAGTGTCTTGCCCAGGGACACAATGACATGCCGATTGCAGTGGGGTTTGAACCTGTGACCACCTGATCCGAAAACCAACACACAACCCACTGCACAACACGCCTTCTATCTTACTATGTACCGGCCCCTGTGTCCGTGCGTCTCAGCAAGGGCCTAACTAACTGATGGAGACAGTCTCATTCCAACACCTTAAATTCACCCCGAAGCCTCGTAGAGCCTCCTCCCAGCCGTAATTAACCAGCTCCCTGATCCCATTACCAGATTACAGCTGCGCTCCACACAGGGGGGGAATACACAGCCATTAAAGATTAAATAGTTCACCACTTTTCCTCTCCTCACCCCCTCAGTCCCCCACTCCCCATTCCCCAAGACACTTCCTTTCATGGAGGAGAGAGGAGGTTGAGGAACGAGGCAAATGGGAGTTTAGCTGTTCTTTCTAACCCCCAAGGTCACTGTAAGAGGGGAGGGGGTCGGTAAGACTCTGACATGAGATGAATCTTTTGCATTGGCCCCTAAGAAAAGACGCGAAGAAGAACTTTTGTCAACATGTGTCTTGATGCAGATGGACAACAATCAGTGTGCATGAAGACAGACAGGTGTCAATGGGGGGACATTTCCCAGATAAATCTCAGCGGGCATGGCCTGCCGAGAGAAAACAAGGAATGCCCGGAGCACCTCCCTCTGCTCTCTCTCCTTCACATACCCTACAAGGACAGATGTGACTGGCTACCCACTCTGTGTTTGATAAACACTGTTCTTCCCTCGTCTCCCTCCTTTTTACACCCTCTGTCTGTCTCTCACTGTCCCGGCTCACTTGCTTTTCAGGCCTTTATAGGTGATGGCTGTGACAGGGACGCAGCAAACACACAGTGGACTTCAATTGACTCCATTGGAAATGAAAGAGAGGATAAAAACAGTGGGTTAATCTAAAAAATTGGATCCAACTGGGAATGTGGTTTTGATCCATGTTTGACAGGTTCCGTCTCCAGATTCTGCAAAGCCTCAATGTTATGATCATTTCCCAGAAAATACTTTGCAATGGCAGACTGTACCTTGATGGAGGATTCGGAGGAGAGGCTGGATGAGGAGACCTTGAACGGTGTAGCTCTGAGGCCGAGGGTCAACTCTGAAACAGATACAAGTGAAGACCAAAATGAACATGGAATTCAAGTGGAAAAACATTGTAAAGCTATGGGTTGAATATAAGAACATCAAAAAAGATTCATATGCATGTGCACATGGTTCTGCACTGTGTTTAGTCAGTTACATAAGCTGCCATAGTGTCATAAACAACACGTTCCCTTGGCTAATGAGAGAAGCGAGAAAATGTGGATGACGTCACCTTTAACATAAACAGCTCTCTTTATTTACCTGCACATGGATTTCCCTGTGACCTGCTTTCAAACCCCCCCACCCCCACCCCCATCCCTTAACTTTAAACATGCACAAAAGCTATATCATACAATACAAGACTGATACACACCAGCTCAGCATAGTTTACATTTAAGACTCAGGGAAGGTGCTTTTAAGAGAAACCGGAGACACAATCCCAGCCTGTCTTTGGTCAGTGGGAGACAGGCAGGTTCCCAAAAAAGGAGCCCAAAACCATTAAAGCAAACTGAGCTGGGAAAAAACGTTGTGACCCTCGTGGAGGAGCCCAATGGGGCTGCCAGTATGTGTCAGTGGAGGGGGGGGGGGGGCGTTGTAAGAGGTGTAATCACACAGGTTCAGCTTTAGTCTTAAATAAACTGTTTGGTTTGGAGGTCCCGGTTTCAGGGAAGAGCTGAAACCTAACACGTCTTATTTGGACTGTACAGTTATAGCAGCTGTAGCAGCTCTGCTTCTGATACACACTGACATCTCAGCTATTCATGTTTTTGTGTCATGCAATTAATAAACCCCTGCTAGTACTGCTTGTACTATAAGTATGTACTGTGCTGCTGAGTACGTACATGTTCAGGAACTATGTGTTTTTAGGAGACTTTCCTGCTACTTAATGTGCCTTAAGTTAGTTAACTATACAGAAACTCACACACTACAAATATGCCTTTTTGAATACTTGTTGTATTTCTCTAAGAACTACAACATTTGACCTACTTTAGTATTTAAAGTATACTTGTAAGTATAGAAAAAGCAGAGCTGAATACCACTGATGGGGCCATGCAGTATTTCTGAACTGTTTCAGAGGAGTGACAATGTTTTGATCTGCTGCACAGTGATATTCATACGTGTTCTTGTTCCATCTTTTTTTATTTGAGTAATTAGAAAACTTCCTTATATTTTGTTCCATTAGGAATTGTTTTTTTGGTTTACGCCCAGCCAGGGATGTATGTTTTGTTTTATTTCCTCATGTTTCATAACTTATTTTCTGTCTTTTACTGTTATGCTGATTTAATAACAGTACAACAAAATCAGGCGTGAAATGCATCGACACCTTTTCTGATAGTAGACTAGAAAAAAGTGACAATGCTACATTCAAATTCAAAGAATCTCAGTGTCTTAAACTGCTGGGACTCCAATGGTTTCTCTAATTTCAATGCACACCAAGGAGAATGGTTAAAGAAAGTGTCTTAGATAAGTGTAGGGGGAAAGACAATATATACAGCATGGAACAAACAAAGCCCTGTGTGGGCGAGCAGGCTCATTCACTTGCACCGTTACAGTATCACCATTCAGTCTGGCCTGAGAGCCAATTATTGTCTCCTTTGTCCCAAATATACTCGCTTCTGTTGACTACTGACCTCACCCCTCCACACTGCACCAACTCGCCTACTCCATAACAAATACCCTTCAGTTCAATCACGCAGCTTCATATTCAGCCCTAACATCTATCCCCACTCATCCACGCGCTCTGCTTGTTATCGGCCCACATGTGACCGTTTCCTTGGTGCCGGTCGCCTCCCACAGCGACTGGGATTCCTTTAAGATCTAGGGATTGATACTAGCAAGTAAAGACACAAAGTCGCTAAATTAAGACGCAAATGACCTAAAACACAGTTCTGCAAATCTGCATGTTGTAATTGAGCTTTAAAAAAAAAAGAAAAAAGGTAAATATAAACAAGTGTCACCTAGAAATAATAGTGCATTAAGTGGTTGAACAAACATATGTGTTCAGAAGTTCTAATCCTGAATTAACATTTTGGAAAATAGTTATTTGAGAGTTATTGTAGCACTGTAAGGTGGGTGCTCTTACCTCCTCTCTGCCCCAGAGGATTAGTGGTGATGCGTGGGGTCATGTTGGTGATGGGCACCATGTTGGCCCTGGGGGAGGACGTAGAGGTGGAGGTGGTGCGCCCATCCTTGATCTCGATAGTGAGGAAAGTCTTCATGTCGGGGTCTGCCTCTTCCTGGGTGACCTGCTGCTCAGCTGCTCTCCCTGGGGTCCCGTCTTCCTTTGAGTTACTGGAGGCATGCGCATCTTTTTCTGCTGGATGCCTCGTCCCGCCTACGGAGCTCTGCCATTGGCCGGCTGAAGACAGAGGTTTGCTGGCCACACCTCTTGGCTGAGGTACAGCCTGACTCTGGGATGCTGCGGAGGTGTGAGATGTGGAGTCCACACGTGGCCTCTCTGGCCTGTCTCCAGATCTGCTGAGGGATGCTCCTGTGTGTGTAAACATCTCGGTGGCTCTGGACAGATTCGCCTGGCTGCTGCCGCCGGAGGAGGAGGTGCCGTTCCTCAGAGGAGCTTTCCTCAGAGCTGGGACGTTTGCGATCTGGGTTGCTTCAGTGAATTTACGCATTCGATCGCGTACAGAGTTGGTTCGGTTGAATTGTTCCAATACCACTTTCTTCTCAGGTGCTGTAAAGACATAATGCGGAGTCTGGATCTCTTCCACTATTCAGTCTGAATTTAGCACATTTATATTTTATCCTGCTTTCATTATATCCCCCTCCACCTAAAAAGCCCTCTACAAATCCCATTCCTCTTTTCATCCACTCACTAAGTTTTGTTCCAGATGCTTTATTCTGCTTGACTTAACTCTCCCTGTTTAACCGTCTTTCAGTTGTATTTTTTTGACTTTTCAGGACATGTTTCTTCCACTCTCTTTATTTTCCATTCTCTGATCCTTAATACTTTCAAATAATGTGTACAGAGCTCATGATTTCGCACAGACACTCCAGTGGAAAAATCATTAGTGATTAGAGGAGAAGATATCCACTGAGGTCATCCTCCGAAATAAAAAAAGATGTGCTGCTCGCGAGGAAAACTGTTTATAATAAAATAGACACAGCTAAGAGCGCTCTCCAGTAAAAAACAAATGTACATTGTATAACATGCCCTCATCCCAGCACTCTACTGCGAGTGGCTCTATACGGTCCCACTAATGGCTCCATTGTCTTCATAAAGTGGAGTCCTACTGGGGATGAACTATGGCGCGATTGTTTTACCCACTTCAGTTTCCCTGATGAAGACGACGAGTGCAATATTATTAAACTAAACCAAATTAATCTGTGCATATAGGTTTAGGAGCATTAAAAGGTAGGGTAGGTAATTCACTTCAGAAACACTTTTTGTTATATTCCATGGAATGCTCTTAACATCCCGACAGCAATGAATACATTAAATGCTTTGACAATAAATACATAAAAAAATGTTCATCTGTGGAAGCCGTAGCGCTGTAAAAAGCACGACCAATCATCTGAGCCGGCCCGGCTAAAATAACTGGATGGCCTACCTGCCTGTCAGCCTTCCATCTCGTGCACAAACTTATCTCGTGCCCTCATTGGTCATGTGCGCGTTCGTGTGTGTTGGAGGAGGGGCTCTGTTAGCAAGTCTGAAGGAAGGGGCAGATTGTTTTCGGCTGCGTACTTTCAAATTCTAGCGCACTCGAGCTGGTTTCTCCATTCTTACCTACCCTACCTTTAAAGATAATATTTATAATAAATATCTGAAAATAAAATGCATGTTCTTTCCAATCAACACTACTGACACCAAACCTGATAAATTGACAAAAATTCAAAAGAAAGAGATGTAGCAAATATTTATATTTGAGAAGCTGGAAATGACTAGTTTCTTACCAGAATCCTTTGCTTTGCCATTATTGAGGGGCAGATCAGTGTTTATTGTCATCTAAAAAACAGAAACAAAGCAAATAAACATTATGGAACAATCAGCAGAGGAAGTATAAGAGATAAGGGGTTAGCATGCACTATTTTTAACACACACTTCTAAAAACAGAATCAACCGGTGGTGTTTTCCTTATGTAACATTTGTGTTTGGAGTGAAGTGGTGGGCCTCTGTTCTTTATTTGGCAGCAGAGCCATGATGGGCCCCAGAGTGTTTACATTACTCTCTGGAGAATGAGCATCAGCGTATCTTGCAGGGAACAATAAAAGAAGTCCAGGGCCAGCCTTGAGTAAACACATTTAGAGGAGCGTGTGTGTGTGTGTGTGTGTGTGTGTGTGTGTGTGTGTGTGTGTGTGTGTGCGCGTGCTCTGTGCTCTGGGCTGAAGAGAGACAGAACCTCTGGCCGCAGTGCTTTCTATCCCTCTCTGACAGCAGGTGAGGTCGACACGCCGCTGAGGTGAAGCAGAGACACTCAGGTGCAAAGTTTGTTTGTGTAGCTAAGTAACAAAAGTTAAACAGCACCTAACAGGGCTGTTGTGTTTATGGATGCCGATGTGACCTGGGTGTCACTGAAGAACGAGTGTCTGGGGTGGGATGATGGAAAAGAAAGAAGGAAAGAGCATGGACTGTTGGTGCATGTTACTGTGAGGCTATGTGGTTCAACACCCCACTCTAGTGGCACAATTATAATGTGTACAGCTGATGTTAAGCTGGCTCAAATAGACACAGATGGGAGGCCAAAGGAAAACCAGTCAAGGTGTCTCAGTAAGACTTGGAAAAGATCTACATTGCCCCATTTTCCTTTCTTAGTATTCAAATATGTTTTGTATGTATTGTTAGTATTAAAAGAGGAACATTATTTAAAACTTGGGGAAGTATCAGAAATTCTTATTATTTTATTGCTTTGATTATCGCCATGCTCATTAAACTAGTCAGTGGCCCTCCTGCCCTGTATGGAAGCTGTATTTATAATGTTTTTCTTTTAATTTGTCTCCTCAAAGACAACAAGTTCATACAAGAACTGTGCACTCTACCTTTTCTTTCTGGAAGTCAAATGTTCCCTTGATGCTGCCGTTGAGCAGGCCATTTGCAGGATCTTTCCGGGATAAGATAGCTCCATCCGGCTGCTCCTGGTCGATGATGCTGTCCTGTTTGGACGGAGCCTGAAGGCTGGCTTGACCTTGACTTACGCGCTCAACTTCTGAATCTGTGCTGTAAGTGGAACCGCTCGTGGATACCTCCACATCCTCTGCTGGACCCCTCTCCTCAGAGGACACACTCGCACTAACAGATGTCCCCGAGTCGGTCCTTTTCCGTGACAAAAGCCCAGCGCTGTCTGAAGCCCCGGAGCCCAGACGGGGTCTGACGCCGGAGTCTGAGACATCTGAACCCAGTCTCTGCCTGATGTGGGTCAGGGAGCCGACGCTCCGCTCTGAAGCCCCAGAGTCCAGCCGACCTCTCTGGAAGGGACTCTGGCTCCTGTCTGAGGCTCCAGAGTCCAGCCGGCCTCTGAAGGCTGAGCCCCCGCTCTTCTCTGAAGCCACAGAATCCAGATTGGACCTGGAGAGCCCAGAGGTCACACTGCGGTCTGACGCTGAGGAGTCGGACCTCTGACGATGAGACAGGACGAGGTCCTGCTCGCTGCTCTCAGCCTCTCTCTGAGGCTGGATCAGCAGCGCTGCAGGGCCATCGTCCTTCCCCAGGTGATCCAGATCCAGCACCATGCCTGAGCTGGAGTCTGCAACAGGAAACAAATTAAATCAAAAAGTAATGAAAGCCTTTCTGTACCTTGTAGCTTTCCTGTTACAAAAAAACGGATTCTCATATTACTTTTTCTCTCACACTAGTAGTGAACTTCAGTAAAAAGGGTGTTATTGTCTGTGAGTAAAGGAAAGCAGTAGGTGGTGAAGTATGAGATTGAAGTGATGGAAATGAAATACTTCTGTGGGCACAGGCCAGGCTAGAATATATCACTAAGGATCACAGAGGAGGCACGTGGAGACATGAGGGGATGAAGGCATTTCCTCCAGACTGGCCTCAGTTCCTGAGCAAGATTTGTGAGATTGTGTCGGTGGATGTGCGTAGAATAGAAGGAGGGGTCAAGACTAAAGAGAGCGAGCATGTGGCTAAACCATAGGCGGTATGGAGGAAGTGGGGGTGAAATAGAGACGAGGACAAGTACTTCCCCTCCCCTCTGTCCAGGCTCCTTCACTGCTCCTTCTCTCCTCAGGAAACCACACTACAAACAACACAGCGCAGCCCACATCCTCCCTCTGTTACAGTCTCTACCTCCAACACCCTATGGTGCTTCAAGTGATGGAATATCTGAGGTTGTGTACATACCGCAGATAAGGAAAACAGAGAAAACCAGGAATGTATCAGATTCCCACATCCCATGAACACACCAAAAGCATGAAAACAGTTCTGAGTGACCTGTGTGTGTCTGCGTTAACACTGCAAACAAATGGGGTTCAGGAAGTATGCAAGGCTGTCATTTAGAAACCAATCTATTAACGTGACCAGCAGCCACGGAAAAGCCCTTTAATTTCCAGCAAGACAGGAAATTCAGAGCTTTGTTAAATATACAGTAGGTAACTTTGTAAAAAAATACTTTAGATATCTGGGTCGTACACTTTCTAATTGTAGGGCTAAACAGTACACTCAAATATATTTCTGAAATTATCTAAGGCGTGAAATAGGCAATTCAGTTGCAGAATCTTGAATTATATTTGATAATCGTAGTCTAGTTTGACAGTTTGACCAGTGACTTATTGATCGTTTTAATTCTGCATGTTAAAATCTTGAAATTGCCATAAGGAGCATTGTTTCTCTTCTGTCTCATGCATGACTGTCAATATATACTAACATTTGCAGCAAATTGATCTAAAGTTTTTATTAAATCTTAACATAAAAATAAGTTTGCTAATTTGTTTACAATCAATTTATAAATGGAAGCAGGATGTTGATTAACAGACCAGATGATTATGTAATACAGGCTGGATAGATAACGTAGTAATGATACACAATTAGGACAACAAATGGCTGCCAATCTCACATGTGACACGGTGAATGGTCTGCTAGGTAGCAGTGTCTGAATCTAATGAGGCACTCAACCCAAATGCAATTACTGCTCAAAAGAAGTGAAAGCCTGAACAATAGAATATAGAATAGAATCGGAGGGATGAAACCCTCTTTAATGGTCACACATGCAGCACACACAGTGAAAGTTGTTCTCCGCATTTAACCCATCCTAGTACCAGGAGTCTAGTACTAGGAGCAGTGGGCAGCTATTGTACAGCGCCCGGGGAGCAATGGGAGTGAGGGGGGAAGGGGGATGTCCGGTGCCTTGCTCAAGAGCACCACGGCAGGGCAGGAGGTGAACTGGGACCTCTCCAAGTAGAAGTCCACACTCCATATTTAGGACTGGTCGGGGACTTGAACCGGCGACCCTACGGCTCCCAGTCCAAGCCCCTACTGACTGAGCCACTGCCGGACAACAAAGCGCTTCTTTTTATAAACGTATACATTATTGTTCATGTTGTGCCAATGGGAAACGGTCATGTCCATTGTGTGGCGATTTCTTGGAAAATCCCATTGCTGCTGGATAATGAGAGGCTTGCTCTCAGCTCTGAAATAGCTACAAAAGCAGCCTGTGCTTGTGCACTCGGCTGCCAGTCAATATATAGGGCACAAACAAAGGCTGAGTAAGGGTTTTATTTAGCCTTCTTCACACCGAAGCAATGACCCGAGGAAAGCTTGCTTTTTCCGTTGCTGTGAACTGGTCAACAAGCTTCTCTGACTCCACTTCGCCTGCTGATGCAATGACCCGTGCTCAACATGGGTTTATCACTCAGTGGCTTTTATTGTTACTAAAAAATGTGTCTCATTAAAAGCATTTACTCTTAATAATGCAACCATATAAAGAAAAGTGCTATACACCAAGCTGTAAAAAAATAAACATGACATTGCAGCAGCCAATTATTGCAATAAAAAAAAAAGGTGAGTCTGCTTGAGAAAATCCTTTTAAGGTCATTTGCTAGGGTTTCCAACCTTATTGGCTTGTAAACCTTCTTAGAGCAATGCCTACTCTAAACTCTTGCACAGGTTGCATATGTCTCAGAGAAAGCACGGTATAATGATCAGATATCCTGCCTTGTCTCGAAGATGCAAAATCCCCCAGATTTGTTGACAGCTCCAGTTAAACCTCTCAGACTTTTCCCATCACCCCTTTGGGGGATTCATTTCTGGTCTAATTTTGGGATACACTTTTTGCACGGTATCACAGTTGCAGACCATGATGTTGTGTGAGTTTCTCTCTTTTGGGAACTCAAGGCACATTCCACTGATCGTCTCTCCAAACATTACATTTTGAAGTACTGCTTAACACATGGTCATTGAGGTAAATAAATATAAGCTTTTTGTCTGAGAGGTAGAGGTATGCGTTTTTTGCTGCATTCAAAAACCCCCCAAAAACGCCACGCATGGTCCAAGACAATCTCTTATTTTCTGCTACTTTCCCTCTGCTGAGACACAGCCGCCCACTGAAGAACCGCCGGCCCACCCTGTCTACGCTGTCCTTTCCCAACCACAAACGTCAGTGTCTTTGTTGATTGGTGTCCACTTTTAAAAAAGGCACATTCCTAACCGGCTTTTCTACGGTGGTCCCTTGTTTGTTCACCCTGGTTTCACCCTGGTTTAAATTGTTAGGTAGGGAGTGGATAAATCAGGAACAGCGGGGAGTTTCTCGGCCAAGTTCACTAGACCTTAGTTCTGTTCTGGTATCAGCTTTATTTAGCAGAGGTGTGGCTGTTGGGTTTTCCTCTGTTGCTTCCCATAACCCCACCACCAACCCCAGACCCATGAGAAGGACACGGAGAGCCAAGTCCAGGGCAAACCAGGCCACACAGAATGACACCACTATGGCCGTCTACCTCAGGGCTAGGTTTAGGTCAGCCAGGCCCCGGGATTAAATAAAAGAAAATAAACTCTTTCATCTTCAGCCAAGGACAATCAAAGTTAAGTTTGGTGTCCTATATCAGGGGCTTTTTCCAATATATAGTTTGCCATAGATGGTTTGATTTGGACAAGCTATACTGTACTGTAGATAGGTGTGTAACCACATTTGTGTCTCAATAATGCACTTTTGTCATTTTACAAGCTATTCATGGTCAGCTCTGTGCCTGCAAAGAGTCAAAAATTGAAGTGAAAGAAGCCCATTCATCCTCTCCTGAAGGTTTGCATTCATGATAGTTTATTAATGGTGTGGCTAACAAAGTGGTTAATGAAATCACTTCACACCTAAGAAGTAATTAAGCCTATGGCTGTGAGGTTCTCCAAACAGTTAATAAGGTTAGATGAATTAATATGACCTCCTGACTGCCACCTCAGGAGAAAGGCTCCTTCAGCTGACTATTTGAACAGGCAGTGGAGAGGAAATTGCATCGAGTCGGATGTGTGCAGTCATAAACGCAACAGAGGTGGTCAGTGTTGGCTTCGAATTCTTACCCAAACTTGACCTTTAGGTGAATGTTTAAAGCAATCCCAAAAGTGTGGCATAGCTAAACAAGATCTAAGTGTGTGTAGGTTTTAGAAAAATGGTGTTAGTCAGCAAGTGAGTAGTTTGGCAGTGTTTCTCACCTTTTCTCTGCAGCTCTTTGCTTTGTTGCGTCTGCTGTCCCCGTAAATCCTGGATCTGAGATCGGACACGCTCCTGCTCACTGTGACTCTCGCGCTCTGTCTCCTGGAGAAGAAAAGAAAAGAGGAACACATGCTCAGTGCATTTCTATACAAACTCCAGACGTATCATGCTCTTTAAATTGCTCAGGTCACGATGTCTTCAGGTTTTTTAAATCAGAACAAACTGCCAACTAATTTCTCTGATTAGAGTAAAACACGAGTCCTCTGATCATCTGTTTCAGGTCAGCTGGAGATCATAACAGTCTTTTGTTGGAGGTTGAGGTCAAATCTTTCAGCTATGATGAGCGACATGTATGGACAGCTGGAAAAGTAATGATCTGTTTTATTTTCCATTGTATGGGTCTGAAGGAGAGAGAGAGACGCCCAGAAAGGAGCCAACAGATACATTCAATGCATATCTCGGCCTGATTTGACTCGAGTAGCTTCCTTCAAGAATACCTGCAGTCTGACGGCGGCATGAAATAAAGCTTTAAACTCGATCCCTAACCTGCACAGATAGAGGAACGTTCCATCAGGGTTGAGATCTCAGAGGAAAGGTAAGAGCATTTTGGCATATGGAGAGGAAACAGGAGAGGTGTGTAGGGGAGGAAGGAGGGGGAGAGATGAAGATGCCGGCACTACTGTTGGGCCTCTTTCGCCTGACCTTGAACTACTCCACAGGAAAATCAGCTGCACAAATAAGGCTCCTCTGAGCCCATGTGCGCACTGAGACAGACTTTAAATCTGTCCCACACATATTTGTAATCCACAACTCACCAAGGACTTGCAGAAACGTTTCTATTAAAGGGCAAACAGCTCACTCGGGGCGTGGAGCTTCAGGTGGTATGCTTCATTTTGTAACTCGTTTGAAATAAGGACTACATCCCAGCAGAAAAAGGTGATGGACTCTGGGTTAAGAATTGTCCTACAAAAACGTGGGAGGGTCCTGAAAAAGCATATAGGACATGACCTTACATACTTAAAATATATTACCAGATATACAGGCTACTATTATTGAAAAAAACCTTCTGAAAACACATTCAAAAGCAAGCAACAAAAACACACACAATGTGTTGTCCATGTGGAAACTGTGTAATTCTTAAAGACTGGTACAGTTTTCAGAAGCAGCCTCAGAAGAGAGTATCTTATAAGTCACACCTTTGTGTTTGTAAAAGGCCACACACACACACACACACACACACACACACACACACACACACACACACACACACACACACCACCACACAACTACACCAACACAACACATCATACCCACACACACACACACACAGCACACACAACACACACACACACACACACACCACACACACTACACCACACACAGCACACACACACACACACATTCACATCACATCCACACAGTCACACACTACCACACACACACACAGCACACATCATCACACACACACACACACACACACACACACTACCACACACACACACACACACACACACACACACACACACACACACACACACACACACACACACACACACACACACACACACACACACACACACACACACACACACACACACACACACACACACACACACACACACACACACACACACACACACACACACACACACACACACACACACACACACACACACACACACACACACACACACACACACACACACACACACACACACGAGAAAGGATTCAAGACGTTCTGCTCTGTGACCTTCCCCACCTTGAGCAGATTACAGGGCAGAGCAGCTCTATCGCTGAAGAGAAATGTAATCGGACACTGAAGCAGGAGACAGCAGCACAAACGGGAAACCTGGAATAGCACTGCTCTGGTTATAAACAAATCCACCACACCATTCAATGTATCATAATGAAGCTGAATAAGATTACTTTTTTTGTTGCTGAAATCGAGAAATCAATCTGTATTTGTGAAAGGACTTCTGTGTTCATAAGAAGCCAGAAAGTAGAAATAATATATGTGGCATCATAGCAGTGTAAATCCACATAAAAAGGTGCTCCAATGTCATTTGTTCCCATACTTTCACATTTTCCATATGGTGCTTAAAGAGAGGCAGCACAAATTGTGGGTCGTAAAAAAAAGAAGCTTTCTCAGCTTTTGAACTTGACGCTGAATGTTGCTAATGCAGACTGGGAATTTAGGGTAATGCTCAGTTAATGAGTGATTACAGTGTCTGATGAGTTTGTAGGACACAAACAGTCTCCTGCATCAACACAAAAGACTTGAAGGCATTACAGTGTAATAATGCGAGAGGTCACTCGCTCTCCTTCTGAGTGGAGTCACTCAATCAAAGAGTCACGGGGGGAGATAATTGTGTTTGAGCCATAAACACAATTAGAGAGTTCAAGTCTTTCCTCACCCGCCCCTCCTCTCCAAATCCTGCTTCTACCAGGAGTCAGACAGACAGCCGTCATCTCACAGCTCCCACTAAACCACAGGGAACATATTTCTCACAGACAGCGAGGCAGAGGGGAACAAAGTGAAGATGAAGTGCAACTGGAGATGCAAAGCGGAGCTCCGAACCGGCTGCCAGTCACCAGGCTGTCATTAGCGGCTTCCCTCTGGCCCCAACCGTGAAGACCTGACAGAGGGGAACCGACTCTGACACCGAACCACTCATCCCATGTGGCCTCAGGAGCCTGCAGGCTTTGGACTGTAATTGCGAGAACTCAAACGCGTAAACACAAAAACAACGGTGCTCTCTCGTGACCACAGCGAGGCGTCGGCCATCTGGATTCCTCTGAAGCCTCAACTCCACCAGAAAACAACAACAATGAGGCTGAGGCACACACCTCCTCTAACCATCAAGTCACACAGCTGAGATCATCTGCAGATTAACGTTTTTAAATGCTCAAGTTTTCAATGAAAGTCAGATCCTTGACTACATTGGTATGGTCAAACCGTTTGAGGGTCTTCTGGGTGCCCACGTGGGAGAGAGGAAGAAACCTGGCGGCTCTTTTTCCATTACTGCAGCCTGAGGAACCACACACTCGGCTTACCTCCAGTAACTGAAATACAGTAGCTGGAATGAAGTAGCCGTAGCCACACACACACACACACACACACACACACACTGCCTCATTCCCATTTCTACTTACTGCACATCATCACATGCCAATCTAAGCCTGCTCTCTGATGTTTTATTTCTAAATGGATCAACTGTACTTTATTTCTCTCATCTCAAAAGTCAGATAAAACCTCTCTAACCCAAACACTAGTCCAGTTTAAGACCGTTAAACAACTCTTTCCTCAGGTCTCTTCTTGCAACACGTTTATGATTAGATCAGAGAGCAAACAGAACAGTTTGGAGCTGCAACACCCGCCTACCTGTGCTCTCCCAACACACCTATAGGATGGAAACCTGTAGCCTCAGAGACACTGCATACAGCGTTAAATGACAACATGATTATAGTTTGTCCTTAACTTGAATCCCAATATGTCAATGACCCAGTTCCATCTCATGCATTATTAAGGTGTCATTTACAGCCTAAGAGATAAACTGTCAACTTAAGTGATTAGAAATGATCTAACTCTGCAATAAAACGTTATGTACACAAACCTGAAAGGTAAACAGAGAGGCAGGTACGTCCCATTCTCCAGTCAGACAGAAACAAATGCAGGTTGAGGAAGAAAGATGATTAAATGGCCTTTCAGTGAATAAAAAAAGATAAAAGAAAGTCTGGTTGGTCTGTGACAAGCGACAGCAGAGAAAATCTGAATGACATGTACCTTTTCCTCTCTGACCCGACTGCCTCTCTCTCTCCCTCTCCCTCTCCCTCAGCAGAAACCCTCTTGGAGTCAGGACGTCCGCTACTCTGACGCTCTACTCCCTCAGCCACATCATACACACTCACACACACAAACACACCACCACTAACACCACTCTCACACACACACACAGTACCAACAAGCCACTCCCTTGACTTCCCCTCTCTCCCAGTCTGTCTCCAAAGTGATCTGACCCCCACCACACACACATTTTTTTCTTACAGGTTAAAGGGTGCCTGGTTGACACATTAACTTCTGTGACACCACACACACATTTTTGTCCTATATTTTTATTTCTCTAACTGCTAATATACTTGAGACCAGATGAGATAATTTACTGTAACAGCACCTCCTGTAAATCATTGAATATGTTGCACTTCTTTATCCTTTTTCCTACTGGCACTTTTTTGTACTACATACATATAATTAACCTTTTTTTTTTTTACAAGCTCTTACAGTATAAGTTCTCATATCCTGAAATGAGCCGAAGGAAACTTTTTACTGTACGTCAGCTATCCTTGCCTGCCATTAAAACATGGCTATTAAATAGAGTCATTAGCTTCTAACGGGTGTTGGATTCTGGTCAATTTGCATATACATTAAAGTCAAATTTACGACTGTTTTTATTTTTCCATTAAATCTCTGTTTAATATTTCGAATTCTTTATTTAAAAATACACAATGCTGGATGTATGCACACACAAATCTCAATCTAAAAACCAAAAGAAAAGAAAACCCACTAAATAAACAGACATGAACTCCTAAGATTTTCCACCTTAAGTTTTTGTGTCTTGAGTTGTTGAGCTGGTGTATGTTTCAAGCTGCCGCCGGTGTGCACATATTGCGTGTGTGAGATGGCTGCAGCGGAGGCCTATCTAGGACCTCCATCTGCCACGGGACAATCGCACACAGCTCAAAGAGATCCGTTGCTGTGATGTGAGGGAAGGAGTCCTGCTGCTGCTGCTGCTGCTTCGTGTTGTTTTTGGACACGTCCCCATTCCAGCCAGACTATAGGCTGCTGAGGCACAGCTGTCTGTCTGTCTGTCTGTCTGTCTGTCCGTCGGTCTGTCTGTCCGAACTCAGCCGTGTTGATACATGTAGTATTGTGATTCTGAGTGTTCTTCAGTATTGCAATACTACAAGTTGAAAATCCGCTCAAAGATTGTAGGTCAACCTTTTCAGAGACTCCATGAATCAACCTACTATAACAACATATTGAGGCTGGCTAACATCATCTTTGACCCCAACCATGACCTGAATAGCGAATATGGATTGTTACCTTAAAATCGGAGATATAGGTTCCCACGATTGAATAAGGTCAGACTGAAGCATTCCTTTGTGCACCAGTCAATCTAATGTACGTGAGAGGGTCTTGAGCATGTTTCTCTCTTCAGTGATTGTGATGTTTGGTTAAACGTTTGTTCCCTTAAATCATGTCTTAATATTTCTCCTTGTTGATGTTGCAAATGGAGCTGCTGAATGCATGATAAATTATTATCGTATTGTCGAAGCCCTCCAAAGTGATGCATCACGCCACCTGGAGCTCACAATTCCTCTGCCACAAAGCTCTGCTATCTCACAGGAAGTGAGGTAACAGGGCTTGAACGTCACAGCATCCTGTGACGTCAGAATACTGTCATTGTGTCCAATCTGCATAGAATACACACACTCAGACAATGGGACGGATACTAACAGCCTTTCATTTCTACCCTTTACGTCAGGGTGGCTTCACACGAACCACTAAAACTCAGATAATGCAACTGATTGTGTTTTCCTTACAAGAGATGATATGTATGTTTGATATGTATGTTTTTAAAGCTCGGTTGGATGCTACTCAATCGGAAGCTGTTGGTACCTGTTCATGTGGATAGTTATGTAAATTGTAATCCCTGTAATGCTACTGTATGATGTCCTTTTGTTGCTCTGTTATGTTTTTAATGTTTCATGTGGAACCTACTTGAGCAGGTCTCCCTTGAAAAAGAGATCAATGATCTCAATGGGATACAACCTGGATAAATAAAGGTTTGAAATGAAATGAAATGAAATGTGTTCCTCCAGCCCCCTTAGCTCAAAAGGCTTGAGTTACAACAACAGTGACCACATACAGTAAGAATGAACTTTGATGTTCTTCACAGAAATCTCAAACACTGATCACAGTTTTCTGATGAATGCTCCTTTTCCAAACGCAGCAGATAAGATAACATCTGGCTCCTGGCAAACTCTGTCAAACTGCTAAGCCTCACGTCTTCTCGTCATGTTTGCTGCAACAACCTTATAATTCAATCTGTTACGCTGGAAGAGATAAAAGGTTTAGCTCCGCTCTGAAAACACAGTTCATTATCATCCACTAGACGGCTGAAGAGGGATTCAGAAACACATGATCAAAAATGGGTTATCAAATCGGATCAAATTAAATTAAAAGTCTTTAAATCCTTTGAATTCTCCCTCAAAACTCTACATTTCAGTAAGCAGCCGTCAGAGGGCTAAAGCCTGTACAGAGAGATGTGTGCAAAATGACAGGTTCTGGTAGACTAAGCCGGGTGTTAAGTGAAGGCAGTAAATCGTTTTTGACAGGCTCGAAGTACATTTTGTCTTTCTCCTCATACTTGGCCAAATCTGAATTAGGACGTTAAGAAACAAAAGAACATTCTTTGCTCCTTGGCAGCCGAAGCATGTGTTTGTGTGTGCCTCAAGTCACAATGCCTGTTGTTGCATTCTTCATTGTGGCAGCAGAGAAACCTCAGCGGTCTCTGTTGCCATGCAAACAAACTCTTACACCCGCAAATTGGTCTGTGGTGGGCTCATTTTTGCGAATGGAAGCTGACACGAGTGAGTGTGAGACTAGAGACAGTGTAGCCATCACTACTAACGTGACTTTTAGACTAATATTCAGGATAAGGCAGGATATTTAATCATTTCTCCTCACATTAATGCCTCTGCTGTACTCACCACAGTTCCCATGGTGCTCTGGGGCTCCACACTCTCAGGCTCCTGGCAGCGACCCGGAGCTTTGACTTGCTCTGCAGACCCTTAAAAACACACAAACAGCAGCAGTACAATGACTGAGTGAAGTATATTATCCCATGTCAAAACTCTGGTCCTTTGCTGGTTCTCCTGGAAGGGGTTGCTGGCAGAGATAATGCATATTTACTACAAATTAGCGGCAGCCATCAAGTGCATTACGTTTAGATGGTAAACACCTGAACACCCCACATATAACGACTGGACCCTGAAGGCTTGGGAGCTGTACCAAATGGAAAAAAAAGCTATCTCATATGCCTTAAGGATTCAGAAATCAACATTTGTAAAAGGGATGGATGCCTGTTATGCCTCTGCAACTACAATAATGTAGTGTTTAGTATATACTTAATTTAATAGTATCAAGGCCAAGTCCCCTAAACCATCGTACATAGTTATCAGGGAGGCGTGTGGCGCAGTGGGTTAATGCGCTGATCTTCGAATCAGAGGATAGCAAGTTTGAGTCCCACTGCAGTCAGCATGTCGTTGTGTCCCTGGGCAAGACACTTCACCCCAAATTGCTTCTGTGGGGATTGTCCACAGTATTGAGTATGTAAGTCGCTTTGGATAAAAGCGTCTAACAAGTAACATGTAATGTAATCTTCATTTATTTGTCTCTCCCATTAATTGTTATTATTTATTTAATTTGTTTTGTCTGCTGTAGATATTGTTTTGATCTTGTCAATTCTTTCTGTATTATTTTTGTACAATGACCTGTATGTGTACGCTGGGATGCTAGAAGTGTTTCATTATTTGTGCAGCAGGAGTGCAAGACAAAAAAGTACGTAAATATGGCAATTGTGTATGTTTGTTAAAAAAAAGAAGTTGGAAACTGAAAGATAAACTATGGTAATTTGCTAAATGTAGGAGAAGAGAAAACCCAGATGGGACACAGGGGAGGTGACAGAGACAGAGAGATTATCTGAGGTGTCCTGACAGTGACGCAGTGACGGAGCCTCACAAAAACCAGACAGCGCTAAGGAATGACAGGAATCCACTATCTGATCCAGGTAGATCTGCCACAGAAACCATGACGACTACAGACAGCCCGCTATCTCTCCCACTTGTTTTATGCTCGCATTATCCCACCAGTGTTAAAAAAAGTATTACTATAAAATGAAACTAGCAGTGAAGGAGTTCACAGCTGATCCTTTACCTGTAATGTCAGCGCCCTCATCAGGCCATTTGGGAGACTTTTTTTTTAGGTGCAAAAATGTTAACTTTTAAAGATTGAAGCAGTGGTTTCCATTACAACACAAAGTGTGCTAAATGAACCAATGAATGCCCTTTAGGTCTGATATACGTTGCACGATTTCCATCACCCAGAACATAGCCTAATTATGTATGTTTTAGTGTGACATAGCGATTCAATCACTAAGCTAGTGAGTTTATTCTAAATCAGTCAAAATATAATCCTAAATATTTTATATAGAAACTACAACAGCTTGATTCCATTTCATCCAACAGCTGGACTCACCTTGCTGCTGTTCATCTCTGATTTGTCGGATGGTTGCTCTGATCAACTTCCTCTCCTCGTACTCGCTGGCGGTTCGGAGCTTCAGGCAAAACACACACATTACATTTCAATGAGCACAGAACAAGCATGCAATGTCACCATCTTTTAAGATTTTTGGCCGGTTTACACTCACCATTTTTGTGAGCTCATCAATGTCCTGGATTGATTGTAGTTTTTTTGACAGGACGTTCAAGTTGTCGCTGAAATCAGGTTAGAGGAGAAGACACAGAGATGTGACTGACCATTAACTGAAGCTCATGCAGCACTGGGATATCATGGGGATCTTAAAATATCCCAAAACAAATTGTGGCTTTCACTGACTCTTTCCTGGAGGCCCCTGCGCATGTGAAAGGCAGCAGTAGACAATTTCAAGACTACACACACACACACACACACACTACGGGAGGAAACACAGAAGAAACCATATAAAGCGTGGAAAAAGTGATTTGACAGCAGTGACACAGTGCGTGAATAAGGCTGGTCTCATCCTCCCCTATTGTCAGCCTCATATTGCTCATTGTTATGTTGCTTTCTATTACTCATACGCTCCTCTCATCATCCTCCTTTTCCTCCAGTTGTTGGTAATAAAGGATGTGTGGGACAACAGAGAGGAATTTTTCACATTCCTCCAACCGAGAGGCACGGGATAATGCAACTTTCAGACAGGTTTGTGTGTGTGCATGTGGTTGTGTGTGTCTTAACACATGCAAGAATGTGGTACAGTAGGTAGGCTTTCTATATAAGGCTTTATTCTTGTAATTCAAGTCTTCTGAGAGGGAATGGAATTGATTAGGACCGGCAGCTGGTCTTAATAGAAATCAGTGAAAGAGACAGCAGCAGGCCGAGAATCCTGTTTACATCCAATAGCATTACTTCACAATCTAGCACTACCAGACCTTAATTAACACCTTTTGAAAGACCTTTAGTTAATCCTGACCTGTAGAGCTAATCTCAGACACAGAACAAAAAGCATCACAGATTAAACAATGGCTAAGGATATAAAAAGTGTTTTTTCATTTTCAGAATTGAATATAATTTTGTTGAGATTTGGTATGATAGTGTTTTGCCAATAGCTAATGGTATTACAATGTCAACCCTTCTCATTAGGAGATTTACATTTGAAACATTGCAAATTGAAGCCAATCAGTTGATGAACCTTTGCCCAGACGGTATTTATCATCCCAAATTAAATTAATCTCCCCAAATTATTTCAATAATTACTTTATCCCTGTTTTAACTAGGAAAAAAATGGAGTGAACCCAGGAAGCTCCCTCCACTTGAAGGCCTAATACAGTGGCCTAGGTTTGAATTTTGCTGTATTTAAGAAAATGACAAAAAAAGGTCTTTCAAAAAGAAAGTAGAAAAGGTTTGTTGAATATATACATTTGTCTGAACCTCTTTAAAATACAGACAATCCCAATTTACAGTACAATCAAGACGTTTTTCTATAATAACTAAATCATGTTTATCTTGTTTCTCATTCAGTTTGCCATTTTGTCAATAAAAAACGTTTTCTGGCCAAGGTGTCACTCTATCCGAGTAATCCATTATTCACGTTGCTCAGCTAAATGACAGGAGCTGAGACTTGTGTGTAACTGGATTAAAGTAAATCAATAAAGACAAATGGATGAGCTCAGAAAACTCCTTCAATCTGACTCTCATAAGAGTTAATGTAACTTAAGGACACGTACTTAAAAGGGAAAGTATTTACTGTGAAATGTGCGTTGAAACTGGAAAATGGAAAAAGTACTCTGGTTGCAGTTTGCTGTCCCATATGATTTCCTGACTGGAAATTGAGGAATGCTGCATCTGGGTTTTGTGAGTGTTTTCTCAGCATCCCCAGTTCACCTGGCCTGGTGCAGTTTGTCATTACGACAGGTCTCTGTAAGTGTGTGTGTTGCAGGAGTCTCTGTAAGTGTGTGTGTGTGTGTTGCAGGAGTCTCTGTACTGTGTGTGTGTGTGTTGCAGGAGTCTCTGTACTGTGTGTGTGTGTGTTGCAGGAGTCTCTGTACTGTGTGTGTGTGTGTGTGTGTGTGTGTGTGTGTGTGTGTTGCAGGAGTCTCTGTACTGTGTGTGTGTGTGTGTGTTGCAGGAGTCTCTGTACTGTGTGTGTGTGTGTGTGTTGCAGGAGTCTCTGTACTGTGTGTGTGTGTGTGTGTGTGTTGCAGGAGTCTCTGTACTGTGTGTGTGTGTGTTGCAGGAGTCTCTGTACTGTGTGTGTGTGTGTGTGTGTTGCAGGAGTCTCTGTACTGTGTGTTGCAGGAGTCTCTGTACTGTGTGTGTGTGTTGCAGGAGTCTCTGTACTGTGTGTGTGTTGCAGGAGTCTCTGTACTGTGTGTGTGTTGCAGGAGTCTCTGTACTGTGTGTGTGTGTTGCAGGAGTCTCTGTACTGTGTGTGTGTGTGTGTTGCAGGAGTCTCTGTACTGTGTGTGTGTGTTGCAGGAGTCTCTGTACTGTGTGTGTGTTGCAGGAGTCTCTGTACTGTGTGTGTGTGTTGCAGGAGTCTCTGTACTGTGTGTGTGTGTGTGTTGCAGGAGTCTCTGTACTGTGCGTGTGTGCGTGCGTGCGTGCGTGCGTGCGTGCGTGCGGTCTTACCTGTGCTGGTTCTCCTTGTCCTCCTGCTGGATGATGCGTGTGGGTCGAAACCTCTTGCTGGCCAGAGCGGCCTCCATGTCCTCGATCTCCCTCCTCCTCAACTCACGGATGGCTGAACGGATGACGCGCCTCTCGTCCAGATCCACGGTTTCATCCAGCTGCAACATAAGATAAACAAAAGAAAGGTATGAAGACAAATGCAAATGTTTTGAAAAGTGTGCTCATATACAGGAGCATGCCAAACATGTGGCTTGATAAGATTAGCTACTCGCCGCTCTTATATTTGCATATAAGCGAGTAATCAGGAAAAGCTCCACACCGTTATATAAGAATCCACTGCTACAGTGAAGGGTCACAGGCCTGTTCTCAGTGTAAGTACAGGGCGGTGAATACACAGAACTGTAGGGCTCAAAGTCAAAGCTCCAACTTCTTACAGTCGCCTTTTCTTGCCCTCTTTAATTATCATTGTCAAACAAGGGCAATAACGTGTTTTTTTACAAGAAGGGGCCGACCGAAAGCCAAACTGCCCTCACACACAGATGTCTAGAGTAGCCTGCAAAGTTTTGTGATCTGGCCGAAGAAGCAGTTTGGCTTTAGGAATAGCAATGCTTGTCTGTTGACTGAATGAAACTATGGGATGCAATAAACATGCAATAATGGCAGTGTTTAAAGATTGGTTAATGAAAAAGAAACTTCTTGAAGCTGATTCCAAACCTGCTGCCTCCCACACATCCCGCAGAGACTCATTTTACAATAATGAACGGCTAGCTACACATTATCTCTTACTTAGTATTCTCAGGTGTATGATTTCCAGACAGTATCAGACTAAATGTCCCTGGCTTAGTTTTTAATGTCTAACAGGGTCAGCAGCACTGAAGCAGGGCTTATTGATTGGTGATGACAAGTGATCCGACTGCACTAATGTGAAAAGACAGAACAACACTGGGGAAGAGAAACAGGCTCAGCAAGAAGTGTTATAAGTGTTCAGCTCTCCAGGTCGACGTATCGCCCAGGTTTCTTCTTCTCTGGCTGTAACTCATCTTGGTTGGACAGTAGCCAGGCAGCAGGAGGCCCTAAATATTGACACACTCAGAGCCATGTCATCACTCCGAGTGGCTATTAGTTAAGGGGTTTCTTTTTTCAAGCAAAAGAGGAGTAATGAAGGTGTGCGAGTGTGTGTTGAGCATGCCTGCAGAGAGACACAGCAGTCAGCTGGCTCGATGCTTTCATGTGAGCGACAGCCGCTAGCATGGGAGGGTAGAGGGAGCCCTCTCCTGTCAGATGAGAGACAGATCTCTCTTTTGGTCGACAACGGGAGCCTGTCAACACATGCAGAGATGAGCGGCTCCTGCTCCTCTGGCAGGCTTTATAAGGCTTCCTGCTGTACCAGTTAAAACCTGCACAGTGGAGACACTAACCTTTGTATGCCAACTGGTGTTTTACTACAGGGAGCTGTGGGTTTAAAAGGGGGTTGATGTGCCCCCCACCCCTGCTGGGATTGAGAGGAGGGGTGGGGGTCTAACGAGAGATGAAGAGGGCCCATGGTTTTGAGGTCTCGCTGTGGTTTGACAAAATATGCCAGCGAGATTGCACTCGCTCAGAGGGGCTCGCCTATATGCTACAATTTGTGGAAATCCAAACTGCTGAGCTGGCTGACATAACGGTAAGAGGAGAATTGCTCTGACAAGGCAGGAAGAAAGAATATGAGGAAGGAAGAGAACGGGAGAGATGGGAAAGTAAAGCTAAGAGGGAGAAAGGATGACAAAGAGAGAAAACTGAAAGAAGCATGCCTAAAATGGGCAGATGAGAGCTGGGCGGGAAATGGCCTCGAATGGGTCATTCCTCACATTCCTGCTGACTCACACGGAAAGAGATGAGAGTGAACACCACACACACACACACACACACACACACACACACACACACACACCACACACACACACCACACACACACACACACACACCCACCACACACACACACACACACACACCACACACACACACACACACACACACACACACACACACACACACCACACACACACACACACACACACACACACACACACACACACACACACACACACACACACACACACACACACACACACACACACACACACACAACACACACACACACACAACACACACACCACACACACACACACACACCACACACACACACACACACACACACACACACACACACACACACACACACACACACACACACACACACACACACACACACACACACACACACACACACACACACACACACACACACACACACACACACACACACACACACACACACACACCTGATGGAAAAACAACCTTACATGCGCAGGTCAGCACATTGACCTTTACCCCTATGCTTTGACCTGCTCTAACACATGACATTTCATACGGACCAATCAGTGCACAGACGGCTGCACATGGACTGTGTTTGGATTGGTTGAAATATGTGTACACTAGATTCAACTGGCACAAATCCACCAGCTGTAACTGACTTTTCCTTTACATATTTGAAAAGAGGAAAATAGGAAAGAAAGTTGACAGATAACTGTCCTGCACAGGAGGGCAACGAGTGGGCGTTTTCTCAAGCAAATAAAACACACCTTAAACTTGGGCACCTGCCAAAGAAAACAGAATGACCGTTAAAGAACCAGACACGCAAACACACAGTTGTGTAAAAACAGAGTCCTCCACATGACAGTGGACTCTACTGTGTCAGTGGGAGTAGAAAAGGGGGGGGGACACACACACACAGTGACAGCCCCTTACAACATTGACAGTTCCCAAAGGCATTTTTCAAACCTGACCACAGCCCAACTGTCACTGTGGCTCAAAACAAAAACCGCACTGTGACCCAGAGGAGAGCAGCCATTAGAGCCGGGAAGCTTTTCATGTTCCTACTGCTAACGTACGAGTCAGAAATAACACTTTTCAAAATAGCTCACACCTATTTCGTGAAATCAATGCCGTCATTTCGACGTCACCGAGCTATCAGCACCTTTTACGACGTTGGGCTGGGAGGACCCGTCTGCTCTGCCAACTGAGGACTCATCATCGACTGTGAGGAAGCTGCTGCCACACCTGTCTGCCTCAAACTCTGATATACAAAAGTTAGGAGCAGGATGAAGGTGGTGTGAACGGGGGAGGAGAGGAAATACAATCCTGTAGAAACTTCTACCAGGCGTTGCTTACGAATGAGTCTTCCCAAATCCTTTTGCTCATCGACAATTATTACGTTTTTTTGCAGGAATTGTGGAGTGGTGAGGACGCCAAAACATGTTTAATGTTTCATACGTGGGCTTGCTAAGGCTTGTAATGCACTGCTGGTCGCCTTGAGTCACTTCCTGCCGAGCAGCAGCAGCTCTGTATGGAGTCAAAACCTCAAGCCTATATCCAAGACTTTTCGACAGAAGCAGCTCAATCCATCACAGCCAATTAGAGAGTTCATGGTTTAGCAGTAATCCCAACCAGCTGGTGGGACACTCCTAAGGACAGCAACACCCTCTGAACTCATCTGCTACACATGAAACAGATTGAAATATTATCATTTCAGTTTAATTTATTGGGACACACATGGAAACAGAGAGAGAAGTGGTCAAATATGGCAAAAAGTCAAGGTTGTTCAGGTGGTTTGAATTGACTTAACTACCATTTAGTGGGTCTGCCATCTATAGCTGAGCTAAACACACATGCTGGAACAACTACCTGTGGGTGCAGCACTGAACCAGGATTATGATAACCCTGTGGAAGTGAAGAGAGGCAGACCACTCTAAATTACTGTGCAAATAAAAAGAAAATGTACAAGTTCAGATTTGTCTTAATTACACACCCCTCTCTTTTACTTGGAATGTTTATCCCTGCAAATAAAAACATCTATTAATACATCACTTATGATATCCAAGCTCTGTTTCAGTTTAGATATGTCTCTGTAGAACAGGCTCATTGAGCACATAGGAATACTTATATACTTTTTGGAAAGTACACAAAACGTGTCTGTACAGATAATCTAAAACTGTCAAATACTGAAAGTTGGCAGGGAAAATCCGGGCTCATGTTTACTTACTGATGATATTTTTGTATTTGAATACACTTATTTTAAAAAGGACTTCGGATTTTGTAGAAAGAAAAAGGCACAATTTCCAATTCCAAGCCCAACATACTATGCATGTTTCCCCAGTTGTGTTGTTTGCTTTACAACGGTCAGGTCAAACAGCAGTGTGTGGACAACTTCTACCTTGACACACACATCTACCTTGACACACACACCCACACCCACACACACACACACACACACACACACACACACCCCAGTCCTGTCTGGCCGCACAACAGGCCGAGCCCTGACCTTTTGGCTATTGATGGTTGTTCCTGCGCCTCATGCCATTTCTCTGCTTACCACATTGTGAACTATGACATGTAGCGCTAATTTCCTGACACAAACAAAGGAGCTTGTATACTTTTTGAACAAATGTGAGTCCACGTGCACGAGTATAATTGAGAGTTTGGGGCGTTACTGTGTTTGTGCATGAAATGAGGGCTACAGTAATAATTTCCAGAGCAGGCTGCAGGTTAGAGTGCAGCCAGGCAGCAGATCGGATCAGCGCCTTAAACTCACTTCTGTCAAGCACACAAGTGAGTTTGCCCTTATATGGGCACATGGGACACTCCTCGTAGCGGAGCTGAAGTGGATTACCAGCTGCTACTGAGAACGCCAGACTCTTACACTAATTGAAAAGGAAACAAATAAAAACAAGTGAGCAAGACGGAAAGGATGAGAAAGTTCAAAAGTATTTCTATCAGCCCGGACTCGCTTTATTGGCTTGCTTTTTGGAAAGGAATCAGGTTGAAGCCTGTAAATCATTTCTCACTGCATCAAGAAACAAAGCATGCGTGCAGCCGGGCCGGCTCACCACACTTAAATGGGAATATAATCAGGATGCATAAGTGCGCTGCAAGGCATGGGACTCCTGGTTACTGAAGAGTGAGTTTCAGTTACCCATCGCCTGAAACATTAACAAAGAAACAAACCAGATTCAAGGTTAAAACTCATTGCACTACAGAGCAGATTGAGCCTTCATTGTGCCACGAAAAGGGGGAGTAGCTGTAAAATATGCATGCCAGGATGAAAGAAAGACTACAG